AGCCCCAGCCGCAGCAGGAGCAGCCCGCGCCGCAGCCGCCGTCCCAGCCGCAGCCCCAGCAGCAGTGGGCTCGCCTCCCGCCTGGTTGGTCGGGCACCTCCGGAGGTGGTGGCAGTGGTGGCGGCCCGCGCAGCTTGGCGTCTACCAGCGGCTCCGGTGCTGTGACCTGTCAGTACCAGCTTCAGACCGGGCCCCTTCGCGGCACTCTGTGCCGCCGCCCGCACCCGACTGCCCGCTGTTTCCGCCGCCTCGATGATCTGTTTCGTCGTCGCTTTGGCCCGGCCCCGGACCTCCCTGATTGGCACAGCCTGCTCCGCCAGGGCGTGCCGATCTTTGAGTTAGGCATGGATCAGATAGGTGCTGCTTTGCATGCCTTCTATTCTGATGCTGCTAGTGTTGCTGGATCTTATTACCCTGTGTTCTCTAGTTTAGGTGTTGCACCGTTGTGTAGCCTAGCCTCCCTTGCTGCGTCAGGCGTAGGACTGCCTAGTTTGTCTAGCCTCGTCTCTGCACCGGCTCCGTTCCCTGCCCCCGCCACTACGGCGCTGTCCATCACTCTCGACTCCGGTGCTTCTGCCTGCTTCTTCCGCGACCGTTCCGCGCTCACGCCGCTTGCTACGCCAGCTGTCGTCTCTCTCGCTGACCCCTCTGCGAGTCCTGTCGTCGCTCGCAGTTCTACGTCCCTTCCCTGTCCAGCAGTTCCCTCGGGCACCCTTACAGGCCTCCACGTTCCCTCATTCTCGAGGAACCTGGTTGGTGTCGGCTGTCTCCAGGACCTCGGCGTCACCACCACGTTCCCCGGGCACGAGCGGTTCGCTGTCTGTTCTGAGGCTGTCTCAGGTTCCCCCCTTGCGACGTTCCCCCGGGACCCGGTGTCCGGTCTGTTTACCCTAGACACCGCTTCCCCTCCGGTTGGTGCGTCCTCCCAGGTTGCTGCAGCTTGCTCGTGTCGTTCCCTCACTCACCTGTCCCTTCTCTGGCACCACCGCTTAGGTCACCCTGCTCTCCCTCGTCTACGTCACATGTCCCAGCACGGCCTTGTCTTAGGTCTCCCTACATCGCTCCCTGCCCTTCCTCCCTCGACTGCGCCACCGTGCACGCCTTGCGTCGAGGGCCGGCTCCGCCGTGCCCCACACTCCTCCTCGCTGCGCCCGGCTACTGCCCCCCTTCAGACCCTGCACCTGGACGTTTGGGGCCCTGCCCCCGTCCCCAGACCGCGCGGTGAGCGCTACTTCCTTGTGCTCGTCGACGACTACACGCGCTACACCACGGTGTTTCCCCTGGAGCGGAAGGCCGACGTGCCCGACGTTCTTCTCCCGTGGGTTGTGGCTGCACGTCTCCACCGCGGTCTCCCCGTGTTGTGTCTCCACTCCGACCGTGGCCGCGAATTCGCCTCTGGTCGGCTTGGACAGTTCTGTCGTGCGGAGGACATCACCCAGTCGTACACCTTGCCGGACTCGCCACAGCAGAATGGGGTTGTTGAGCGTCGCATCGGCTTGGTCATGGAGGTCGCCCATACCTCCATGATTCATGCCGATGCCCCCCATTTTCTGTGGCCGTTCGCTGTTCGCTACGCTGCTCACCAGCTTAACCTGTGGCCACGCTCCCAGCGGCCGCAGGTTTCGCCGACCCTCCTTTGGACCGGGTCCCCCGGTGACGCGTCTGCTTTCCACGTCTGGGGCTGCCTTGCTCACGTTCGTGCCTCTGGCACGGACAAGCTCACTGCCCGCACTGTCCCCAGTGTCTTCCTCGGTTTCCCCTTGGACTCGTCTGACTGGCTTTTCTATCACCCGCCGTCTCACTGCTTCCTCCACTCTCGTGACGTCACCTTTGACGAGTCGGTCTCCTTCTACCGCCGCTTCCCTCACCGAGGTCTCCCAGTTGCCCCCCCCCTGTTCCTTGCTCCCTCTCCCCCGGTAGCCCCTGCCCCTCTCCCGCCTCGTCCTGCCCCGTCTGGTGTCTCTCACGTCACTCCCCTCCCGTCGGTTGTCCCCGTTGAGGAGTCTGCTGACTCTGGTGGTACCCCCGGTCTGTCCTTGCCGCGTCCCCCTTCCCCGGTGCCTCCGCCCCCACTGTCGCAGTCGCCGACCCCGCTGCAGCCGCCGCCGCCGCCGCCGCCGTCATCGCCGCAGCCGTCACCGCTGTTGCCGCCGCCGCAGCCGTCGCTGCCGCAGTCGTCGCCACCACTGCCGCTGCCTCTCTTGGCCCCTGGGGGTGCTGGTGTGGAGAGGGTGTTCGTCCTGAGGCGTCTGGGGGTGCCGCTGGTGTTGGAGGGGGTTCTCGCTCTGGGGGTGTTGGTTCTGGGGGTGCTGCTGTTGAGTGTTCTGCCGACGGTCGTTCTGCCTCTCCTGGTCCGAGGGTTCCAGCCCAGCCGTCGTCGCCGCCGCAGCAGCTGTCGCCGCCGGTCTCCGCTCTCCGCCTGCTCGGCCTTCCCTCCCCGGACCGTGCGACGGTGTCTCCCCCACCGCCTGCTGACCTTCCTGTCTACGGTCCTGTGTTCTCGCCGCCGGACTCGTCTCCGGCTCGTCTTCCTCCTCGTTCCCCTCCCGTGTCTCCTCCGCTATCCCCTGACCCTACCCCTCCGTTTCACGTCTGGGCTCGCCGTCCCTCCCGTGCTCGTCCCGTCTCTCCTGTCCTGCGCTCCCACCCTATGTTGCTCCGTTCCCACTCGTCTCGTCCTCCCCTCCTCCCGTCCCCTCCTCCCTCGTCCCTTGCTGTTGCACCTCCTCCTTTCTCTGACTACCTCCGTGCTGCTCGTCCCCTTGTCCCTCGGGTTCTTGCCTCGCTTGTTACCGACCCTTCTGTGCCTGTCTCGCGCCTTGACGCGCTTGTCGCTGCTGTTGCTGACTTCGCCTCTACCCGCCGCCTTGACTACGCTACCGCTCTGGTCTCTCCCCCTGCCCTTCCTCCGTCCGTCGGGGGTGCTCCTGCCCTTGGCAGTAACGTTCTAGAGGACCGGCAATACGAGCTTGCTTTCCTTTCCGAGGGTGCTCCCCATCTCTGCTCCATGCTGTTAGTCCCTGAGGGTGACCCAGACGCCTTCGACATCCCGACCCCTCGCACCTACGCTGAGGCCACCTCGAACCTTGGGCCTCTCAGTGGATAGCTGCCATGGAGCAGGAGATGGCATCTTGGAGGTCCACCGGCACGTACGTCGACGCAGTTCCCCCGCCTGGGGTGAACGTAGTCGATGGTCGGTGGCTCTTCAAGGTGAAGCGCCCCCCTGGAGAGCCGCCTGTCTTCAAGGCGCGCTACGTGGCCAGAGGTTTCAGTCAGCGCGAGGGGGTCGACTTCTTCCAGACCTTCGCCCCGACCCCGAAGTTGACCACTCTTCGGGCGCTGCTACACGTAGCAGCACAGCGCGACTACGAGCTTCACTCCCTCGACTTCTCTACTGCCTTTCTTCAGGGCAGCCTACACGAGTAGGTCTACTTGTGCCGACCACAGGGCTTCACTGGTACCTTCCCTCCTGGGACCCAGTGGCTTCTCAGGCGCCCGGTCTACGGCCTGCGTCAGGCTCCCCGCGAGTGGCACGACACGCTACGTGCCACGTTAGCAGACCTGCAGTTCTTTCCGTCCTCTGCTGACCCTTCACTGTTTGTGCGTTCCGGCCAGACTCCGTTCTACATCCTTGTCTACGTAGACGACCTGGTCTTTGCTACTCCTGACAGGGACGCACTGGCCTCTGTGAAGACTGAGCTGCTGAAGAGACACACCTGCACTGACCTTGGAGAGCTGCGTCGCTATCTTGGCCTGCAGATCTTTTAGGGACAGAGCAGCACGCACCATCACTCTGACCCAGTCACACTTGGTGCATCAGGTCCTTCAGAGGTTCGGTCTTCAGTTCTCTTCTGCACAGCCCACACCTCTACCTGTAGACCACGGGCTTTCCGCTCCTGTTCCTGCGGAGCCAGTAGAGCCCAGCGGCCCCTACGCAGAGCTGGTGGGTTGCCTCATGTACCTGATGACTTGCACTCGACCAGATCTCGCATACCCTCTCAGCATCCTGGCTCGCTTTGTGGCCACTGGCAGACACCGACCACAGCACTGGTCGGCCGCTAAGAGGGTTTTGCGATATCTAGCAAGTACATCAGGCATGGGGTTAGTGTTAGGAGGACGCAAGCCAGTGGTCCTGACTGGGCACACAGACGCTTCTTGGGCAGACGACTCTGAGACGCTCAGGTCGTCGTAGGGCTACTGTTTTAGCCTTGGTTCGGGTGCTATCTCTTGGAGATCCACTCGCTCGTCGTCGGTTGCTCAGTCGAGCTGTGAGGCTGAGATCTACGCTGGTGCCATGGCGGCACAGGAGCTCCGCTGGCTGACCTTCTTGCTCACAGACTTAGGTGAGCGGCCTAGCTCTGCCCCAGTCCTGTACGCTGACAACAGGGCCATGATACTCCAGTGTCAAGAGCCTCGACTTGAGGGCAGAGCGAAGCACATCCAGCTGCGGTACTTCCTTCTGCGTGAGCTACAGCAGCGCCGCCAGGCACGCGTAGTTCACTTGGCCTCTGGTGCCAACACAGCTGATATCTTTACGAAGGCGCTTGCGCCTAAAGATCATCAGCGGCACTGTGTACAGGTCGGTCTAGTTCCTGTAACCTCTCACTTGCTAGGACCTTGACTTTGTGCTGTCCTATATATATCTATATATGTACTCAGACTGGACTTGTGTCCTCTCCCAGTGGCTGGACTAGTAGTGCCGCCCTGGTCTTGTTCTTGTCTTGTCTGTACTCCTTTTTGACTGGTCTTCAGACCCTTGTCTCAGTGGCTGGACTAGTAGTGCCGCCCTGAGCTGCTTGTTCAGGATTTGCCCTTATGCAGTCTAGGGGGTGTGTCAAATATATGTATAACTCATATTTGTATAGACTGTATAGGGTCACCTCTTAGAGGGTACAACACTCTTAGGTATATACCCTTGTTCCCTCTCTCTCTATCAATATACTTGTTCAGTTTTCTTCTCGACACTTCAGACTATTTTTTTTTTGGGGGGGGTTGGCTCAGAGTGCCTTTTTTTGAAACGTCAGCCCTGCTTTCCATCCACAAGCAAAAACTATATTTTAGAATACAACGCCTTGAAAATACAAGCCATAGATAATATAAAACTGTGATCTCCTTCATTCGGCCTCAGTAGCCGCCCGCAATCGCTTCTTCTGCTGCTGCCCCAGCACCCGCTGCTTCCTCTTCAGCGCTGCAGCCGCCTTGGTCGCGGATTTTCCGATCACCGACGGGGTCTCCGATAGCCCAAAGCTCCTCGCAACATGCCCCAGATGAAGCCTCTTGGGGTGGAAAATCCTCTTGAGGCTGCCCTTGTGCGCGCCGTACGCCCGCACAAACGACCGGAAAGCCCCAGTGGCCAGCTCTCTCAAGGCCGGTCTATTCGCCACCGTAGCTTCCAGCTCCTCCTGCCACGTCTCAACCGCGCTGTGATTGGCCAGAGCCTCTTCTGGACTCAACTCCTTCCAATGCGCCCTCCTACGATTGGTCCGGGCAGGTTCGGCCGAACCTCCGGGCACAAGGGAGTCGAGGAGCGGGAGGAGTGGCATGGGGAGGAGGTCCACGTGGCAGGAGCGCAGCTCGTCCAGGTACTCCGTCTCGTTGGGTAGGAGGAAGAGCACCGCCTCGCCCCGGCGACCAATGCGAGCTGTGCGACCCACACTGGAAATACGGGAGGTGAAGAGGGGGGGGGGGGGGGTTGGGTAAGATAAGGGGCAATAAGCGCAATGGATCCATGGAGGTACTCCGTCTCGTTGGGTAAGAGGAAGAGCTCTGCCTCGCCCCGGCGCCTGATGCGAGCCGTACGATCTACACCGGGGGGAAGGGGGGAGGGAAAGTGAAAGATGGGGGGAAGGAGAGTGAGGTGCGAGGGCAGTGAACAGTGACAACAACTGTGTCCGCCAGTAGGCCGTGTAGGCACTCCGTCTCGTTGGGTAGACGAATGAGCACTGCCTCCCCCCGGCGACCAACGCAATCCATGCCACCCACGCTTGGGGGCGGGGGGGTTTGGGGGGAAGTGGGGAGGGTGTTGAAAGGTGGGAGGTGGAATGGTGTTGTGGAAGGAGACAGGGCAGCTTCGTACCGGTGCACATAGTCGGCAGCATCCCCAGGCGAGTCGAACTGCACAATGGTCTCCACAGCGGGAAAGTCCAGCCCCCGGGCTGCCACGTCAGTGCACAGCAGCACGCCACGTGGCGCGCTGCGGTAGGCCAGGAAGGCCTTGGAGCGGTCTTTCTGCTCCATGTTGCCGTGCAGCTTGAACACGGGCGCTGGCAGCAGGCCCTGCTGTAGTTGCTGTTGCGCTGTGTCGTCGCTTGAAGGAGAGATGGAGGACGGGGAGGAGAGGAGGGTAGCGTGGAACTCGACAGAGTCACACGTGGAGAGGAACACGACCACCTGGTAGGGCGAGGCAGGAGATGGTGTTGAGAGGGGTGGGGAGGGGTGCTTGCGCAGGTGAGACGCACACAAGATGGGGTAATTCCGGACATCAATACGAAGAACCATACAAGTAGAGAGAGAGAGAGTCACACGTGGATAGGATAGGAAGGCCACAGCCTGCAGTCGTGAAAGCCACTGCTACTGCCGGTTGTGACAAGGAAACAGCCACTGGTGACGTGGCAACATACCTTAGATGACGCTGACGTGGCGAGCTTGGAGCGCAGCAAGGCAATGAGGGTGATTAGGCGACAGCGGCACGGGACTGGTGGAGGGTGCGTGGGGGTTAGGCGAGGGGGGACGGGAGGTTTGGGGGGGTGGGGGGAGGAGGAGGGAGTTGAAGGAAGAGGGCGAGGGAAAGGGGGAGGCGCAGGGGATGGTTAGAGGAGAAGATGGGGATGGGGACATGGCGAGCTGATGACAAGAACAAAAAAGAGCAAACCATGCCTGTAAGTGTGAGACCATGGCATTCATACCTGTGAGCACGTATTGCCTCAGCTGCTCCGGGAAGACAAAGGCGCCTCCACCACTGGGGCCCTCCTGCAACCCGCCCTGCCGTGCCTCCCTCCCCCCCTGCTCCTCAACCCTCGTCTGACACCTTCCTCTCTCCTCCTCCCCTCTCCTCCCCTCCTCCACACCCTCTCCAGCACTCTGCTGTGAGGACCCTCGCCCCACCGCGTCTGCTGGTCCTTTGCTGCCTGAAGCTTGCTTCTTGCCTGCTGCCACCTCCTCATTTACCTTGTCCTCGCTCCCCTCTGCTTTGCTTTCCCCTGCCTTGCGGCTCCCTGCCTTGCTACCATTCTCCAAGACTGCCGTTTCACCCTCCCTCTCCTTCTCTTTCTGCTCCCTCGTCTCCCGCCTCTCCTTCCTCTCCTGCCTGCCCGCCTTGTTCACGGCACGCAGAGCCTGCATGAAGAGAGGAAGATCGTCATCATCATCGCCCTCGTTGTCATCCCCAACCTCCTCCCCCTCCTCCAACTCCTCTTCCTCCTCTCCCTCCTCTTTATCATCTTCCTCCTCTCCCTCCTCTCCCTCCTCCACTTCCTGCTCCTCTTCCTCTTCCTCCTCCTCCACTTCTTCCTCTTCCTCCTCTTCCTCCCCCTCCCCTCCAAACCTCTCAGCATCCTCCACTTCCTCCTCCTCCTCGTCCTCTTCCTCTCTCTCAATCCCCCCCATCCTCTCCACTTCTCTCTCACCCACCCCTCCCCTCATCTCCTCTCTCTCCACCTCCCCCCTCCCTCCCTTTCCCACCTGCCGCCCAGACACCCTCTCCTCCACTCGCACGCTGCCACCTGTCACGCTCACGGCCACCGGTGACACCAGGCTGACGTCAGCTAGCTGCTCCACCCGCGGTCCAAGCGTGGCTGACAGCAACAGTGTCTGAAGCTTCCTGGAAGCACCCTGAATACCCCCTCCCTGAATCAAGCTGTCCTGGCTTGGCCTGTCGCGCAGCAGAGAGAGGATCTCCTTGATGTCACGCTCAAAACCCAGGTCCAACAGCCTGGTGGGGAGGGGTGGGGAGTGGTGGGAAGTGGTGGGGAATGGTGGCGTTAGTGGCAAGGAACTGTTGGTGTGAGGAGCAAGGGATGCAGCGGGGAGAGGATTTCCTTGGTATCTCGTCCAAATCTCAGCTCAGGTCCAGCAGCCTGGTCGAGGAGGTGGGGAGGGGAGGGTGCAACAGCCAGGCAGAGAGGGGGGGAGGAGGGTGCAACGGCCTGGCAGGTGAGTTGCCTCAACGCACACACCCCTCCCCGCCCTCTCTTCAAGCCGCATCACCATTGCTGACCTGGCAGGTGAGTTGTCCGCTTCATCCAGCACCAGCCACTGCAGGTGCTGGAGCTCGAACGAGCACGTGATCCAGCAGGCAGCCACGCGTGGCAATCACGATGGCGAGCCCCTTCCTTGCCCACGCTTTTCACACTAGTTACGCACCTGTCCGCCTCATCCAAGACGAGCCACTGCAGGTGCGCCAGCCCGAACGAGCAGGTGTTGCGCAGATGGTCCAGCAGGCGGCCAGGTGTCGCAATCACAATGGCCAGCCCCTTCCTGAGGCGCGCCTTCTCCTTGCCGCGGCTCTCCCCCCCGATGCACCGCCCCGGCACGATCCACACGAAGCGCCGGCACAGCTGCTGCGCCACCTCCTCTATCTGCACACACAGCTCCCTCGTGGGGGCGAGCACCACCGCTGCATTGCAGGGTTGGGGGAGCGGGGAAAGGGGGAGGGGGGGAGGAGAGCAATGGGAGAGGTGTGATGCACCGCCCGGGCACCGTGGCGCGATCCACACAAACTGGCGGCACAGCTGCTGCGCCACTTCCTATATCTGCCGCATGGGGGCGAGCACCACCGCTGCATTGCAGGGTTGGGGGAAGGGGAAGGGGAAGGGGAAGGGGAAGGAGGAGTTGTTCACGATGGTCCCTGTTTGCTTCACTCAAAGGACCCGAGGAGGAATGGAGAATACTGTGAGCAGCAGACGCGCATTGCTGGTAGAAGCAAAGAGCATCATAGGCTACAGTGTAGTCATCTTTTATAATTCTAGAAAAAAATATTTTTTAGAATTCTTAAAAAATCGTTTTTTAGAATCATAAGCACCACTGCGCTTATAGCGTACAAAGTGCAGCGATATGTCAAACACTCACCATACGTGCCATGCTTGCGGTCCACTCGCTGCCTCCTGCCCTGCAGCGCGTGCAGGATGGGCGCCAGGTACAGCAGGGTCTTCCCCGACCCCGTGTCCGCTCGGATGAGCCTGGAAGGGTGGGGGCGGGCGGGGAAGGAGGGAGGGAGAGGGGTGAGTGAGTGAGAAGGCATGCCTTGAGATGCGTGGTGATGAGGGTGGTGAGGGTGGAGAGGGTGGAGAGGGTGAGAAGGCATACGAATGAGAAGGCGCGAAAGCAGTGAGAAGGAGCCCAGGGAAGGAGGCGCGAGGAGAGGGGACGGAGCAATGGGAGAGAGATCGAAGGTGACGGGCGGGGTAGTGCGAATAACAGGGAAGCGAGGGCAACGAAGGGAGGGCAGTTCGCTCACAGGTCTCGGCCAGCGAGGAGGAGCGGAATGGGGTTGAGAGGGAAAGGGGGTGAGGGAGCAATGGGGTAGAGAGGGAAAGGGAAAGAGGGCAACGAGGGCAATGCGGGCAATAGGGAGGGCAGCAGGGAGGGCAGCAGGTGGCGCACAGGTCTCGGCCAGCGAGGACGAGCGGAATGGCGGCCTGCTGCACGTGCGTCGGTGCTGCGAACCCGAGCTTCTCTGCGAGACGAATGGTTGAGGGGAAGGGTAAGGGGGGAAGTGGGGAAAAACAGGGGGGAAACGATGGGGGGAAGGGGAACAAAAGCTCGTGTTAACAGGCGAGAAGGAATGCAACAAGGCTTATAATCTGGCAGTCTAGCGTTTGTCGTTCTCACGGTGCATTTACGTTGGGCTTAACTGATTCAGGGTTTACGGGAGGGAGAGGAGGGTTTATCCGGCACAGGGATCATCTGCCTCCGTAGCATTCCGCGCACCTTCGATATGCGATGCGAGCGTCTCGCAGAGTCCGAGGTCAGCGAATTTACCCGACGAAAACACAACATCCGACCCCCCCTCCGCTTCCTCGCCCTTCCGCTCCGCCTTCTCCCCTTCCGCCTCACTCCGCTCCGCGTTCCCCCCGTACCCCGCAACTTTGACCTCCTGCCATCTCCCCTCGTTTCCGCCTTTTCCCCCTTCCCCTTGCGCGGAATCTAACCGCTTCTGCCCGCCCCACGCTGCGCCGCCCGCTTTCCCCCCTTGTTGGCGGAACGCTGAGAATCCTTTCCCCGCGCCCCTCCCCGCGCCCCTCCCCTGCTGCCTGCCCGCAAATCCCCCTCCCCTTGCCCTTCCGCCCCGCCCGCCCCGGATAGCCCCGGGAAAATCCCCGCCAGGAGCGCTTCTTTCCCCCGCTCTTTGGAACGCCCCGCCCCAACCCCCGCCTTGCGCGCTCCGCCCACCACCCCCGCTGTCCGACCCCCCCCTCCTGCCCGCCATCGGCGCGCTCTGGCGATTTTTCGCCTCTCGAAAAAATCCGCGTGCTTCTATTCTGCCTTCTTCAGTGCAAAATAAGCTGACGGCCTCGTAGACTGCCTAAGCTGACTCGGCCTTTGGTGGCTGTGGCGTGATTGTATCGAGAGTTCGGGAATATTGAGAATGGCGCACGGGGGTTGCGACTGGGAGAATGAGGGTTTAGAATGCGGGGGACGGGACTTTTGTGTTGGGGTATGAGGCGGGGGTTTAGGCACAATTGTTTTTGTGGGGGGAATTTTTCCGAACTTCATAAACCACTCGAGGTGTACTCAAAATTGGGTTGTTACAGTACTGGGACATATCAAGTTTACACCTTGTCGAGTTCGGCAGGCGACCTCACCACCAGCCCCAACACCTGCCCACGCATCACACACAACTTCCCAGCCCAGCAGCCTTTCGCGATTACTCCCCCGCCCTCCTGTGCGGCCTCGAAGGTCGAACAAGCTCACGAAAGCCTGTCGAACCTTTGCGAGCTCCCTTGCAATGAGATGCAACTTACAGTAATCCTTCCAAGACCGCCATCGCTATGATGAATCCGGGAGGGCAGCAACAGCAGGAGCAGCGGCGGCAGCAGCTGCACCGTCGGTCACAGCACAGATAGTTGAAGCCACTAGGGCCGCCATTCTCGCACCGCCCTTTCTTCCCCCTCTTCCCCCTCTTCCCCCCTCTTCCCCCGTCTCCCCCCATCTTCCCCCATGGAGCGCACCTTTTCCGCCAGCGGGCGCCACAATCACCCCACCTTCGCCTCCGCGCGCTCCCCCTCCCTCCGCCCTTCCGCCTCCCCGCTCTTCACCCACGCTTCCCGAGCTACCGCGCGATCCCCGCCGCATTCCCCGCCGCGTTCCCCGCCGTATTCCCCGCTGTATTCCCCGCCCTACTCCCCCGGCTCCCCCGGCGCTTCCGCCCCATCCTCCCCGCGCCTTAGGTGCCTGTATATAACGATTCTTATAATAGTCTCCTACAACTTAAGTTACGTAGTGGAGCATTTAACTCTGTCGCTCTTAGGCCGGCCTAACGCGTGGTCGCGCGGCGGCGGCGCGCGCGGGGAGGAGGAGTACGGCGCGTACGGCGCTGACAGCGCGTTCTATAACGCGTTCTCCGCGGCAGCTGATAGCGGGGATGACCCCCCCACTCTGGCGTCCTTCACGCCGCCGGACCTCCCCACGTGGGACCCCAACGAGGTGACCAGGGGGAACGGGGGAGGGGGAAGGGGGAAAGGGGGAGGGGGACGGGGGAAAAGGGGAGGGGGACGGGGGAAAGGGGGAGGGGGACGGGGGAAAGGGGGAGGGGGACGGGGGAAAGGGGGAGGGGGACGGGGGAAAGGGGGAGGGGGACGGGGGAAAGGGGGACGGGGGACGGGGGAAAGGGGGAGGGGGACGGGGGAAAGGGGGAGGGGGACGGGGGAAAGGGGGAGGGGGACGGGGGAACGGGCGAGGGAGGGAGGGGGAGAGGGTAGGTAGGGAGGGGGGGGAGAGAGGAGGGAGGGAGGGGAGGGAGGGGAGAGTGGGGAGCTTTCTTAGTCCCAGTGGGTGGTGGAAACACACAAGTGACCTCAATCCACCCCATTCCTCCTCCCCCTGACACCCCCCTCAGGTCCAGGTAGCGGTCCCAGCGATGTTCTGCCACAGCCTCCCTAGAGGCTGTTGCCTGGCACGGCGTATGTTGAGGAAAAGGACGCTTCTATCCACCCCATTCCTCGTCCCATCCTCCCCGCCTCCAGCTGGGGGTCCCAGTGGTCTTTTACCACAGCTGCCCAGAGGCCTGCTGCCGCCCAGAAGCCTGCTGCCGCCCATTCCTCCACCTATCCCTCAGCCCATTCGTCCCCCTTCCCCTCTCAGGTGCAGGCGGAGGTACCGGTGGTCATCTACCACGGCCGCCCAGGAGCCTCTCATTGCCACAAGCAAGGTTCAAAATTACGGTTTTCGAAAAATACGGACTGTAAATTACGACCGTTTTTTTCGGGCAGTTTCGGAAAAAAACGGCGTAATTTAAATAGAGCACTTGATTTATTTTTTTGGAGGGAGATTGGCTCCTAAGCGGCTGCAACGTAAACTGAATGCTTAATAGTGCACCATGGCACCTACAAACACGACCTGCAGACAGGCATGACCCCTATTTGCACCTAATCCCTACACTTGCACATGCTACCTCCTCCTCCTCCTCATTCTCCTCATCCTACTCCTACTCTACGCCTTCTCCTCCTCCCCCTCATTCTCCTCATCCTCCTCGTCCTCATCCTCCTCGTCCTCCTCCTCCTCCTCCTCCTCCTCCTCCTCCTCCTCCTCCTCATCCTCACACTGGTTCACATCCCAAGGGCCTCCCCCTTTTGCCCCCTTGCTGGATTCTGCAGCTCCGACCTCATCAATAGCACACTCAGCCTCCTCCTCCTCCTCCTCTCCCTCCGCCTCCTCGTGTAAGGTACGCCGCTGCTTCTTCTTCCCCCTCCCCTTCCCGCTATGCCTCTTCGCCCGCTTCCCGACCTTTGCCTTCCCCTTCTTCTTCCCCCTCCCACCGACCAGCCCAAAGGTCTCCCAATCAATGGCACATTCCCCGCCACCTTCCCCCCCCTCCTCCTCCCCAAGCTCCACCTCCAAGCCCTCAGATTCTGGTGGAGGGGCACTAGGCCCGGGGAGTCCCTCCCCGATCTTCCCCTCCGCCAAGTCCCCATATAGCTTAGCGCGTTCAGCCACCTTCTCGTCGAACGCTGCCCTGGCGCGCCTGCTGAAGGCCACCCAGGTCACGTCGACCATGGTTTCGGCCTTCAGCCGGTTCCGGTCGCGCCGCTGAACCCGGCTCATGGCGGACCACCAGCGCTCGACCTCTGACGCGGTGAGGGGCTGTGAAAGCACTCTCACAGCCATCTCCTGCAGCTCCTTTACCTCACCCCCGAAAATGACCCACCACTCCGCCTCCGACAGGCGCCCACTCGCCACGAGAGTGGAGGCCGCCCACCGTGCCTGCTGGCTGCCCAACCGCCCCTCCCCGTTGTGGAAGGAGGCGAGTTGTGCCTGCAGCAGGACCTGCCGCTGCAATTCGCTCTCCCATGCCCCAATGACTGTGGCGAAACCCTTGTTGACCTCACGGTCGTCGCGGACCTCCTTGTCAAACTGGTTGCGTGGGGAGAGGAGCCACCCCACGGCCTGCAGGGGGTTGTGGAGCTGCCCATCCCACCTGTGGGCTATGATGGCTTTGACGTGGGCCAAAAAGGCAGCCCGGTCCCTCTGCGGCAGCAACGGGGTCTGCTTCACGAAAAAGTTTGCTGCAGGGGGGATTGCCGTGTGATAGGGAGGGAGTGACGGGGGCAGGGAGGTGAGTCATGTTCAAGGCTTGTGGTCCGGGCAGCAAACAAGAGAATGCATACAAGGTAGAGCGGGTGTGACGGTTTGGAGGGAGAATGCAGAGAACGGAGAGCGGGTGTGACGGGTTGGAGGGAGAATGCAGATAATACGAGGTAAGGAATTACGAGGTGAGCCCTTACCCGCTGCAACCGCGGCCGCGTTTGTCTTGACCGTCGCGTCGAGCATGAGGCCGTAGATCCTGCCCATAAGCAGAGATCTACGGTCGACAGCCCTCAGCACCTCATACACCGGCTTCATGAGGGCAAGGACCGCCGCCACCCCCTCCCAAAAGGTGTCCTCCAGCAGTAGCTTCTTGATATTTTTCCCCTCCTTTGTCTTGGAAACGGCCACCCCCTTCCACTCCTCAGAGATCACCATCCGCATCATGGCTGACTTGACCTCCAAAAAACGGGTGATCATTATCACCTGAGTGCCGAAACGGGTAGTCCCCGGGCGGACCAGCTCGAGCTCACTAAACACCTCTCGAAAGAGGGTTACAGCGCTCGAGCTGTTCTTCACGAGCATCACGCAGCGGTGTGCCTGAAACAGCACCCGCTCGATGATGTCTAGCGCGCCCAAGTCCTGAAGCATAAGATCCAGACCGTGGGCTGCGCAGTTCGTGAAGAAAACCTGGGGAAAACCATCCGCCAACTCCAGCGCCGCCCTTCGGTTATTGCTCGCGTTGTCCATGACAACCTGGACAACCGAGCTATCACCGATCTTGCAGATGGCGGATCTAATCAAACCCGCCAAGAAAACTCTGGTTTTCTTGGCGGTTTTTGAGTCCACCACCTCGACCAGAACAGGGGCCGTGTCGTTCTGGGCAATAAGACACACGAGGCTCCTACTCCTCAGATCCGACCACCCATCAACCGACAGGGTGCACCCCACGGTCTTCCTTGAGGGGCTGGACTAGCGCGTCAGAGTCGGCCTTCAGCCTCTTCAGCAAGGGGCCGCCGACCTTGTATGCGGAGGGAAGGTCATAGGGCTTCCCATAGGCGACAGCAGCGTCCACAAAGGCCTGAACGGCCTTGGACCTGCAAGTAGGGCAAGTGGCGGGTTAGGTTTGCTTAGTGGTTCTTCTCTGCCGAATTCAATGCATGCGCATGCTTGAAAGGTGACAAACAGCAGATCAATCAACAACACAATGGGAATACATACCTTGAAGACCAGAACGACCAATCGTTCTCCGCCACCGCGCATGCCCATAGGTAGTCTAGGTGGTCGCGCGCCTTAGGGTCAACGAGGTCGCGAATGTCGCGCTGTCGAGGACGGCTTTGCCGTTCCCCCCCAATCTTTGATACGGAGCCAGGTGCCGCTGTGGAGCAGGTAGAGCTGCGCTCCGCCTCGGCCGTGGCGCGAAGATTCCTGGCGAATTCCGACTGGCATTCAGCCACGTTCTTGAATTTCGTCGCGGGCGTTCCGTATAGGTGCTCGCCTATCCTGGTTGCACTGTTACTAAGCGCCGATTCGCAATGGAGGCATTCGATTCGGAGGACCTTGCCGTCCTCGCCCCTAACTCGGCGGACGTGTTCCCACATGCGGGACACCGCCCTGCCCATGTCTGCGACGCTGTCTAAATACGCTGGAAACAGGTCGGAGGTGTTTTAAGTCAGCGATGTCAAGGAAATCTGGAGTTGCTATGCGGTAGAGTAAACTGGCTTAGATTTCAGCTAGAAAAACGCTCCAAACTAAGCCCTATGGCAGCTTACAAAACGTCCTACGTATTTTGTATCTCACGCACTTCGAATTTGGGTTGAGAAAGGCTTCGAAGAGAACCCAAATCCATTGGGTTCTGTTTTCGAAACGCGCTTCGGCAGGGGGGTTTCGCAAAATGCGCGAAACCACCCTACTGGGCGCGAAAAGAACCAACGGGTTTCGCGAAGGGGGGGTTCTTTCGTAACGGTCCAGGGAAATTCGGTAAAATGCGCGACTCGGGGTTCGAGTGACTTCGCGCTTCGGGAAAACGTTGACTTATGAACATTCGGGGTTGCGCGTGTACCCCCATCCCCAAAATCCTGATACGGAATTCGACATTCTGAATGTACACCACAGGTTCAAAAAAACGGCCGTAAAATACGGCCGTTTTTTTTAACCAACCCAAAAAAGGTGATTTCGAACCGTAATATTCGTATTATACGGCCGTAAATTACGAAACCGTATAATACGGGCTAAAAATATAAAAAACGCCGTAATTTTGAACCTTGGCCACAAGTGCGCGTGATCGACTCACTCACACACCTCACCTCCGCTCATCCCAGTTTTGAAACGTCTCAAAATCTCCACTCATCATCCCATCAACCCCCGTGTGTAATGAGTCGATTTTTTAGTCGACTCAAAAATCTACTCATTAAACATCATCCCATCACCCCCCGTCCTTTCTCTGGTGCAGGTGGAGTGGAAATAAGGTTGGTTTTGAGACGTCATATCATATCACGTTGCTGGTGGTCATTTACCACGGCCGCCCGGGAGCCTCTCGGATCCACAAGTGCGCACTAGCAAATGACTCACTCACATCACTTGTGGCTCCATCCATCATCCCATCACTCGCCATCCTCTCTCAGGTGCAGGTGGAGGTGCCAGTGGTGTTCTACCACGGCCGCCCGGGAGCCTCTCCCTGCCACAAGTCACACTACGTCTATAAAATAGTGTCCGAGGTGAGATGGCATGGTCTCGATACAAGGAACGGCATACAATGCAAGGATTTACAGCATGCGTGTCGTTCTTTAATTCTTATGTTGAAATATGAATATGTACAGTTTTTGTACATTACATTGTTCAGTGAGCACGAAACTTGCTTGCATTATGAAATGACGCTAGCCAAGAGAAACAACACTAGTTACACTAGCCTATAAGAAAATATATTCCTTTCTTGCCAGGCGAGCCAGCACAAAAACGCGGTGCACTTCATCGGGCCTCGGGAGGGCCACCCCTTACCATCACACATATCTTCTCTTACTGCTGTCTTGCGGGGCGCGCAAGCGCATGCACATGAAACCTTTCTATTGCTCCACTTACCATCACACGCATCTCCTTTTTCTGCCTTCTCACCAGGCGCGCAAGCACAACAACGCGGTGCACTTCATCGGGCCTCGGGAGTGCCGGCAGTTCTTCTTCCACATGGGGGTGCGCTTTGAGGAGCACGCCGAGTACGAGGAGGTGTACGAGTGGTTCATCCGCAACCTGGGGACTCCTGTGGATGTGCATGTGAGTGGTACTGGTGTGCATGTGAGTGGTACTGGTGTGCATGTGAGTGGTACTGGTGTGCATGTGAGTGGTACTGGTGTGCATGTGAGTGCTGCTGGTGTGCATGTGAGTGCTGCTGGTGTGCGTGTGAGTGCTACTGGTGTGCGTGTGAGTGCTGCTGGTGTGCATGTGAGTGCTGCTGGTGTGCATGTGAGTGCTGCTGGTGTGCATGTGAGTGCTGTTTGCGTGCATGTGAGTGCTGCTGGTGTGCATGTGAGTGCTGCTGGTGTGCATGTGAGTGCTGTTTGCGTGCATGTGAATGCTGCCCGTGTGCATGGTGTAGGTACTGTTCATGGGCGTCTGAGTACTGTTTGTGTGCAAAGGCAGTGCGAGAAAGTCTATGAGTGGTTCATTCGCAACCTTAGGACTCCTGTGGATGTGCATGTGATGTGATGTGAGTGCTACATATGAGAAGCATTGTGTGCACATGAGTACTCACCTCCCCTCGCCCAACCTTCCCTCTTTCGTTCTGCACTCACCTCCGCTCCTCTCCCCCCCTCCTCTCTCTCCCTATTCACCTTATCAGGTGAGTCTCTTTTGTTTCATCCTTAGTGAATTGAGCGCCATTGAGCGCATTGAGCGCCACAACTAATCGGTCTCCTTCCCACAACTACGACATCATAGTGCCCCTTCCCTCCCAATCGGTCCATGTATCGCTCTCTCTCCCCTTCTCTCCCTCTCTCCCCTACTTTCTCCGTTCCCCCCCCCCCCCGTCCTATTCCCCCAAGGTGCGCTGGTTCATTCTAAAGAAGTTCATGGAGCGCCATAATTATGGCCGCATCTTCCACCTCGCCACCGAAGTCATGCTCTTCGCCAACGCCTCCCAGGTGCCAACGCCTCCCAGGTGCCAACGCCTCCCATCCCAGGTGCCAACTCCTCCCAGGTGCCAACGCCTGCCTCTCAGGTGCCCGCCCCGCTTGATCTTCACTCTTTCCATTCTAGCATTCTTTTCATTCTAGCATTCTTTCCATTCTGGCATTATACACAGCAAGCCACTGCAATGCCTGCTTTCTCTTGTGCTATTCAGCAACGCCTCCCGGGTGCCTGCCGGCCTCCCATGTTCCGGCCTTTCAGTAGCTATTCTCTGCCTTGCAGTGTCCGCTTTATCTGATCCGCCCCCCTTTGCTCTTCGCCAACGCCTCTCAGGTGGCGGCGTGGCTCTTCCCCAACTCCGACCTCGCCCTCCCAGCGCGCTGGCCCAGCATCAGGCCTCCTTTGAGACCCACTCAGTACTCCTCTGCAGGTGAGTGTGTCCGTGGGTGAGTGGGTGGGAGAGCGATAGTGTGTGGCACAATGTGTGGCTCTTTCCCAACTCCAACCTCGTCCTCCCTATACGCTGGCCCAGCATCAGGCCACCTCTGCAACCCACGCGGTACTCCTCTGCTGGTGAGTAAGGCTAGTCTGCTTGCGACTGCCTGCTTGTTCCCTTCGCTCTCTCTGGCCTTTGACAGGGCGCTCGTCTTACGCCCCTTCCTGCCGCCCATACCTTGGTCCCTTTTCTCAGGAGTGGGCACGCACATAGCATTGATGTCCAATGCTGCTCTCGTCTACTGGTGCCTCTTCTTGCACGCTGTCTTTGACTTGGCGCTCTTCGCATCAATGACCCCTTCCCCCCCCCGCTTTCTACTTGCAGGAGTGGGCACGCACATAGCATTGATGTCCTACGCTGCTCTCGTTGACTGGTGCCTCTTCCTGCATGCCGTCTTTGACTCGGCGCTGTTCGGCGGCGACAAGGAGAGCCAGGATCTGGTGCTGCTGCCCTCCTATGTGGATGTCACCATCATGGGATGGTACACCTTCGCTGGCTGCTGGCTGCAGGTATGGAGACAGGTGCAGTGCGGTGAAGGGTGGTGAAGGGGGAGAGTTGAAGGGAATGAGAGACAAGATCTGGTGCTTCTGCTGCTAAACGTGGATGTGACCATCAAGGGGTGGCACATCTTCGCTGGGTGCTGGCTGCAGGTGAGAGAAGAGGTGGAGGGTCGTTCATAACTGAACTGGACCGATTTTTGAGACCTTGGGTCGTTCAGCACAGAACTCAACAAACGTGGATGTGACCGATTTTTGCGTCCTTGGGCATCAAACCCCCCGTGACAGCCACAGCCCTCCACAAGAGGGCCATCCAATGACCCCTGCTTCCGTGCGTGAGGAGTCTATTTTTTAGGCGCCTCAAAAATACAAGAGGGCCATCCAATGACCCCTGCTTCCGTGCGTGAGGAGTCTATTTTTGAGGCGCCTCAAAAATACAAGAGGGCCATCCAATGGCCCCTGCTTCCGTGCGTGAGGAGTCTATTTTTGAGGCGCCTCAAAAATACCAGAGGGCCATCCAATGACCCCTGCTTCCGTGCGTGAGGAGTCTATTTTTGAGGCGCCTCAAAAATACCAGAGGGCCATCCAATGACCCCTGCTTCCGTGCGTGAGGAGTCTATTTTTGAGGCGCCTCAAAAATACAAGAGGGCCATCCAATGGCCCCTGCTTCCGTGCGTGAGGAGTCTATTTTTGAGGCGCCTCAAAAATACCAGAGGGCCATCCAATGACCCCTGCTTCCGTGCGTGAGGAGTCTATTTTTGAGGCGCCTCAAAAATACCAGAGGGCCATCCAATGACCCCTGCTTCCGTGCGTGAGGAGTCTATTTTTGAGGCGCCTCAAAAATACAAGAGGGCCATCCAATGGCCCCTGCTTCGGAGTGTGCTCTCACTCTGTCACCCATCTCTGCTCTTTTCTCCCCCACCCCCACCCACCCCTCTCCCTCTCCCGCCCCTCTCCACCCTCCTCATTTCAGTGGGCGGAGCCCCCATGTGTTTCAGACGTCAAGCCCGAAACAGCCAAGGCTCTCCGCAAGCGGGGCATTCAGCTGCGCTTCCAAGTGCAGTCGCTGTGCCAGCCACGGCGCTGCCCCAACTCCTCTCTCTTTCCCCCACCCCCCACTCCCCGCTCTCCCGCCCCTCTCCACCCTCCTCATTTCAGTGGGTGGAGCCCCCATGTGTTTCAGACGTCAAGCCCGAAACAGCCAAGGCTCTGCGCAAGAGAGGCATTCAGCCGCGCTTCCGAGTGCAATCCCTGTGCCAGCCACGGAACTGCCTCAATTCTTCGTGGTCCAACGAGGGCCCCTGCGTCTTCGACAACAACTTCTCCCTCACCTCGGGCCGCCCCTTTTTCAAGTTTAAGACCGGAGACAAGTGCCCGTCGACCATGCACTATGCCTTCTACCGCGGGTGGGAGGAGGAGGCGCAGACGGAGCCAGTGCAGTTTCTAGCCGTGCATTTCATGCACCGGAAGAAAGAGTTTCTGAGCACCAAGTTTCCTCCTGAACCGGAGAAATCATGGGGTAGCGCTGCTGAGTAGCAGTGGTTATGAGATGCTTTCATGCATTTTGCAGTCACCATGTGCCATATCCATGGAATGCAGGGAAGCAAGCAAGAACATCAGGTTCGAGATGGTGGGATGGGAGGTACATGTATGAGGCTGTGAAAGCGCATCATACGAGGCAACTGTGAAGTCAACTCTCTACAGCCTCATTCGGCCAGGTCTCTTTTGCACTGAGCAGAGGTTAACACAAGCACGAAGACAATTTTCACGCAACGACCAACGCACGCGAAGTCAAATTGAAAGCTCAGCAATGTGTGACTGCACAACCATGGCACTACAACCCAACCGACACCACCCCTACCCCATTAGCCCATCGTTACCCCCCCGAAACCTCCCTCCCTCCACCCTTTATTCCTCCTCATCGTCGCGCTCCGGCCAGCAGCAGTCGTCCTCCTCCTCACATTCGCTGTCAAAGCCGTACTCGTGGTCGATGTTGTCATCCTCCCCATCACTCTCCCCCTCCAAGCCCCTCCCCTCTTCCTCGCCCTCCTCCCCCCCCCCCCCCCCCCCCCCCCCCCCCCCCCCCCCCCCCCCCCCCCCCCCTTCCTCCCCCTCCCTCTTCTCCATCCTCCATGCCTCCAACACCAGCAAGCCTCCGAGTGTCTCGCCGTGTGAGCAACGGGCACTCACTGATGTAACACTCACGCAGCGTCGGCATTCGCCGAAGGGAATTCGGCAGCCGAGCCAGCCGCTTGCAGGCGATCAGGTGCAACAGCTGCAGCTGGGGCAGCTGAGTGAAGGACTTGGGCACGCTGCACACACGCCTCAGCCCCAGGAGCACCAGTTTCTTGAGGGAAGAAAGCTTCCAGAAGTCTTCGGGAATGGAAGAAATGCCCATCCCCCACATCCCTCTCTCCCTCCCCCTCCCCCCCCCCACCTCCTCTTCCACCGACTCTTTTCCTCACAAGTTCCAGCAACTTAATGGTCCTCTTCTTCCTCATTTCGACCCCCAGTATCTGTCGTCGTCCCTGTCGCTGTCGCTGTCCATGCCAAACTCGTGATCTATGTCATCATCATCATCATCCCACTCACTCTCTTCCTCAGATAGATCCAAGTCTTCCCCATCCCCCCCTCTTCCCCCCCATCTTCCCCATCTTCCCCTCCTTCCCCTCCCTCTTCCCCTTCCCCTCCACTTCCTCATCATCCTCCTCGTCCGCTCCCGCTCCCTCCTCTCCATTCTCCACGCCTCCCCTTCCAGGAATCCCCCGCCTGGAGCGCCGTGAGAGCAAAGGGCATTCAGTGACCGAGCAATCACGCAGCATCGGCATTCCCCGGAGGGACGGCAACCGAACAAGCTGCTTGCAGACGCTCACTTCCAGCACCTGCAACCGAGGCAGCTGAGCGAACGAGTGAGGCAAGCTGCGCAAATGCTTCAGTCCCAGGAGCACCAATTCCTTGAGGGAAGAAAGCTTCCAGAAGTCATTCGGAATGGAGGAAATACCGAGCTTGATAAAAGTGCAGGTCTGCAGCCTGGACAGGCTCGTAAAGGATTCTGGAAGTCGCATCAGTTTAATACAGTCAATGATTTCCAGCGTTTCGAGCATTTTCAGCTGTCCAAGAGACTCGGGCAGATCGCGTATTGTCACGAGGCCAAGCAACTGTAAGACGCGCAGCCCGGAAAGCGCTCCAAGGCTTTCAGGCAGCGGATCCAGCTTCATGGACCAATCAATCCGGAGCTTTTGCAGGTGCGAGAGTTGAGAGATGGAGTCAGGGAGCGAGGAGAGGCTATGCATGTCAATAAGCTTCAGCTTTGTTAGGGACGACAGTCGGCCAAGCGACGGACCGAGTGACTCGAAGTTGAGATCCTTGAGCTTGAGGCTCTGGACGGCTGGCAGCAGTGCGCTGCTGCTGCTGCTGCTGCTGCTGCTGGTGCCTGCCAAAGAACCCCTGCCAGTGCGATCTCGCAGCTTCTCATCCCCTAGCAACGCAATTAGCCCCTTGCATGCCCGCACCTCCAGCACCCGCAGTCTGGAGTGCTCAAGCAGCGACAGAGGGAGACGTTTCAGGCCGTCCATCCGCGCGATCCTGACCTCCTCGAGCAACTGCAGCCGTCCAAAGCCCTCAGGCAAGTCAATTATTCTCGGGCAGTTTACCAGCTCCAGGTTGGTCAGTGAGAAAACGCCGTAGAAGGAGGCAGGAAGGGCAACCAGGCGCGGCAAGTGACGGAGCCACAACTCTCTGAGGCTTTTCAAGCAACCAAAGCCGTCTAGGAGGGCTCCTCTGAATCGTTTTGCGTGAAGAATCTTCAGGGTTTCGAGGGAAGTCAGGCCGGAGAAGGTTGGAGGGAGGTGGGTGAGAGCCGTGCAGTGCAGCAAATGCAGATTGCGCAGACTCTGCAGACCGTTCCCCATGCCGTCTGGTAGCACAGTGAGCCTCGGACAAATGTCAATCTCCAGGTGCTCGAGCGTAGATAGCTGGGATAGGGAGTCCGGGAGCCGTTGCAGCTGCCTACACTCCAGTAATTTCAGCTCCCTGAGAACTGTCAACTGCCCGAGGGATTCGGGCAGATGTGTGAGCTCTGGAAGGTCCTTCAGGCGCAGCGTTTCCATGCCAATCAGCTGCCCGAACTCCTCGGGAAGAGATGTCAGGCTTAAGAGACGACTAAGGGAAAGCTCCTGAAGCGTCGTGACCAGGGCGATGGAATCTGGAAGGGTGTTGATGTGCACTAGACTCAGCGTGAGAGTCCGGAGCTCTGATAAGTGTCCAATATCTTCGGGCGGCACTAAAAGTCCATGCAAGTCAAGGTTGAGGCTGGTGAGAGAACTCAGGCCGGAAAGGGACGCGGGCAGGGACGTAATATCACCGCAGTCCTTGATGATAGCCGCCTTCAGCTGCTGCAGTTGTAACGTCTGCGGACAGAAATTACCCTAGAGGTTGTAAACGCATTCCGCTGCGCCTCTGGGTAACCTCGTTTTGACCCAATGGGTAGCGAGGCGTTATACTGGTTTCAGAGCTTAGGGTTTGACTCCCGTCGGGACACATTTTCCGCGCACGGCTGAGGTCGTGGCGAGAACTCGAATGTGCGAAAATACAGCTGCGGTTGTATCCAGTCGCGAACCCAGCGAACGATCCTATCCGTTGGCATTGTCCACCAACGAAGTCGCTGACTTGGAGCACCAGTGAAATGAGAGGTCCTTGCGAGGGCCGACTCCCTAAACCAACGAGGACGTTGGCACCAGGGGGGAACGAGTGTGACGTCTGCGGACGGAAATTACCCTATAGATTGTAAACGCATTCCGCTGCGCCTCTGGGTAACCTCGTTTTGACCCAATGGGTAGCGAGGCGTTATAGCAGTTGCTCGAGAGCGTCAACCAGCTACCCCATTCCCGACGACTCAACAAGAACCAGGGTTTCGAGCGCCTGCAATCGACCAAAATTGGCGAACGGCGGTATAATAATTCAAGACCGTCGAATCTCCAGAATCGCCAAAGTCGAAATGTTGGTAAGGGAGCGAGGCAGCTGCAACGTTGCGCACGAACTGATGGATACGGTTCAGGCTGGCAAGCTGTCCGATGGATTCTGGCAGTGACGTCAGAGAGTGGCAGTGCAGCTCTAGAGACTCTAGTAGAACCAGATTGCCAAAATCTAGAGGCAAAGCTCGGAGCTCGAACGTGAGGAGCACGAGGCTTCTTAGGGACCGTAGCGAGGTAAAGGTGTCGAGAAGACGCGTGACGCTTGCCATGAGGTCCAGCTTCCTGAGCGAGGTATTTTTTAGAATTCTTTAAAATACCCTGCAAATTTGAGGGCTTCCTGAGCCAAGTCAGATGGTCGATGGAGGGAGGAATGGCAGCACCCTCAAATAAAGGCAGATAAAGACCCTCCAGCCGAGTGCAATTCTCGAAAAATAGAAGAAGGCTCGTCTCAGTTACACCTGTGCAACTGGATCCTCGTGTCATCGAGTCAACGTGAAGCTTGGTCAGATGGGGACACGTGTCGACGAGGCGAGCGAAGAAGGAATCAGAGACAGAGGTGAGGCTGGCAGAGGGAAGGACGAGCTCTTTGACATTTCCGAACGACGATATAAGTTGAACGAGGCGAAGCGGATCCATACGGAAGTCGTTGCGCAAGTAGATCTGGTCCTGCACGCGATATGCGATGCGATGCCATTGCACGCTCCAGCTGGCCATCGGGTCGAACAAGAAAATGCAGGGCCCGAGAAAGCAGGTCGTCAGGTAGCCGCTAGATAGGAGATCCAACCGACATCGTAGCTGAAAGACGTGACTAAGGTAAACTTGATCTACTCGCCAGAGAGCTACAGAAAGGGTACATATCAGGAGGATCAGGGCGCGTATAAAGTGAAACCGAGAGTGACGTCCTGGGATGTCAGCGAAGGCTTAGTATCGTTACCATATGTAACAACAACTGTAGACGCATTGTCAGTGTTCAGCCGAAAATAGGACGCATCCGAGCTGACATCCCAGCACATTTTGCACTGCCCAAAGCCATGCACGTGGGCAAGAGACGAAAAAACAAAACCAAACATGTAGCGAAACCACGAACCAGTTCGCGAGACAGAGACTTTGGCAAGTGGAGTGTCAGCACATCGAATGCGATGTGCAATCCCTCGTATGTTCCGCACGTTGCTGCATTCTTTTAATGCAATCCTTTTTTCTCGCCTAACGCCTGGTTTCAGCATCCTCTGAAACGTTTCTCGCGTGTTTCGCATTTTGTCATTGTTCAATGTGCTTGTGTAGCCCTCAGAATAAGCAAACTTGACTTCGCGCGGACGTCGCCGAGTAACGTTAAAATAGCTTATCGGGCATCGCCCGTTTACTTTATACAAGGCCTTAGTCGGCGTATTCCTGTTCTCTCCCAAACGGCGAAACCCTAGACTTATCGATGGCACCGCAATCCACCGCTTGATATCTTGAATTGCTTTTCCTTAAGAATTCCACGAACAGGTCGCCAGGTTTGTGAGGAGGACTGCGATACAAGGCTCTCTCTGTCTGGCCCGCACGACCCCCTGGTTCTGTGGTTTGGTGACAATTTTGTAAGTGGGTGTGTATTTTGGTATGAACCCAATCAAGGGAGCCCACCTGTTAGTGGGTGTGGTGGAGACACCACGAATTACAATGCTGGTGCTGTAACTACGAAAGAACTCTGTTCATATAAAACTCATACTGGAAACTCGTGCTAATTTCAATCAATTGTTTGCCAGTATAAGTGACTTTTGTATGAGAGTCCACTGCAATGCGGTGCCTGACTCAACTATCGAGTGACACACAGGGGTTGACATATCCTCGGAAGGGCCATGGGGGGCTACGCCTGGGGGGCTATGGGAGCGCTGACCCGCTACTAAACAATCCCTTTTAGCACTGTGGTTAGTGGCTGTGACACCAACATGTACGTTGCTGCCACAATGCCATCCCTGGCTTTTGACTGACTGTACACACCACCACAAATACCTTTAAACAACATTTAAAGAAAGCAAATAATTAATGGAACTCCTTAACCTAGGGGTGTGTTTCTGCAAGAGGCTCCAAGTTCTTGGCTCTAGCCACAATATCTATTCTACCATATGCCAATGATTGCTTGGGATTACTTGGAGATGCGTGCGTCAGGAGAAATACTATACAGGGAAAGAATTCATATTCACCCAGGAGGTCTACCTCGGCACCTAATCCAGCAACCTACGCACCCTCCTCCCTCCTGCCACCATAGTTGCTGTCAAAGCCATGCATCAAGACCCCCCAGCTGAGCCTACTGTAAGTACAAAGTGTGGGTCCCATACGTCATTGTTTGTTGGGATCCAAGGGTATTGGTAGACTCGTCGGCTCTCCAGCTGAATGTTACGAAATACGTTACCATGAAAACGATCCCCTTGTTGCATCGGGTGTTTGCGCTCATGGGGACATGTGTCGCGTCGTGGTTCGCCAAGCTGCATTATTGTGCCAACGGGCCCCGGCCGCTGCTGACGTGGCAGCGGGAGCAGAAGGGGGGAGCTACCAGGGGTTCTTTGTTGCATGGGTGGGGGCAGGGGAGAGGTTTTGGCAGGGGAAGGGGGAGGGGGGGAGGGAGAGGAAGGGGTGTGGGATGGGGACAAGGGAGGATCAACCAGTATTATGGAACAACTCATTGTGTGTTTCGTGGGGTGAAGGTGAAAGTGGTGGGGAGAGAGAGAGCGATGACAGGCAGTGGTGATGGATGAATGGGATCAGGGGAAGAGGAGAAATCAAGGAGGAGGGAGGAGGAACGGAGCAGGTATGGGTGAAAGTAGCAGGCAGGACCATGTGTTTAGAGGGGGCAAGTGGGGCAAAGGATGCAGATGGGCAGGGGCACACCTTGCCAATCTGCCAGTCGTGTAGAGGAGTTGTAGTTGATTCCAGTTAGATGCATGCTGGTGGTAGGGCGAGTGAGGCTACCGGTGTGGGGCAAGAGATTCAACTAGGGCAAGTTGGAAATTTGGGTCGAATGCTGACGCTCATTCTTACGATGCAATCTGCCCTCCCAGAGAGGGAATACCATCATCAAGTAGTGGAAAGCGACTTTTAGGGCATCCATCATCCAACACTCTAGATCGCCCAACAGTCAAGATCGCCTACAGTAACTGTCAAGTTCGCCAAACGTCAAGATCGCCCAACACTCCAAATTCAAGTTCGCCCAACACTCAAGATCACCCTAAGCTCAAGATTGCCCATCATGCAAGATTGCCCAATGCTCAAGATTGCCCAATGCCCAAGATCGTCCAACGCTCAAGATCGCCCAACGCTGAAGATCGCCCAATGCTCAAGATCACACGACATTCAAGATCTCAAGATATCCCCAAGGGTCAAGACCGCCTAACAAGCAAGATTACTCAACGCTCAAGATTGCCCAACACCCAAGATCGCCCAGCGCTCAAGATCACCCAAAGCTCAAGATCACCCAACAATCAAGATCGCCCAACGTTCACGATCGCTTAGTGCTCAGAATCACCGGCACTCAAGATCTCAAGATCGCCCGACGCTCAAGATCGTCCAATGCTCAGGATTGCCCGACACGTAAGATCGCCCAACGTTCAAGATCGCCCAATGCTCAAGACCGGCTAATGACCAAGACCGCCCGACGATTGAGATCGCCCAACTCTCAAGATCGTCCAACGCTCAAGATTTCCCAACAATCAAGATCGCCCAACAATCAAGTTCTCCCAATGCACAAGACCTCCCAATGCTCAAGATTGCCGAACAGTCAAGGTCACCCAACAATCAAGGTCGCCCAATGCTCAAGATCGCCTAACACTCAAGATCGCCCAACGCGCCGAACGCTCAATCTCGGCCAACGCTCAAGATCGTCAAGCGCAAGATCGTAAACGCTCAAGATTGCCCAGCTCGCAAGATCGCCCAACGCTCAAGATCGCCTAACGCTCAAGATCGCCCAACGCTCAAGATCGCCAAACAATCAAGATCGCCTAAGGCTCAAGATCGGCCAACTCTCAAGATTGGCCAACGCTCAAGATCGCCCAACTCGCAAGATCGCCCAAGGCTCAAGATTGCCCAACAATCAAGGTCGCCCAACGCTCAAGATCGCCCAACGCTCAAGCTCGCCCAACACGCAAGATCGACAACGCTCAAGATCGCCAACTCTCAAGACCGCCCAACTCTCAAGATCGCCCAACAATCAAGACCGCCTAACAATCAAGATCTCCCAATGCACAAGACCGCCCAATGCTCAAGATCGCCCAACAATCAAGGTCGCCCAACGCTCAAGATCGCCCAACGTGCCGAACGCTCAATCTAGGCCATCGCTCAGGATCGCCTGGCAATTAAGATCGCCCAACTATTGAGACCGCCCAACTCTCAAGATTGCCCAACGCTTCAGATTGCCCAACGCCCAAGCTCGCCCAACGCTCAAGATCGCCCAACAATCAAGATCGCCTAAGGCTCAAGATCGGCCAACTCTCAAGATCAGCCAACGCTCAAGATCGCCCAATGCTCAAGATCGCCCAAAAATCAAGATCGCCCAAAAATCAAGGTTGCCCAACAGTCAAGATCCCCCAACGCTCAAGATCGCCCAACGCTCAAGCTCGCCCAACGCGCAAGATCGCCAACGCTCAAGATCGCCGATGCTCAAGATTGTCCAACTCTCAAGATCGCCCAACTCTCAGGATCGCCCAATGCTCAAGATCGCCCAACAATCAAGATCGCCCAACAATCAAAATTGCCAAACGCACAAGGTCGCCCAACGCACAAGGTCGCCCAACGCACCAGATCGCCCAACGCACAAGATTGCCCAATGCTCAAGGTCGCCCAACAATCAAGGTCGCCCAAAGCTCAATCTCGCCCAACGCTCTGGATCGCCAAGCGCAAGATCGCCCGTTCACCCAACGATCGAGATCCCAACTCTCAAGATCGCCCAAAGCTCAAGCTCGCCCAATGCTCATGCTCGCCAACGCGCAAGTTCGTAGATGCTCAAGATCGCCCAACAATCAAGACTGGCCAACAATCAAGACCGGTCAACACTCAAGATCACCCAACTCGAAAGATCGCCCCAACACTCAAAACCGCCTGGCAATCAAGATTGTCCAATGCTCGAGGTCGCCCAATACTTAAGATCGCCCAACGCGCAAGATCGCCCAACGCGCATGATCGCCCAATGCTCAAGATCGCCCAACAATCAAGAGCGGCCAACAACCAAGATCGTCCGACAACCAAGATCGCCCAACGCTCAAGAATCCCCAACGCTCAAGATCGCCCAACGCTCAAGATCGCCTAAAGCTCAAGATCGGCCAACTCTCAAGATCGGCCAACACTCAAGATCGCCCAACTCGCAAGATCGCCCAACGCTCAAGATCGCCCAACAACCAAGATCGCCCAACAATCAAGATCGCCCAACGCTCAAGATCGCCCAACCCTCAAGGTCGCCCAACAATCAAGGTCGCCCAACGCTCAAGCTCGCCGAACGCTCAACATCACCAAATGCTCAAAATCGCCCAACAATCAAGACCGCCCAACAACCAACATCGCCCAACAATCAATATTGCTCGACAATCAATATCCCCCAATGCTCGAGATCGCCCAATTCTCAAGATCGCCCAACGCTCAAGATCGGCCAACGCTCAAGATCGCCCAACTCGCAAGATCGCCCAACACTCAAGATGGCCCAGCAATCAAGAACTCTACGCTCAAGGTCGCCAAATGTTCAAGGTCGCCCAACAATCAAGGTCGCCCAATGCTCAAGATCGCCCAACGTTCAAGCTCGCCAAACGCTCAAGAGGCCCAAATGCTCAAGATCGCCCAACGCTCAAGACCGCCCAACAACCAAGATCGCCCAACAATCAAGATCGCTCGACAATCAATATCCCCCAACGCTCGAGATCGCCTAACTCTTAAGATCGCCCAACTCTCAAGACCGCCCAACTCGCAAGATCGCCCAACGCTCAAGGTCGTTAAACGTTCAAGGCCACCCACCCAACAATCAAGGTCGCCCAACGCTCAAGATCGCCCAACGCTCAAGCTCGCCAAACGCTGAAGATCGCCAAATGCTCAAGATTGCCCAACGCTCAAGACCGCCCAACAACCAAGATTGCCCAACAATCAAGACCGCTCAACAACCAATATCCCCAACACTCCAGATCTCCCAACTCTCAAGATCGCCCAACACTGAAGACCGGCCAACGCTCAAGGTCACCCATCAAGATCACCGCTCAAGGTCGCCCAACGCTCAAGATCCCGAATAAAAGATTGCCTGAAGCGCAAGATCGCCCAATACACAAGATCGCTCAACGCTCAAGATTGCCCAACGCCTAAGATTGGAAGCCGCAAGGTCGCCCAACGCTGAAGATAACCTAGTGCTCAAAATCTGGCCTTTGACATTCAAACTTTGAATCGCTGTTCTTTTTCCCATTGTCTTGGGCATATTTTTTTCTAGTGGTGCATTCTCGGCTATTTCTGAAACTAGCCGGAATTAAGGCAATACACTCCTGAACTCGACTCCATCTCAGCTTTTCGATAGTTCGGATGTTGCTTGTGTGTCTCCATTGCTCTGTGTTTTTTGAAAGGACGAAGATTCAAAGGTAGCTCAATGCAGCTGGACATTTCAGCTCGTCTTGGTTCGTATCGAGAATTGTTTTTATCCAGTATGTTCATTAGATGGATTGCTTGCTGTGTGGTTCCTTTTTTCGTGTTGAAACTGTGTTGACAGCGACGGTGTGTCCGACTTATAACGAGGACGTGTCTGACAAGCCGAGGCAGTGTCGGTCCCACCACCCATCACAACTTCAAGGTGCTGTCAGTTCCTAGAAAATACCGTCCGATTAGTAGCACTACATTGGTAACGGATTCCGATAAGAAGCTGACGGATCGCCACTCCGCGTCCCTGCGACCCCGGCACTTAGAAAGCTCCGTTTTAGGAGTCTACTGGGTGTCGTAGTTTACTCCGAAGCCACCTACTATCGGAGCCATTTGACGCATCGCGTTACTCGGGTTTTCAATCATGCGGGTTTTCCGCAAAATTGGGAGGCTCTCACGGACGCGATGAGTGACTCATCGCAATCGCACGGTCCAGCAATGGCGACGTCAGCTGAGGGAAATCTCAAGCGTTCATCTGCACAACCAGTCACGCCAGGACGATGCGGATTCTCGAAGCACCCACCAACGAGTCGTCTGCGTCGCCAGCTGGCCGCCTGCTGGTCGTTAGTCCTCGCGACCGTTGCGACGGGTGGTTACCACGCCAAACTCGCGACGGCCGCCAGTCCTGGGCGTAAGTGCTTCGCTCAGCATCTAAAACAGCAAGAAAGCTGGGCCTTATTAAGCGTCGATGCGGTGTAAGCTAGGGCGCGTCGTAACCCGTTAAAAAACCCTCTAAGTACTAGCCATCAGTACCTTCCGCCAGTGTGGGAACTAGTGTCACTTAATCGCGTCCTGGCGGAGTCTTCCCCCCGTGGCCTCTCCGCCTACCGTGACTCCTCTTCCCCCCTTCCCCTTCTTCCCCCCTTCCCCTTCTTCCCCCCTTCCCCTTCTTCCCCCTTCCCCTTCTTTCCCCCCTCCCCTTCGTCCCGCCTTCCCCCAGTGTGTGAACTGTTGTCACTCAAGCGCGTCCTACCAGAGTCGCCCCCGGCGGCCCTCTCCGTTTACAGTGACTTTTCCGTCACCTTTCAACCGCACCCCCTCCTTTCCGTCTTGCCAACCTGGCGCCCTCTATTCCCTTCCCCGCTCTTCCCCTCCCCCCAGTGTGGGAGCTAGTGTCACTCAAGCGCGTCCTAGCAGGGTCTTCTCCGAGTGGCCTCTCTGCCACTGAGCATATTGACCCTCAACTCTGTGCATATTGACCCTCCCTCACTCCTGCCTCTCTCCCTCCACCACCCCCCACTCCCCCCCCAGTGTGGGGGCTGGTGTCACTCAAGCTTCTGGCGGAGTCTTCCCCGAGTGCCCTCTCCGCTTATAGTATTCCTCCTCAACTCTGTGCATATTGACCCCCCTTCACCCCCGCCTCTCTCCCTCCGCCTCCTCCCACTCCCACCCCCAGTGTGGGAGCTGGTGTCACTCAAGCGCGTCCTAGCAGGGTCTTCCCCGGGCGCCCTCGCCGCGTACAGTGACTCGGGGGATCCGTGCAGAGGGGGGTGGGGCGACAGGGTGGCGTGCAACGAGCAAGATCATATCATTGCACTGTAAGAACATCCTGTATCTGGGCCGTCAAGAAAGTTGGGTCTCAGAGGGCCGTGCAGCAGAGGGGAGTGGGGAAACAGGGCTACGTGCAACGAGGCGAGGCGGATTAGGTTATTACGCTGTCAGGCTTTTCCTCTTGTTTTTTCTCCCCTTCTGCCTTTTTCCCCACCCCAGCAGCACCGTCACACCTTCCCCCCGTCCCCCTCCCCCTTCCCTACCCCTCCGTCCGTCCCTCCCTGGGTTATGGCATTCCTTTCTCTCATCACAGCTTAACCTGCTTCGTCTCTGTTCAGTTTTTTCCCCAGATAGAATGCCCTCGTTTCTTCGTTTTCCTCGTTTCTTCGTTTTCCTCTGTTCAGTTTTCCGCACCCCTTTTTCACGAGTCACCATGCTCACTTCCCTTTGACTCTTTCCCCTCCCCCCCCTCCCCCCCTCTGTTCTACCCCAGCAACTTTACAGGAGAGGGTCTCAAGGGGACCCTCCCCGGCAAGGAGCTGTCGACTTTTCGTACACTAGTGAGCCTGTGAGTGGTGTGTGGAGTGGTTTAGAGCGGTGCAGGTTGGTGTAGTAGGATGTACAACAGCAAATTTACAGGGAGGGTCCCAAGGGTGCTCTCTCCCAGGCAAGAAACTGGCGCTTTTTCGTACATTAGTGAGCCTGTGCGTGGTTCAAGTCAAAGTGGTGTAGAGTGGTGAAGAGTGGTTCAGAGGGGTGTGGGTCAGCTCAGCAACTCGGCAGCAGAGCCAGATATTGTTACAGGATCCTCAGCAATGTGTTATTTGCATATGCCTTTCATGTGCATGCATGCTAATAAAACTATAACCGTGCCGACGTGCATGCATGTGACTTCTCTGCGTCTTTTCTCATGCAGTGACTTTGGGCAGAACAGTTTCACGGGCCATATACCCCCAGAATTGGCATCACTAACTTCCCTAACTTATCTGTACGTCTCCGCCTATCCCACCAATTTTTTTTCTTTTGGTGAATGCAACCTTCTCCCTTATAGAAAATCAAAACTCTAATCCTCACTCCATGTAGCAACTCGTGGGTTTTTACACGTTTCAATTCAATCACTCTAATTGAAGGCCTCTCGTGTTTTCTTCTGAAGTTTCCGTCGTCCAGTCAGATTGAATTAAAGCCCTTGGCCCCCTGGCTCTATCGGTAGGTCACTGGCATCCAACAACCTCACCGGCGCTGTACCGTCGTGGCTCGGCCTCTCCTTTCTTAACCTCGTCGAACTGTAATGAATATACCACCTCACCTCACCACTGCTATTATTTCCCTTGGATGCTATTATTGCGTCTGAATGCTGCGAATTAGCCTGTAAATTGCCCTTTTTTTTAGTTCCTGCTGAGTTTTTACGAGTCATTGCATGCAGCTGCTCTCGACTATCGCCTTATCCCCTACCGGCTCGCTCTCCTCCTCTCACCAGTTCAGTTCAGTCACATGCAATCACTGCCACCCTTTCTGCTGCATCCGACCTCTGTTGCAGGCACCTCAGCAACAACCACCTGGAAAGAGCCCTGCCTGAGAGCATTGGCGGCCTTCAGGTGTTACAAACAATGTGAGAGGTTTTCAGATGTTACAAACAATGTGTGTGGCTTTTAGGTGTTACAAACAATGTGAGAGGTTTTCAGATGTTACAAACAATGTGTGTGGCTTTTAGGTGTTCCAAACAATGTGAGAAGTTTTCAGATGTTACAAACAATGTGTGTGGCTTTTAGGTGTTACAAACAATGTGAGAGGATCCTTGCAGCCACGCATGGGTCACTCTTGTACGATGCTTATTTCTGAGGCGCCTTAAAATACACTCCTCACTGACGGGGTGCACTTGCAAGTTGCTGAATTAGCCAATTGAGAGCCTTACTTATGAGTCTTATTGAGGATACTTCAGATGAGGTGTATGAAGGGCATATTCTGTTATTGCATGGGTATAAACGGAGCACAGCTCGTCATGGTCGTATAAGGATGGGTGCCAGACCGAAATTCCGTTGTGTGAGTGAGGGGGCATGTTTTGCTGGTTAAAAACATCAGTGTGCGTCTGTGTGGACCCAGGGATCTGAGTGGCAACAGACTAACCGGCAGCATTCCACAGAGTATCCACGGCTGCAATGCCGCCATGCGCCTGTGAGTCACCGTGGATGGATCGTTGCACCCTTGCACCCGTTCGTGTCGTCTCTTTCCCTGCCAGTTCAGATGCCTAAGTGCATCCGGCTACACCCCTACATGCGGTCATGCAAGTCCCACTTTTCATTGATCCGATGGTTGCAGGAATGTCTCCTTCAACTCTCTCACCGGCAGCCTCCCAGCATCCATCGGTTCGATGAGAACCCTGCAAGCGCTGTAAGCATGCTCCCAGCTCCTTTCCTTTCAAGCTCCAATCCACAGCTTTTGAGTTCCCCGTTCAACTCTCTCACATGCAGCATCCCAGCATTGCATATATCGGATCAATGAAGAGCTTCCACGCACTGTAGGCGACCTCTCTGCCGTGCTGTGACCTTCTATCCACCCAACGGTCCAGATCCATATCGCAATAAAGCCACACTCACTCGCTTGTCAGTGCTCCCACTCCATGCTCCCGCTTCATGCCCCCCCTCCATGCGCCTCCCTTCCCATGCAGTGACCTCCAGTCGAACCATCTGTCCGGATCCAGTTTTGAGGCGCCTCAAAACCCCTCCATGCGCCTCCCTGCCCATGCAGTGACCTCCAGTCGAACCATCCGTCCGGATCCAGTTTTGAGGCGCCTCAAAACCCCTCCATGCGCCTCCCTGCCCATGCAGTGACCTCCAGTCGAACCATCTGTCCGGATCCAGTTTTGAGGCGCCTCAAAACCCCTCCATGCGCCTCCCTGCCCATGCAGTGACCTCCAGTCGAACCATCTGTCCGGCTCCATACCTGAAGCAATCGGCCACGCCACCACTCTCACTCTCCTGTAAATCCCCCCTTCTCACTCACTCTCCTGTAAATCCCCCTTCTCACTCTCACTCTCCTGTTAATCCCCCCTTCTCACTCTCACTCTCTCTCTCTCCTGTAAATCCCCCCTTCTCATCTCACTCTCACTCTCCTGTAATCCCCCCCCCTCTCACACTCACTCTCCTGTACATCCCCTTTTCTCATTCTCACTTTCCTCTAATGCACACGTCTCACTCACCCTCTTGGACTGTTCCTTCCCCCGCCTGCTCTCTCCTTAAACACCCTGCCATGCTTTCACCGTGAGTTGCCTTGGCAGAACACGTTATACTTTCCTCAGTGTCTTGGTTGCTTCTGTCTTGTCTTGTCTCCGGGCTTGCACATGTTGCCTAATAAGTACACTGTGTGGGCTGCATATTAGATGGGCTGGGCGCATCATGTGGGCTGTGAGTGAGGTAGGCTGTGAGGTGGGCTGGGCACATAATGTGGGCTGTCATGTGGGCTGTGAGGTGGGCACATCGCCAACCAACGTTTAAGGATGGACCATGCTTGCAGGTGTTTCCGATTACGCAACGGCTTATTCCAGCATCCATCACTAATCGTACCGTATTGCTATCTTGTGTATCGTTTCGCGTGTCAATCAGATCTTTGGACGGCAATCTCCTCTCCGGACCAATCACATCATCCCTCGGCAAGCTGCCCTTGTTACACAGCTTGTGAGAAACATTTTCGTCACATGTGCCACTTTGAGTCTGCTTGTGAGGTTCTGCCTTACCGCATTCCACCATTCTGCATGTACCACCTACCACCTTTCCTCTCTCTGGACCATCTCACACCGTCTCTCGGCAAGCTACCCTTGCTGCACTGCTTGTGCGACGCACTCAACCCTACTGCATTCTACTGTACCCTTGTGTGTATGTACCACTTTGAACCTCACTGAACCACACCATTCCACCTCCCATATACACCCCCTTTTTTTTTTAAATAAAGATGCATGTAGCTATTTCTTTCATTCATAAATGTCTTTCCTTTAGTGGTAATAAGTTTTCTCCCACATCCCTTTTTCCCCGCCACTGCATGGCAGAGGTCTCTCCAATAACAAGCTAGAGGGCCCCATCCCTGAGTCGTTTCGACAGCTGCCAAGCATTGCCTTCTTGTACGCTATTGACTAGATTCGCTCTTCCTACTTTACTCCTTCCACCACCATATGCACCTGAATGAGCATTACCTTGCATTGCACAGCCGCACTCAGTTTCCTTTTTGCTGGCCTGCGGTTTCCACTTTCGTTTTTCTCTCAATTTCTTTCCCCACTCTTGCCACAGGCATTTCTCTCATGTAGCGGATGGCTCCATGTTCCCTTCTCTCTTGGTCCCTACAAAGTGGTTCGCCCTGTCCAAATACTAGATTGTGCCTCCAATAAATTAGTTTTGAGGCGCCTCAATACTGGATTGTGCCTACAATAAACTGGGAAGGGGATGGATGCAAACGCCAGCAGAGAGGCACGCCCTTAGATGGCTCTAAGTGCTCGTCTACCTTGGTCGCCTTGAGAAGCCACGCTCTCCCGCCATAAAGGGCACTCCCTTTCGCCGTTAGCATGCTCTCTCTCCAGTCCTCAAATGGCTGCCACCCCATCCCTGCCATCCCCCCCCCGTGTGGAGTCTATGTTTGAGGCGCCTCAAATGGCGCCACGCTCATCCCTCAAAAATAGACTCTCCAGTCCCTTCAAATTGCTGCCACCCCATCCCTGCCATACCCCCCCCCGTGTCTCTCTCTCCCGCAGGTGATTTTTGAGTCGACTCAAAAATCAAATGGCTGCCACCCCATCCCTGCCATACCCCCCCCCGTGTCTCTCTCTCCCGCAGGTGATTTTTGAGTCGACTCAAAAACCAAATGGCTGCCACCCCATCCCTGCCATCCCCCCCCCCGTGTCTCTCTCTCCCGCGTCCACCCTACCAGTGACGCCAGTCACAACACTGGGATGAACGGGCCTCTTCCGGACTTCCTGGGCGATATAACTACACTCCAATCACTGTACTGTCCTTGCCTACGTAAGCAGCATTACAACCTTTCTGGTTTTCCTGTTTGTTCAGACGCGATTTGTCCCTTCATCGCTGCTGCTACAATGCCGGCGCGTTTTTTTAAGCCCCTCAGGAGTATTAATTCTTTGCAAGCAAACAGTAATGCTGTTGTTGTTACTCAGCACAATCTTTCCATTCTCTTATGTTGCAACAAGGCAGTTACCTTTCTAGGCTCCAGTACGTGCATGCTGCAGACTCTCCTTTATTCCCCCCCTTCCCATTTCTCCTTTGTTTCATTTTCTCCTCCTCCTAGTTTTGAGGCGCCTCAAAACATTTCTCCTTCGTTTCATTTTCTCCTCCTCCTTCAACTCTCCCCCCCCCATCAGGTCCCTCCAAAATTGCTCCGTCTCCGGCCCCCTCCCCCCCTCCCTCACAATCCTCCCTCTCCTCTCCTCCCTCCTCCTCTCTCACAACGCGCTCTCAGGCGCCCTCCCTCCCCTCCTCTCCGCGCTGTCCTCCCTCTCCACCCTCCACCTCTCCAACAACCTCCTCTCTGGTAACATCCCCGAGTCAATCTGTAACACGCGTGTGCTTGCTGATCTGGACCTCTCGGCCAATCATCTGCAAGGGAGAATACCCTCCTGCCTCGTGGAAATGCCCACGCTGCAATTTTTGTGAGTTTGGCACGGCAATTTTTGGGAATTCAAAAAAATCAACTCAAGGGACCAGGAAACTCTCGTAGTATCAAGAACCCTGTGTTTCCGTATACTCTATCTAATCTAATCTTGACCTCGGATCATGCCAAACCCTCCCTCCTCCTCGTCCTCGTTTCACCTTCACAAAAGGTCACTGGCGTCCAGCAATTTCTCAAAGGTCATTGGCCCGCTTTCTGAATTTTGAGTCGACTCAAAAATCGGCTCTTCCTGAACCACCCGACTTGTTCTCTGCTCAACTCAAGTCACCTAATTCGCCGAAGTCACCTAAGCCTTACTCCTCCTCTTGAACGTCTCTTCCCTCTCATCCCATCAGGTCACTGGCGTTCAACAACCTCTCTGGCCCTCTTCCCCAACTACCTGCCGGCAGCGAGCTACAGTTCATGTACACCTTTTTTTTTATATCTAAAAATGTTGGATTTTAAACACCTCTCATCTTTCTTTAGGATTATAGTGACATACCTCGCCCTCTCTCTTCTGCCCCCCCCCTACAGCTGCAACCAGAACTGAATGAACAGCTCCCCTCAGCAAGCAAACAGCCTGCATCCTCCCAGCAATAGCAACCAACCACTCTAAGCAATACCACTCTTTCAATCCCCCTCTTCCCTCCTCTCTCTCGCCCCCGGCCCCCCCCCCCCCAGCTACAACCACAACTGTTTGGACAACGCCCCTCAGCAAGCATGCGCCCTGCACCCTCCTGGCAGCATCTCACCGGCCCCCGTCCCTACTCCCAGCAGCAGCAGCAGCAGCAACAGCAGCAGTGGCAGCAGCTATACCTGTACGTTTGTTTCCCCATAATGTTGCACACATGCGATGGTGTGCACCTCTCATCCCACCTCTCGCCGACGTGCTGCTAGCTGTATTTTGAGTCGACTCAAAATACAACTAGCTCTCCTCACCCTCACAGTTGCTGCCATCGTGCTCTTCCCCTTGTCTCATCCTCTCCTTTCTCCTCCTCTTTCTTTCCCCTCCCCCAAACCACCAGCGTCCTTATCGCCTCTCACCTACACGCTCGTAGCTCTGCTCATCCTCACGGTTGCTTCCATCGTGCTCTTCTCTCTCTTCGGCACGGTTCACCACATCACTGTCAAAGCAAGCAAGAAGAAACAGATGAGTGAGTGTGCTCTTTACTCTTCTCTACCCTACAACGTCTACTGCAGCTACCCTTGTCAGTACAGAAGGCAATCATGAAGAACTCGTGTCCTTTTCCACCTCCCCAAACCTCCACTCTCCATTGTTCGTCCACCAACCCATCTACCCAAGTTCACATTATCAAGACTGCGAGCTGCTACCCCTTCCCCCTCCCTCCCCACCTCCACCCCAACACACCCTTTCTCCCCCACACCAGCTCATCTACCCGAGTTCACAGTCTCAAGACTGCGTGCCTCAACGAGGGGCTTTTCCACAGAGCACGGTAGAGGGAGCTTTGGGACTGCTTATATCGCGTATGACCTGTTTCCAGAGGGGAGCGGAGGAGCAGAAGGATCCCCTGGAGCAGCACCCAACAAGCATGGGCATGGGCATGGGCATGGGTACATGCAGGCGAATACCCATGTCATGCTGCCATCCATCCCCCATCCGGAGAGGCATGGGCTCGTCAAAAGAGCCAGGGACCCTGACAGTGAGTACAGCGGTTGTTTGAAACGTGTGTGTGTATGTGGTGTGTTTGGATGATGTGTTTGTATGATGCGTGTTACAAGAAGTCACCTTCAATCTTGAATCCGGAGAGGCATGGGCTTGTCAAACGAGCCAGAGACCTGGCTCGTTTGGCTCTGGCTCGTGTCAGGTCAGGGTCTCTGGCTCTGACCCACTGGCCTGACACGACAGTGAGTGGTTTTTGTGCTACCTTGTTAGTTTGCCAAGTTGGCTTGTTTTATTACGAGTCTCAAATTGTCGTGTTTTGCCTCTCTGAGTTTGGCTCAGACGTCACCAGCCTCCATGGCACCTTCCATGCACCTTCTTGCAGGTTTCCCGGAAGCTGCATTCTGTCAAAAGATCGCGCTGCTAGCAGCAGCGAGCAACCGGCACCCCTGCATGGTGCACGTGAAGGGGTTCTGTGCAAATGGTGGGGAGCGGATGGTGGTGCTCGAGCTGGTTACAGGGGGCACGCTGCACCAGCGAATGCTAAGTGAGTGCCTGCATGACATGCCTGCATGGTGCACGTGAAGGGGTTCTGTGCAAATGGTGGGGAGCGGATGGTGGTGCTCGAGCTGGTTACAGGGGGCACGCTGCACCAGCGAATGCTAAGTGAGTGCCCGCATGACATGCCTGCATGCATGACATGCCTGCATGGTACACGTTCAATCTTTTTGCACCAATGGCGTGAGGATGGTGGTGCTTGAGCTGGTTACAGGGGGCACGGTGCCCCAGTGCATGTTAATTTAGTCTCTTACCAATATTTCTTGAGCGGCCAACGGTGCTCTGAGGGGATTTGGTGTGATTGTGATTGTGCCTCTCCCTTGTATCACCTCCACTTACAACCACACATCCCGTGCCTTTCCTCCCCGCTCCTCCTCTCTCTACAGGAGGGGACCTGTATGCGCTGACGTGGGAGGGGAGGGTGCAAGTGGCAGTGGACGTGGCATCTGCCTTGTACCACCCTCCTGGAGTGACCTAATACCACCCTCCCTGTATCACCCTCCTAATACTGCCAGGAGGGGACCTGGACGCGCTGGCGTGGGAGGGGAGGGTGCAAGTGGCAGTGGACGTGGCATCTGCCTTGTACCACCCTCCTGGAGTGACCTTATACCACCCTCCCTGTATCACCCTCCTCCTAATACTGCCAGGAGGGGACCTGGACGCGCTGGCGTGGGAGGGGAGGGTGCAAGTGGCAGTGGACGTGGCATCTGCCTTGTACCACCCTCCTGGAGTGACCTAATACCACCCTCCCTGTATCACCCTCCTAATACTGCCAGGAGGGGACCTGGACGCGCTGGCGTGGGAGGGGAGGGTGCAAGTGGCAGTGGACGTGGCATCTGCCTTGTACCACCCTCCTGGAGTGACCTTATACCACCCTCCCTGTATCACCCTCCTCCTAATACTGCCAGGAGGGGACCTGGACGCGCTGGCGTGGGAGGGGAGGGTGCAAGTGGCAGTGGACGTGGCATCTGCCTTGTACCACCCTCCTGGAGTGACCTAATACCACCCTCCCTGTATCACCCTCCTAATACTGCCAGGAGGGGACCTGGACGCGCTGGCGTGGGAGGGGAGGGTGCAAGTGGCAGTGGACGTGGCATCTGCCTTGTACCACCCTCCTGGAGTGACCTTATACCACCCTCCCTGTATCACCCTCCTCCTAATACTGCCAGGAGGGGACCTGGACGCGCTGGCGTGGGAGGGGAGGGTGCAAGTGGCAGTGGACGTGGCATCTGCCTTGTACCACCCTCCTGGAGTGACCTTATACCACCCTCCCTGTATCACCCTCCTCCTAATACTGCCAGGAGGGGACCTGGACGCGCTGGCGTGGGAGGGGAGGGTGCAAGTGGCAGTGGACGTGGCATCTGCCTTGTACCACCCTCCTGGAGTGACCTTATACCACCCTCCCTGTATCACCCTCCAATACTGCCAGGAGGGGACCTGGACGCGCTGGCGTGGGAGGGGAGGGTGCAAGTGGCAGTGGACGTGGCATCTGCCTTGTACCACCCTCCTGGAGTGACCTTATACCACCCTCCCTGTATCACCCTCCTCCTAATACTGCCAGGAGGGGACCTGGACGCGCTGGCGTGGGAGGGGAGGGTGCAAGTGGCAGTGGACGTGGCATCTGCCTTGTACCACCCTCCTGGAGTGACCTAATACCACCCTCCCTGTATCACCCTCCTAATACTGCCAGGAGGGGACCTGGACGCGCTGGCGTGGGAGGGGAGGGTGCGAGTGGCAGTGCAGTGGAGGAGGCATCTCCCTCCCGTGTATCACCTCCACTTACAACCACATTCTCTACCTTTCCTCCTTGTTTCCTGCTCTTTTTTTGTTCCAGGAGGGGACTTGGACGCTCTTACATGGGAGGAGCGGGTGCGACTGGCAGCAGACGTGGCCTCCGCCTTGTACTACCCTCCTGGAGTGACCTTGTACCACCCTCCCTGTATCACCCTCCTCCTAATACTGCCAGGAGGGGACCTGGACGCGCTGGCGTGGGAGGGGAGGGTGCAAGTGGCAGTGGACGTGGCATCTGCCTTGTACCACCCTCCTGGAGTGACCTTATACCACCCTCCCTGTATCACCCTCCTCCTAATACTGCCAGGAGGGGACCTGGACGCGCTGGCGTGGGAGGGGAGGGTGCAAGTGGCAGTGGACGTGGCATCTGCCTTGTACCACCCTCCTGGAGTGACCTTATACCACCCTCCCTGTATCACCCTCCTAATACTGCCAGGAGGGGACCTGGACGCGCTGGCGTGGGAGGGGAGGGTGCGAGTGGCAGTGCAGTGGAGGAGGCATCTCCCTCCCGTGTATCACCTCCACTTACAACCACATTCTCTACCTTTCCTCCTTGTTTCCTGCTCTTTTTTTTGTTCCAGGAGGGGACTTGGACGCTCTTACATGGGAGGAGCGGGTGCGACTGGCAGCAGACGTGGCCTCCGCCTTGTACTACCCTCCTGGAGTGACCTTGTACCACCCTCCCTGTATCACCCTCCTCCTAATTTCCCCCCAGGAGGAGACCTGGACGCGCTGACATGGGAGGAGCGGGTGCGAGTGGCAGTGGACGTGGCGTCTGCCCTGTACCACCTTCACTTTAATCACAACCCGCCCTTTGTGCACCGCGCTGTGACCTCCTTCAATGTGCTTCTAACGGAAGACATGACTGCAAAGGTACTGTACACTGCTATGGTGCCCTTTTGCACTACCACCAACGTATCACCCGCACCGCACTGCAATCATTTCAACCAGGCGCAACCCTTGTGCACCACGCCATGACCTCTTTCAATGTTCTTGTAACGGAGGATACGACTGCCAATGTACTGTCTAGCACTTTACTAGCGTTAAATCACCTTAAAACACTTGGATCACTTGGACATAACCACCCTCCCACAACGTTCTTGACCGCCCTTATACTTCTCCCCCTCTTCACTGCCAGCTCTCCGATCTAGGTTTGGCCCGAGGCAGCTCCGCCGCAATCCCCTCCCCCTCCCCCTCTCCCCTCTCCCCCTCCTGGCAGCTATCCGACCTAGGTTTGGCCCGAGGCAGCTCCGATGCTTCGGGCTTTCGCCCGCTGCAGTCGTCCCTAGGCGTGGCGACGACGGCAGACGTACTGGCCTATGGCGTGCTGCTGCTGGAACTTATAACGGGGCAGACTGCAGATGGGACAACACAGATCGTCGCTACAGTGAGTGCGCTTAAGTTTGTACAGTATTTACTCGGGCTGTAACTCTACAAACGTGTTGGCTTATGGCGTGCTGCCAGTGGAGCTTATAACGGGGCAGACTCCAGATGGCACAACACAGATCGTTGCTGCATTGAGTGTCTAGCTAATGAGTTGTTGCGTTGTACAAGGACGTGCTTACTTCCATTGTCGCCCGCTTGGTGTCCCCTTCGCTTTTTTCGCTTGAGAGGGCAGCCAGCTTGAGAGGGCGGCCAGCTTGAGTGGGCGGCCAGATTGAGAGGGTGGACACCTGCAAACGCCACTTGCTCCTGCTTTTTTCTCTCTCTCAAAGCATCCCTGCCATTTCCCCTCAGGCCTCCTCGTTTCTAGACGACCCGCAGGTGATGCCTCTGATGGCAGACGCCATGCACCGTATGGCCCTCCACCGTATGGCCCTCCACCGTATGGCCCTCCACCGTATGGCCCTCCCACCGTATGGCCCTCCACCGTATGGCCCTCCACCGTATGGCCCTCCACCGTATGGCCCTCCACCGTATGGCCCTCCACCGTATGGCCCTCCACCGTATGGCCCTCCACCGTATGGCCCCTCCACCGTATGGCCCTCCACCGTATGGCCCCTCCACCGTATGGCCCTCCCACCGTATGGCCCTCCACCGTATGGCCCTCCACCGTATGGCCCTCCACCGTATGGCCCTCCACCGTATGGCCCTCCACCGTATGGCCCTCCACCGTATGGCCCTCCACCGTATGGCCCCCCCTCCCCACCGTATGGCCCCTCCACCGTATGGCCCTCCACCGTATGGCCCTCCACCGTATGGCCCTCCACCGTATGGCCCTCCACCGTATGGCCCTCCACCGTATGGCCCTCCCACCGTATGGCCCTCCACCGTATGGCCCTCCACCGTATGGCCCTCCACCGTATGGCCCTCCACCGTATGGCCCTCCACCGTATGGCCCTCCACCGTATGGCCCTCCACCGTATGGCCCTCCACCGTATGGCCCTCCACCGTATGGCCCTCCACCGTATGGCCCTCCACCGTATGGCCCTCCACCGTATGGCCCTCCACCGTATGGCCCTCCACCGTATGGCCCTCCACCGTATGGCCCTCCACCGTATGGCCCTCCACCGTATGGCCCTCCACCGTATGGCCCTCCACCGTATGGCCCTCCACCGTATGGCCCTCCACCGTATGGCCCTCCACCGTATGGCCCTCCACCGTATGGCCCTCCACCGTATGGCCCTCCACCGTATGGCCCTCCACCGTATGGCCCTCCACCGTATGGCCCTCCACCGTATGGCCCTCCACCGTATGGCCCTCCACCGTATGGCCCTCCACCGTATGGCCCTCCACCGTATGGCCCTCCACCGTATGGCCCTCCACCGTATGGCCCTCCCGTATGGCCCTCCACCGTATGGCCCTCCACCGTATGGCCCTCCACCGTATGGCCCTCCACCGTATGGCCCTCCACCGTATGGCCCTCCACCGTATGGCCCTCCACCGTATGGCCCTCCACCGTATGGCCCTCCACCGTATGGCCCTCCACCGTATGGCCCTCCACCGTATGGCCCTCCACCGTATGGCCCTCCACCGTATGGCCCTCCACCGTATGGCCCTCCACCGTATGGCCCTCCACCGTATGGCCCTCCACCGTATGGCCCTCCACCGTATGGCCCCTCCACCGTATGGCCCTCCACCGTATGGCCCTCCACCGTATGGCCCTCCCACCGTATGGCCCTCCACCGTATGGCCCCTCCACCGTATGGCCCATCCCACCGTATGGCCCTCCACCGTATGGCCCTCCACCGTATGGCCCTCCACCGTATGGCCCTCCACCGTATGGCCCCCCACCGTATGGCCCTCCACCGTATGGCCCTCCACCGTATGGCCCTCCACCGTATGGCCCTCCACCGTATGGCCCTCCACCGTATGGCCCTCCACCGTATGGCCCTCCACCGTATGGCCCTCCACCTTATGGCCCTCCACTCATACACTCTCCAAACCCTGTGTGTTTCCTCACACTCCCCAGGCGGCTTCCTTCCTAGACTACCCGAACGTAGATGATGCGGCTGATGGCAGACGCCCAGCTGGGAAAGCAAGTCACTCACCCATGACATATGCCCATGTTTCTCTCTCCTCTCCCTTTATCCCACCTTCCATCCTTCCCTCAGGCTGCTCCCTTCCTAGACGACCCACAGATGATGCCGCTCATGGCAGACGCCCAGCTGGGAGGGCACTTTGATCGGTTGCAGCTGGAGGTGCTCGCCTCGCTGGCACGGGCTTGCATACAGGTGAGAAGAGCGGCTGGTTGCAGGTCAGGGTGTGTTGTGCGGTGCCTTACGGTGCCTGGCAGTCGCTGATGGTGGACGCCGAGCTGGGAGGGCAGGGCATTTTGATGATCGCTCCGCTGCAGCTGGAGATGCTCTGCTCGCCTCACTCGCTGGAGCGTGTGCACACTGCACAGGTGAGATGGTGTTATGGAAACACGTCCCGTTGCCTCCTCTTCGTCTCACCACAGCTTCCCTCACACCCTCGTCCCTCCCCCCCGCCGTTAGGAGTCTATTTTTGAGGCGCCTCAAAAATGGAAACACGTCCCATTGCCTCCTCGCTTGAGCGAGGCATTGAGAGAAGCCAGGAGTATTTTGAGTCGACTCAAAATACACCAGGCATTGAGAGAACCAGCCATTGAGAGAAGGCAGGAAACATCTTTTTTTGAGGCGCCTCAAAAATAGACTCCTAACGTCTCAAAAATAGACTCCTCACACGTCCCCCTCTGTTTCCCGATCCTCTCGTTGCCTCGTTCCTGTGCTACTCGCTCCCCGTGCCATGCTGCCACATTTCGAGGCGCCTCAAAACTAGACTCCCCGTGCTATGCTGCCACATCCCTGCATGCAGGACGACGCTGCCGCCCGCCCCACGATGCCCGAGATACGGCAGGCTCTGGAGCAGCACCTGCAGGTGGATCCTCAGGTGTTTGAGCCCCTGGACGTGGAGGTTGGGGGCGTGACACTAGGGGTCAGTGACTATATGGAGGGGGGGCAGATGCTGCTGCTGCTGATGGTGGTAATGCTGCTGATGGTGGTGGTGGTGCTGCTGCTGCTGGGGATGGTGGGTATGGGGCTAGTGACAATGAGTTTGCTTCTGCTCCTCTTGCCACTCCCCTTGCTGCTGCTGCACTGGGAACTCCTCGGAATACTGCGAGTGACTGGGCGGCAAAGATCGTCGCTACTTTTGGTGCCACTGCTGCTGCCCCTGACGCAGGTTCTTATAGCGAAGGGCAGGCGGGGCAGGGGGAGGCGGACAGCAGTGTGCTTCTAGAGAGTGGGTTTTCTGCCCCAGTGCCTAAGGGCAGCAAGGCAAAGACAAGGCCACGACAGGGGGCACGAGGGAGAGGAGGGAGAGGAAGGGGGGTAGGAGTGGGAGGAGTGGGGGGAGGAGCAGGGGGAGGAGCAGGATCGTCTGTATCAGGAGCAGCAGCAAGAGGGGGGGGAGGTGGAGGGGTGGGAGGAGCAGCAGCAGGAGCATGGGCCGCGGTGGGGGGTGTGGTAGAGTCTGTGAAAGGGAGTGTGTCAAGGGGGGTGTGTGTGGGGGTTCCGGGTAGTGTGAGTGAGGTGAGGGATGTGGAAGCTGCTTCTCTGCTTATATCGAGACCAAGAATGGAGAATGGTGATGGTTATTAGCATTAACACTTAGTGGATCAACAACACTGAATGCACTGCCAACTTTATGCATACAGTGTGCTGAAAACCACAAAATTTAAGATCAGAGTCCTGTGCTTTTGCTTTTATTCCATGTTTCACTAGAAGCTACGCTTCAAACTTGTTACCTGTACACAACAGTACATTATGAAAGCTTGGTGAGGTAGCGTGCAATCTCGGGATCATCCAGAGGAACATCCAGGTCTCCTCGAATTTGGAAGAGCTGTTTTATAATGAGAGGCGGCTCCTCCGCCTTCACTCCCTTCATCGCTGCCTCTAGCAGCTCCTTGGTGCCGTACTTCTCTGGAGGGCAATGGGTGGAGGGGAATGGGTGGGGGGGAGTGGGTGGGGAGGAATGGGCGGAGGGGAATGGGCGGGGGGGAATGGGCGGGGGGGAATGGGCAGAGGGGAACGGGCGGGGGGGAATGGGTGGGGGGAATGGGCGGGGGGAATGGGCGGAGGGGAATGGGTGGAGGGGGTTGGTCAAGGGTTGCTTGGAAGGTAGGGGAATGGATTGAGGGGTGAGATAAGCTTTCGCACTAAGAAGGGCTCCTCCACCCTCACTCGCTTCATAGCTGCCTCTAATTGCTCTTTGGTGCCGTACTTCTCCGCAAGGATGGGCGGGAATTGCGGCGCAGTGACATTGCTCGGGCTTATTACCAAGCCATGCACTGCTCAGTCAACAGACGGGGATTGAGAGAGTGGGAAGGCCTCGCACATTCAGCTTAGGAAGGTAGGGAGGTGGTGGGGAGATTATGGGGGGAAGTTTATGCCTTCGTGAAAAACAGTGGGAGAGGAAAAGAGGGTGGGGTTGGGGGCGGGGGGCGGTTTGTGGGTGGGATTGAGTGGGGGGGAAGGGGAAGGGGGGAGGGGAGGGGCGCGTGTGCCAATAAGCAAGCGTTGCTTAGCTCGCACGAGGGCAAGCGCGCTGGGTCCAGGCGAGGCAGCGTGGGAAAGGAGTGGGGAGGGGGTGGGGGTGGGGTGGGGGGGTTGTGAACTGATTCAATAAGCAGGCAGAGGGGTGTTGCTTACCTTGCACGCGGGCAAGCGCACTGGCAACGGCAGGTTCCAGGCGAGGCAGCGTGGGAAGGACGCCCGTGGCGAGAACCTCAGGGGTTAGCTCTATGTCGGTGCTGCTGGCCATTGAAGATGCCATGTGGCTCGCTGGGGAAAGGGGATAGACGAAGGAAACAAGCGGAGAGAACCTCAGGGATTAGCTCTTTGTCGGTGCTGCTGCTCCGACCTGCTGCGGGAATAAGAGAAAACGAGGACACAATCCGTCGAGTAAGGCTTTTGAGAATTATTTAAAAAACTAGCGCTGCGGGAATGGGAGTGAACAAGGAGACATTTCGTCGAGTAGAACCAGTATCGATAGGGTGAGCGGGGTGACGGGAAAGGAAGGGAGCTGCTGCTACGGCTGACGGGTTTCAGCGCACACGCCGCGGAAAGGAGGCGAGGATCGGCAGTCTGGCTGCGTCCGAATCAGTTTTGTTCTCCAAAATGCGTCGCAATAGCAGGAAAATCGAGACTCACTGCTGTAGCAGAGGATTGTGCACTTGCGCCGGGGCAGTGAAGGGAAGGGTGGTCGTGGTGGCTGCGGTCAAGGGGTCGCGCGCAGTAGGCGCCGAAGTTGAAAGAGCGGCGCGAGGGGGATAAGGTGGTAAAAGTGGGCTGGTGCGCCTTGGTACGCTATGAGGACTACTCAATAAAATGTCTAAGGTCACCAATCTTCCGTCATACACCCCAAGCACACAACAGCTAACAACGTAACTGCTGTTAAACTACATGCTATCCCCATGGAGCTTGGCATTGGCACACTGGCCCCAACGTTCCCCTGGGAGGAATGGCAGAAACTCATGGTCATTTAACACATGCATGGTTGGTTCTAGGAACGTTGAGTGAAAACAACTTCCATTCTTCCATTCTTCTAAGAGACAAGATGTCAAGCTCTCAAACCGTCAGTGAACAAACGACACGAGCACCAATCATCCATGCAGCAACCAATCACCTCAGTCAGAACCTACACTGCATCATGCTAGTGCACTCACCCCCCCCGCAGCAACAATACCATCCTACTCCCCCAAGAATCTTCCATTCAAGCACATCTGCCACAGTCACTCCCCCTCATCATTGCCCACCAGGCGGGGGGGGCATGCCTGGGCGCGGGGGACCATACATCCCCGGATGTCCCCCTGGCGGAGGGGGCATACCCGGCCTTGGCGGACCCATCATCCCTGGCGGAGGCATCCCCCCTGGCGGGGGCATTCCCCGCCCATACTGCATGGGTGGCGCACCGCCTGGCGGAGGCCCACGCGGGGGGAATTGCGGAGGCGGGCCACCGGGGGGAGGTCCATAACCTGCGGGAGGGGAGGCATGCCCGGGCGCGGGGGACCCTGGGGGTACATGGACGGGGGCGGCCCCATGCCTGGTGGGCGCATTCCGCCTGGGCCGGGCGGAGGGGGCATGCCCGGCCGCGGAGGCCCACCCCCGGGGAACCCAGCAGGCGGGGGGAAGGAGACGGGAGGCGGGCGCCCAGGCGCAGCGCCAGCAGCGCCGCCGGGCGGTTGGTACGAGATCGGCGGAGCCGCCACTTGCGGGCGCGGCTGCATCAGCGACGGCGCTGGTCCACCGACTCCGCGCGCGGGCCCCGCCAATCCGGGCTGCGCTTGACCGAGCGGAACAGTCGGAACCCCCCGCCCTGCTGCGCGGCCGACTCCAGGGCCCCCCGCAGCTGCGCCAGCGGCTCTCCCGCGGTTTTCATCCTGAGGCGGCGGCCCTTCGACGGTGAGACAAATGACCTCCTCCCCGCGGAGAATCAGCAGCCCTAATGTGCGGCGCTCCTCGCGGTCTTCCGGCGCCTTGGAGCCTTTCTTGGGCGGCAGCTTGCGGAACTCCTCGCACTCCCCGAGGACGAGGTTCATGTGGCGATCGAACGCCATGAATTTCCCGACAAGCTCGCGGCCATCGGAGACTGTGACGCGCATGCGGTAGTTGATGTACTGTAGCAACTTGGATCCCTTAGACATCGACATGGCGCCTCGCTGGTCGCCGCAGCTCGATTAGGATAAGATGATCGGTTATGAAAGTAATACTCTGTCAGACCATATATACTAGAGTCGGCTGTGCACTGATCCAAGGGGCGATAAGGACTACCAAGCCAGACTAACGGGGAGCACGCCCTTGAAATGTCGAGCTTTAGGGTTGAGCCTCTCTTTTGAACCTTCGAGATCAGGAGGGGGGGAAAATTTGGTGGGTCATGGGGATTATTGTACCGTAACATAATTAAAACGTGTTGGTTATGCTGGTATAAGTACACTCTTAAATTTCACTTCAAGTAGGCATTTAGCAATCACGTGCTGCTCCATGTGATTTATGGGGAATATATATTCAATATATGGACTTTTAATAACATGAATCTGTATCTAGACTATCATATGATGGCCTAGCCTTGTTGTACACTTTAAATAATTCTTTCACTGCTCCTTATTATTGATTACCGAAATACGTTTTCGCATTAAAAATATGGTACAGTTAAATCCCCTTATATATTATTTCTGTTCAAGATTCCGATACGAGCGTGTAAATGTGAATTGTGCTCACATGAACAAGAAAGCATCAGCCATTAAATGTTAATTTTGCATCATTGTCGGGGGTATTTCTGTCGAGTATGTCAGAATCCAGATGTTGCAAATGGCAGAGCTGCCAATGGTGGCGCAAAGATTGTCAGGGGGACGAGCAATCCCGCGCTGACAGGTCGAAACAGCCTCGTTTCGTGAATCAAATTGGTCAGTCGCACGTCCAGGTCTCTGAATCGCTGGCGATTGTCTGACGACAGATGAAATTTCGGGGTCGCCTTGGGCTCTGTTTTTCGCGAATCACAAGTGCTCCCCGTCGCACATTTACAGTTGCTTTGCGCATCCCTGGCGACTGTCTGACGACAGGAGACGGAGGGAAGTCTCAAATCCCATCTGGCGACCATCAAGGTCCTCGTTGTGCGACGGTCGAGGCCATCACTTCCAGAGCTCCATCTACCCCAGCCGAAGCCCTCCCTCCACTTCCTAGATACCATCTCCATTTTCTTGGGCATCGAACTTGTTAGAGACGTCTTCAGAACCTCTGCTGTTGTAGCCTGAAGTCCCGTTTGTGTCGTAGTTTCCCATAGTTGCCCATACCATCCGGTCGTCAGGGTATCATCATCATGCCGCAGATTCAATATTCCGAGAAGTATTTCGACGACATCTACGAGTACAGGTATCTGTCGTGCTCCCGCTTGTGGATCACCCTAGTGCAGCCGAACCGGAAATTCTGGTCCTGAGTCCTGACATTGACATTTGCACGATCCTATGTCGGGTTGCCTCTTGCAGGCATGTAGTTCTCCCCCCTGATGTGGCGAAACTACTTCCGAAGAACAGGCTACTGTCCGAGGTGATTGTTGTCATTGCCTCTGTTTTAGCTTGCGCGGTGAAACTGTTTGAATCTGACAACCTGTATGTTCCGTCTGTTGACTGTTTCCAGGCTGAATGGAGGAGCATTGGCGTGCAGCAATCCAGAGGATGGGTTCACTACGCTATTCATCGTCCCGAGCCTCACATCATGCTTTTCCGTCGGCCATTGAACTATGGACAGCAGGTTCAGCCAGCCGCGCAACAACTTCAGCAGCAAGTAGGCGCATAAGATACGGTAGTGACTTCCTCACGCTCCTGGTGCAGCAGGATCACCATACAAGTCTCATCACTGCTCATGATGCCAGTTAGCAGCCTCTTCAGCAGCTTGTGTCATAGAAAACCAGATCTGTCAATACTCAACGTCTAGTTGCGATTATTAATTCCTTCAATTCTTTTCCGAACGGGTTTACAGGCCTTCATTCTGCTGTTACAGGCTTAACGAGATCTCAAGCCCTAACAGGTGACATGTTTTGTTAAGAACCAAGTTACATCTTTCTTTAAAAGAGACATATTTTCAGGTACTAGTGCTTGTGAATGTACTTTTTCTTCTCTCTGCTTTCTGCTTACTGCTGCCCAGCCAGCTAATCTGACCAATAGACTGCCAAATTTGCATAACCTTTTCATGGTGGTAGCTTTGAGGCATGAGTCTAGGTAAAAAGGGAGGAACATTCCTCAGTGCAACTCAGCGCACAACATGAAAAGCTCTTAAAACCTGCTCTCCTAAACCAGCATGGGCCCCCTCAACACTGTCTGGGTAGATAAACCAACGATGATCATGTCCAGTGTATGATGTGGAAGACGGTACCGGTGGCTAGGGTGAATCAGACGAGGGCGGTTTTGAAAACTTGGGAGCTGGAAATAGCATGGGTCGCTATGTTCAGAAAAAACCCAGAAGATACTGCTGATACCTTGAGTACACTCCATACTGCATCATAACAATAATCTCCTTAAAGCAACTGTACAGCAGCGATGGATGGGATTTTCTCCCGCAGCTTTTGAGTGACAGCCACACGGACAGTCATCACCCCTGCTGCAGGCCCATCAATCCGGACCTTCACAATAGGAGGGTCAATCTTCACTAGTGTCAGCTCGCCACCACCCGTGCCCACCAAATATGGCCGGATTTCAGACAGCACCTGAAACAGTGAAACACGCATCGTAAAAAACGCATGAGCAAACAAATTACTCTGCATTAAGTAGACACGAAGAATCTGCGGCACAAGCTCGCTCACCTTTTCAACATTCTCCTCGTCCAATGGAAGGCCCGTCTCCTGGTCCGTAATTTGCTCGACAGAGACAATTTCTGGAATCTTTTCCATCAGCCTCCGTTCAATCCCCATCTTCATGGTCATTGTGGAACTCGGGCACGAGCCACACGCACCCTGAAGCCGCAGCTTTACAACGAGACCGTCGATATCGTACAATTCCACATTACCGCCGTCAGCCATCAGGTACGGTCGAACCTCGTCAAGAACCTTCTCGACGTTTTCTTCAGTGAGCTCCAGGCCATCAGTTGAGACATCGCCTTGAGACGCAAGGGCGGCGGCTGCGAGACACGAAAGCAAATATGCTAAGTTGTTGCAGTTATTTCAAAACCATGCGTCATGTGAAGGGCGTAAGTAGGCGTACCTGTAGGTTCTCGTCTGAAGTACCTCTGATCCCCAATAATCTCCGCGTTTCTAGTGAGAGGTGAAGCACGAAGCTGCACAGTAGAAAGTGTTCTGTCAGGAACGAAACATATTGAAGAATGCAGTACGACGGAAAAATAACTGCTAAGAATATCCAAGAGCTTAGCCTGACCTGACGACCTAGACGCGACGGAGCGACGGTTGAATTGACTAGTGCCGATGCTTCCCTGACGACACCAGTGAATGGAGCGAGACGAAGCGAGATGGTTGCCATGTTTCAGCAGAACAAGATCGGTTAATAGTGCCCTTGAGTGCAACTACTCGTCACACAAGGAGCAAAGCAGCGCTAGACTTGCTTGCGTTCTAGTTTAGGCGCCGATCCCCTTGCTCACCCCTAAGCTCCACGCTCACGCAAACGGGTCTTCTGAGGACGCTAACCCTGTGGGCTAGAAAGCTGCTGTCATGTAGTAGCTGTGCTACATGTAAGTCTGGGTCTTCTGGGGGTACGACGGGGATGGATGATATGAAATGAGATGAGATGGGATGGGATGAGGTAAGGTTGGATGAGGTGGGGAGGGGATGTCTGGGAGGAGGAAGCTGTTACCTGTACGAGCCCGGCTTCTTGGCTGTCGTGCGCTGCAGCTTGCGAGGGAAGGCGGAGTTCGCCACCAGTGCTTTTGTTACACCTGGCAGACGATGATGACATGGCACTTGTCGGCAGCGTAACGAGTGTTGGATGCTTGCGCGTGGCTGTATGCGTGAACAACTCGACACAGAACTAACGAGTAGAGAGTCTGATCACAGGCGGAATGCTATAGAAGTGAAGGAAAAAGTCACAAGCTTAGAGTAACATCTACATTTTCCAGGATTTTATAACAATCACAAGTGGCTACAATCTTGAACCATTCTAGGCCTTGCTAAAACGTCATACATTCCCCGCTCCTCTTCCTGAAAGCCTGCGAGACCGTCTAGTTGGTGCCACTTCCCATCCATCCGCCACTTCCTCTTGTGTCAGCAGTTGCTCTTGAGGCGCTTCCTTTGCGGCTCTACGATCACCTGAACCAGACACTCCCATCCCGGCACTCCTTCCTGGGCCATCTTCATCCATGGCTCCTCCATTCTCCACTTCCTCCACGTCGTCATCACTGTCATCGCTGTCTGCATTGCGATTGGCCTGAGAACCACAGAACCATGAAAGAAAAACCATAAATGACGCAACATGATAAATTTTGGGGAAACGACACAAAAAAAAAAGGGAAAAAAAAGAAGCAAGACACCCTAATATGTTGCCAACTGGTTTATAATCTCCTCCTCTGTACCTGTATTGGTTCCCTGCCCACGCTGACTTACCGCCTTGCTTTGCTGCAGGGCCGAATGCCGTCCCTTTGCAGCAGCTGCTGCTTCTGCTGCTTGCAGCTGCTGCACAACGGTGAAACTGCCATCTTGACACGACTTGAACACTTCCACTACCTTATCCGCCACCTGAAGCCGGAAGGAAGGAAGGAAGGGAAGATGCAGAAGGGAAGAGAAAAGGCATGGACGAGCTTGAGAGGTTAAGACGGTCTACAGGCTTGCCAGTTCTTCACCCAGTCTAGAGCCTATAAACATATCGATTTCAATGCTTCGTTTAAGGGGCCTTTCCACCCAGTCTTGCTCCAACAGTCAACTTTGTCGTCCAGACAACTAGCTCTCTCCCCTTCACCTCTCTCAGGCTCCCAGTTTCCACCCCCATGTTGAAGTCCCTAGCATCCACAGCTATTCCCGGCCATTTTCCCATCCTCACCTCGCCTCTCCTTAAGCTCTCACCTCTCTCGAGGCCCTCACCTCTCTCAGGCTCCCCTCCTCCACCTCCATATCAAAGTCCCTCACTGTTGCCTCATCCAGTCGCTCCCCCCGCTCCTCATGAAGTCGCTGGTATCTGCAGCTACAGCCATCCAATTTCCATCCAGATTCAATGCATCTCCTTCACCTCTCCCCAGGCACTCACCTCTCTCAGGCTCCCGTCCTCCACCTCCATGTTGAAGTCCTTCACCGTCGCCTCGTCCAGCCACTCCTCCACCTCGTCCGGATACACCGCACCTGGTACACACACCACGGCATAAAAGAATATGACATGATAAACGAATGCGCTCATGTTTCCTGCAGTCGCCCTTTTTTTCCGCCCTAGTTGCTAAAAGCGTTAATGTGCTTGCATTGCACTGTGCAAGGCGACGTAGGAATAACGGAGGGGGGTGGGGGGAGAGGGGGCGGGGTCAGCACGTACTGCGGCGGATGTCCGCCTTGTACTATGCAACCGCGCATATTCCCCCCGCTTATCGCACATATCCCCCCCTCCCTCCCCCCCCCCCCCATCGCAAATATTCTCCCCCTCACCGCGCATATTCCCCTGCTTACCGCGCATATTCCCCCCCACTAACTGCGCATATTCCCCCCCGCTCACCGCGCATATTCCGCCTTCACAAGTGCACACCAGGTCCTCTTGCAGGTGCTGCGCCTTCTCCGCGCTGCGCCCCCGCCCCACTGACTCTCCACCGCCAGCTGCAGCGCAAGTATTACTCGGATTCCCCCCACCTACCGCGCGCGTTTCCCCCGCTTACCGCGCTTGCTGTAACAGAAGTGCACGAGGTCCGCCTGCAGGAGTTGCGCCTTCTCCGCGCTCCTTCCGCCACCCCACTGATTCTCCACCGCCAGCTGCAGCGCCGTCCAGCGCGCAAACACCAGGCGCACGCCCTCGCGGAACCACCCGTCCGCGTGCTGCTCCGCCGCGCTTATGGGGACGGGCACGGGGCCGGGGAGGACCGCTCCGCTGCGCAGCTGCATGCTGGCGGAAGGAAGTCGCGCGGAGCGGGATGATGCGCGGAATGGGAGGACGGGTGGAGAAAAGTCGCGCGGAAAAGAAGGACGAGCGGAAGAAAGTCCCGCGGAAGAGAGTGCCAGGAAAAAGTAAAATGTGCGCGGAGGCGGCGGAGCTTTCGAGGTTGGCTGTCAGTGACGACGCTCGGCGGGAAATTGTCCGAAACTAAGGAACAAACCAGCTAGCTAGGGGAGAGGGGATAAAGTGTAAGGGGTTGAGCCGAGAAGGTCGGTTTGGTTTGGCAGGAGGGTTTCAGCGATTGTCAAATTTGGGGAATTCTATTGTTGTGTACAAACGTGTTTGGGCTCGTTTAACGGGATAGTTTGTCACGGGTACGAATCCACTCTTGTTTTGCGGCCCGTTCACCAACATTCCCAAGGTCACACAAGGCCAGGCAAAAGCGAGCTTGCTGCTCGTTCTAGCTTCAGCAGCCCTGGTCGGCTCCAGTATGTTAGCTAGCAGCTTGAATGACCGATCACCCTGTATTGTTTGCAAATATGTTTTAAGCCTAGTTCTTGACGCTACTTCTAGAGCTAGTAATCTTCTCGAGAACTACTCGGCTTCGTCTAGGATGGCTAATGAGGGCTATTCGAATTATAGTACCATCCCATGATACGTCATTCTTCAGAAGCATTCCCTTCTTAGATGAAGCCGGCATGGTTGGACGCAACTCTTCGAAATCTTCTCGTGGAGGGGGGAACGCGGTTCGTCCGAGTTTTTCTGCTTCTAAGTGATACGTCATTCTTCAGAAGCATTCCCTTCTTACATTCGAATCCTAGGTCCTCCACGATCGTAGATTACGTTCTAACGGATTCCGTTTATAATTCCCTGTCGTAATCCGTTAGCTCGCGAGCTCGTCAGCCTTTTCGATCGCCTCGCCTCCTGGGACACAGCCTAGTGACCCGACCACGTTCCGTGAAGACACGTGGCAGCCTCTTACGCATCCAGCTGGCGCTTCGAGAAGCAGAGCGTGAACTGATCGTAGTTTTTCGAGTTCACTCTCCATGGCTGCTCACGCTCATAGCGGGCCCAGTAACCCCCGCAATAACGCGCACAGCGGGCCCTTGTCCCCATCCGCGGGTGTGACAAGAGCGGGGGGGGTGACTACAGCGGGGTCTGTGAGCGACAGCAGCAAGGCAGCGAGCGCGCTGTGGCTCATGGCGTCGCACTTCGAGAGCACCCGCCAGATCCCGCAGGTGAGGCTGGCGCAGGTGAGGCTGGTTCCAGTGAGCTGTTGTGTTGGTTGGCTGGTTAGGCTCCTCGTGGCGTCGCACTTCGAGAGCACGCGCCAGATCCCTCAGGTGAGGCTGTGAGAGTTGAGGCTGGTGCAGGTGAGGCTGGTTGCAGTGAGCTGCTGTGTTGGTTGGCTGGTTAGGCTCCTCATGGCTCTGGGAGAGCACACGCCAGATTCCTCAGGTGAGGCTGGCGCAGGTGAGGCTGGCGCAGGTGTAGTTTGATTCGACTCACGATTCCTCAGGTGATGCTGATGCAGGTGAGGCCAACAAGATGACTGACTGTTTACTGCATGTTTTGAGGCGCCTCAAAACGAGATGACTGACTGTTTACTGCATGTTTTGAGGCGCCTCCAAACGAGATGACTGACTGTTTACTGCATGTTTTGAGGTGCCTCCAAACGAGATGACTGACTGTTTACTGCATGTTTTGAGGCGCCTCCAAACGAGATGACTGACTGTTTACTGCATGTTTTGAGGCGCCTCAAAACGAGATGACTGACTGTTTACTGCATGTTTTGAGGCGCCTCAAAACGAGATGACTGACTGTTTACTGCATGTTTTGAGGCGCCTCCAAACGAGATGACTGACTGTTTACTGCATGCACATACAATACGCTGTCACCCCCTCGTCCTCTCTCCCTCATCTCCCCTCTTCCCCCGGCCCCCTCCCTCCTCTTCCCGCTCCTCCCTGTCTCTGCCTCTTTCCAGCTGATGAAGTGTCTGGAAGCCGTGTTCCAGAGCCCCCAGCCCTTCCTCCCTCTGGCGGAGGTGCGAACGTGGTGCTGGCTGGCGTATGCGCTGCTGCAGCCGCTGCCACTGCTGAAACACGTAAAAGGGGTGCTGACTTGCCCGCACAAGTTAACCCCCACCACCCCCCCCTTCCCCCCCTCCTCCCTCATTCCAGCTAGTGAAGTGCCTGGAAGCCGTGTGTCAGAGCCCCCAGCCCTTCCTCCCTCTAGTGGAGGTGCGAACGCGGTGCTGGCTGGCGCACGTGCTGCTCACCCACTCGCGCAACGTGCTGCAGGCTAAGGCACACCTGGAGAGAGCGGTGAGATGCGGTTGTGTGCGGTGATAGGTGTGACTTGCGGTTGAGTGGGGTATGGTGGAGGTGCGAACGCGTTGCTGGCTGGAGCACGTGCTGCTCACGCTCTCGCGCAACGTGCTGCAGGCTAAGGCGCACCTGGAGAGAGCGGTGAGACGCGGGGATGAGCGGTGATGATTGGTTGAGAGGTTTAGTGGTAGAGGTCCGAACGTGGTGCTGTCTGGCGCATCTGCTGCTCCATTATCTGGAAAAGTGGTGCGAAGGAGTGATCAACGGTGGAGAGCTTTATGCATCCCTTTGCACCTCCCTCCTGCCCCCTAATTGCCTCTCTCTTCCCTATCCATGTTCCCCCGTGCAGCAAGTACTCCTGAAGGCCGTCCCTGGAAACATCCCCCTCAAGTGCACAGCCCTCTCTCTCCTCGCCACGTGTTACCGCCTCATTGGCCACGCCCACTTCCACAAGCACGTGCTCCAAAAGGCCATCGATTTAGTCACACACCACCTAGCCACCCTCCCACCAGCCCACCCCCAAACCTGGGGCTCAGCCTCGGGTTCCGAGCCAGGCCCCACCTCGGTAGCAAGCTCGGGGTCCGGTTCGGGAGTAGGTTTGGGAGGAGGTTCGGGTGCAGGTTCGGCAGGGGAGCTGGTGCGGTGGCTGGGAGTGTTTTCAGTGGGGATTGCAGGGCAGTTGGTGGGGGAGGGGGATGTGGAGGGGGCTGCTGGTGCGCTGGCTAAGGGCATGGCTGCTGTGCACACGACTGGGGATAAGGGCATGATGGTAGGTGTGTGTATGCGTGTCTTTGTGTGTGTATGTATGCGTGTCTGCGTATGTGCATGTGTCTGTGTGTATGCATGTGTCTGTGTGTATGGATGTGTGGTGTCCGTGCATTGGTGTGTGCATGTCGCAAGTTGGCCGAGGCAAGGGATAAGGGAATGATGGTAAGTGTGTATGCTTGTGTATGTGTTGATTGTTGCGTACATGTGCCCGTCCTTACGTCTTTCTCTCTCACATCTTTCCCTTCTCCCGTTGCTCCTTGCCTCGTCCCCTCCCTCCTTTCCCCTTACCTCCTATTTTCTCCCTTCCCTCTTTTTCCTTCTGCCGCCCCTATCCCCAGCTCCTGCTATCCTCCTCTCTGCTGCATATTCGCATCTCGACCGTCCATCACACTCCGCAGCAGATCTCAGCCCTTCTTTCGGATTGCACCTCTTTGTGGCAGCAGATCCCGCCACGTCAGCAGCCAGACTACCGGGGCCTGCTCGTTTACGTCCAATTGCTGGCTGCTATGTGGCACCTCCGCGTGGCTGACTACAACCAGGCCAGGGCTGACGTGGCAGCAGCAGAGGAGGGGCTGGCAGTAATGAGTCCTGCTGCAGCAAATCGTATTGTGCCTGCTGGCAGTTCTCCTGCTGATGCGTCAGTGCCATGTCAGTTGCAGCAGCAACAGCAGCAGCAGGGGATAGATATGCGAGCACACAGAGGTGTGCAAAGGGATACAGGGGCCGTATTGGGAGGAGGTGGAGGATCCGACGAGTCACCCGTGTGTTACAGGGAGGATCCGTTGATGCGGTTACCACTGGGCCCGCCCCACGTGCTGAAAGCTGATTGGCTGCCGCTGCCAGCTGTCAGGGCGCTGGCAGGGCTGCTTAAGGTCGTGCTGAGCCGTCCGGGAGGAAAGTTCCTGGAATCTGAGGGGGTGCTGAAGGAGGAGCGGGAGATGCTGCGAGGTGAGTCTTGCGTGAAGAGTTGAGCGTCTCTATTGTAGAGAGGGATTTTTCTGCATGTATCTATTGCCTCCTGTGCGTGTTGTGTCATATTGGCCGGCATTCATTGGCCTTATGCACGTTAAGAACGGGATAGGCAGTCTCGTCCTTACCACCTTTCTCATTCTTACCACTTTAAAGTTTAGGAGGGGACGATCTGATCTTCTATCCACCTTGTGTTGTGACTCTTAAACTCAACCGCCCTCAACCTTCCCCCCACCTTCTGCTTTGCAGACGAGCTTCTTCGCATTGGCGTGCATCAAGGGTCAACAGGTACGCTAATGCTCACTGGTCATTCAGCGCCCGTTGAGCGTTTAGAGCAACCAGAGGCTAGAGTGCTTCTGATTTACGAACTATTTCACATGACAGTTTAGACCCGAGGTGTTGTCAGCATCTCGAAGTCGTTTCCCCTGGTTACCTGCTGGTACAATCACTTCTTGTTTTGAGGCACCTCAAAACTAGTTACCTGCTGGTACAATCACTTTTTGTTTTGAGGCGCCTCAAAACTAGTTACCTGCTGGTACAATCACTTTTTGTTTTGAGGCGCCTCAAAACTAGTTACCTGCTGGTACAATCACTTTTTGTTTTGAGGCGCCTCAAAACTAGTTACCTGCTGGTACAATCACTTTTTGTTTTGAGGCGCCTCAAAACTAGTTACCCGCTGGTACAATCACTTTTTGTTTTGAGGCGCCTCAAAACTAGTTACCTGCTGGTACAATCACTTTTTGTTTTGAGGCGCCTCAAAACTAGTTACCTGCTGGTACAATCACTTCTTGTTTTGAGGCGCCTCAAAACTAGTTACCTGCTGGTACAATCACTTTTTGTGACGACTCAAAATGCTGGGGTCCCCCTACCTATCACTCTTTCCCATCAGAGCCGAGTCTGGAGCCGTGGAGTGTGGGGTGGGCGGGCACGCTTCTTCTCTTGCATCTCTACGTTTTGGAGACACAAGCAATACCTGCACTGACCGCCACGGAATACCCCCTCTCGCAGCGGGTAAGGAGACGCCGATAAGGGAGTATGTCTGTGGGATGGGAATACCCCCTCTTAGCCAGGAACTTGTGAGTTGGGTAAGGAGAGGGTGTGTATTCCATTGGTGTAGTTCTCTCTCCTTCCCTGTTGCACTCCAAGTCACTCGTCCGTCCCCCCTGTCTCCCCCCTCCCCCCTGTCTCCCCCCTCCCCCCTGTCTCCCCCCTCCCCCTTTCTCCCCCCTCCCCCCTGTCTCCCCCCTCCCCCCCGCTCCCTCCCGATCCAATGTACCAGATTTTGCTTGACATGTGTGATTGGTCGCGGCGATTCCCGACCCTGCTGGCCTCGTTCGGTCCGAACCTGCACCTCTTGCTCGGGCAGTATGCCCATGCCACGGGCAACCTGCCAATCGCAATCCGCCACTTCAACACCGCTGCTGCCAAGGTAGGGTGGTAAAGGTCTACATACTGCTCTATTTCTGCTTATTGGCTGAATAGACAAATTTTGGTTGACATTTTGCAAACTTTTTTAACAATCTCTCTCCTCCTCACCTTCGCCCTTTTTTCCCCACATTCCCACATTCCCACATTCTCATGCTCCATCAACCTCCGTCCACAACCAGCACCATCGCCGCATCCACTGCCTTGCTCACTGCCTGTCTAAGCCAGCTCGAATCAGTACCTCATCCCTCAACCACTCTGTCTATCCTTCCCTTGCCCTCCCGGGCTGCCTCGTCCTCCCCCACCACCAGCACCATCATCGCCCCACTCGATGCCTTGTCCCTTTGCCTTGAAATCACAACCTCATTTGCACAACCTCATTTGCACAACCTCATTTGCACAACCTCACTTGCACAACCTCATTTGCACAACCGCTCCCTCTCCCCCATTATCCCGCATGCGTGCTTCCAGGCTTCGTCATCCTCCCGCCACCATGCCCACCATCGCCCCATCCGCAGCCGCGCGCTCTGCCTGTTCAAGGGACTGTAATCACTTCCCACCGTCTCCCACTCCCTCCCATCCCTACCCTCCCAGGCCGTGTCATCCTCCCCCCACCATGCCCACCATCGCCCCATTCGCTGCCTCGCGCTCTGCCTGGCAGCCATTGCGCATCTCACCATCGACGATCCGAGTCACTCCCACATATCGCAGGCAAGTTGGTTGATTCATCTATCACACGGTGCAGCCAGGTAGTGCAGCGCATGTGGCTCCCTTCCTTCCCTGCCATGAACTGCACTGCGAGGCTGCGATCGCGCAACTCACCATCGACGCTCCAAGTCACTCCCACGTATCGCTGGTATGCTCGTCAACAGCTTCAGCACCCTCATCCTCGTCGCCCTCATCCTCGTCATATTTCTGAAGCTGCATCGACCTGTCTCCTCCCTCACTCTTTTGCCGTCACACACCTGCTCGCTGCCTCCTTCAAGGGTCGCCGTCACTCATGGTGGGAAGGGCAGCAGTGCTAAGTAAAATCCACGTGAACTGAGACTGCTTTTGAGGCGCCTCAAAAGCACCTGCTCGCTGCCTCCTTCAAGGTTTCCGCTCACCTGCAACCACTTAGGCGCCTCAAGAGTGATCTTACTTTGTATAATATCCGCATGCCCTATCTTCGCATCCATCTGTCATCCCTCTTCCAGGCAGTGGACATTCTATCAGCCTTGGAGCAGGAGGAGCAGCAATACGCCCACATGCGACAGATGCAGCAGCAACAGCAGCAACAGCAGCAACAGCAGCAACAACAGCAACAAGGGGCATCAGCAGCAGCACCAGCAGCACCAGCAGCAGCAGCAGCAGCAGCAGCAGCAGGAGGAGGAGAGGATGAGAGGATCAGGGAGCAGTGCGCTCAGCTGCTGGCGTCTGCGTTGCTGGCTCTGAGGCAGGGCAATCTGGTGGAGGCCAGGTGAGTCTGGTGGTGTGGGGTGGGTTGATGGTGGGGGTGTCAGGTGGGTTCATGGCGCCAGGTGGGTTCATGGCGCCAGGTGGGTTCATGGTGCCAGGGGGGTTCATGGTGCCAGGTGGGTTCATGGTGCCAGGTGGGTTCATGGTGCCATGTGATTGTAAGCAAGCCAGCAGCAGCAGCAGGGGAGGAGAGGGTCGGAGAGCAGTACTCTCGGCTGCAGGCAGTTGCGTTGCTGGCAGTGCACTCCCAGCGCAGGGCAACTTGGTTGAGGCAAGGCGAGTCTGGTGGTGCCAGGTGGGTTGATGAGGCAGCATGATTGTACCGAGGAAAGGTGGTGTACTGAAACCAGCATCAGCGTCTGCTCTGCTGGATTAAGGCAGGGCAACCGGGTGAGTGCATGGTGAGGGAATGCTTTTGAGGCGCCTCAAAAGCGCGCTTTTCGTTTTGAAGGAATGGCTTCAAGTAAGGGCTTTAAGGAAGGGAAACTGGCTGGACCTGGATGCCAGATGGGGCAGTAGAAATGGCTAGGCCCGTCGATAGCAATAGCATGATGAAAGAAGATTTACCTCGTCATGTAAAGCATGCTCCGTACCTATAACATGACTCATGTTTTCCTTTTATCCTGGTGTATTTTGAATCGACTTAAAATTACAAGCACTAGCATGCTCCTTACCTGTATCATGACTCGTGTTTTCCTTTTATCCTACATTGCAGGAACCGCCTGGCCTCTGGCTTGAAGCTGACTCATCGCCAGCTCAGCAACCACCAGATCGCCGCCCACTTCCTGTTGGCCATAGGGGGAATCGCGCTGCGCACCAGCGACCTGATCGGAGCCAAGGACATCCTAAAGTCGGGCCTGACTCTCTTCCGGGCGGCGAGGGACACGCAGGGAGTGGTGGCAGTGGCGTCAGAGCTGACACGTGAGTGCAGGGGGGTGGGAAAGAGGAGTTCGTGGTACAGGGGGATGCAGGGGGTTGCAACTTGCAAGGGGGTGCAAGGACATCCTAAAGTCGGGCCTCACTCTCTTCCGGGCTGTGAGGGACACGCAGGGAGTGGTCGCAGTGGCGTCAGAGCTGACACGTGAGTGCAAGGGGGTTCATGTAGGGAATCCTTTCTCTAAATACCTGAAACCAGTTTTGAGGCGCCTCAAAACTATTATCTAAATGCCTGAAACCAGTTTTGAGGCGCCTCAAAACTATTATCTAAATACCTGAAACCCGAAACCTTAAGGAGAGTGCCTGAAACAGAGAGTGACTCTCTGTTGTTCATACTCTCGGCCGTCCCCTCGTCTTGCATTCCCCCGCGACCCCCCTCCTCCCAGTGCTACATGGGAAGAGGTGGAGGCGATGGCAGCAAGTCAGAACGCGGCGTATCTTGTGTCGAGGCATCTCTCAACTAGACTCGCCAGTGTTCATTTTCTTGGCCCGCCTCTCTTCTCTGCTTGTCCCTTTGTCTCTCCCTGCATCTCCGCCCTCCTCTCAGTCCTACATGGAGGGGCAGGGGAGGCGATGGCAGGGACTCAGAATGTGACGTTTCCGGTTTTCGGGCATCTCTGTAGTACATTCTGCGCGGCTTATCTTAATTTTCTTCCTCTCTCCTCCCTTCCCAACTCCTCTCCTCCCAGTCCTTTACGGGAGCACAGGGGAGGTGATGGCAGAGAGTCAAAATGCGGCGTATCTGGCTCGAAAGAGAGCCGAGCTGGGTCAGCAGGTCACAGCAGCAGTCAACGCCCCGGGCCACGCTGCCTTGCTCCAGGTACAGCACGGCTTTTGAGTCGCTCAATGGCTGGTCAGCAGGTTATGCAGGCCGACAGTCAATGCGCCGGGGCATGCTGCCCTACTCCAGGTACCGTTGTCCTTTGTGCTGTTGCCGTGCATTGAGTCGACCCAAAGTACGGGGAGGCAATGGCAGAGAGCCAAAATGCGGCGTGTCTTGCTTGCAAGAGAGCAGAGCCGATCCAGCAGGTTTCAGCAACAGTCAATGCGCTGGGGCGTGCTGCCTTGCTCCATGTACAGTAGTCCCTTTGAGTCGACTCAATGCCTTGAGTCAGCAGGTCGCGCAGCAGCAGTCAACGCCCTGGGGCATGCTTCCCTGCTCCAGTACCCGTGGTCTTATTGCGATGTTTTCTCTATATCGAGTCGAACCAAAGTCCACCCTAAGCGTCCGGTACTGTAGAGCTTTCGTGCGTAACACACCAAGGCGCACTTTGACTGCTTCTTGTTTCTCCCTGTTTCTCCTCCCGATCCTTCCAGTATGGCATTTCCCAGTAGGGTTATCGTATATGGTGGAGGCTTAAGACTCGTCAACGTGCTTCTCACAGAGCACAGGGCACAGAGCACAGCGCACAGAGCACAGAGCACAGCGCAGAACGCAGAGCGCAGAGCACAGAGCACTGAGCACAGAGCACATATTTGTCTCATGATGCTCCTGCATTGCCAGCTGTGGCTTTCGTCATTCCTGCTGCTGCTGTTCTTGAGGCGCCTCAAAATAGTCAGCTATGGCTTCCATTTCTGTTGCTGCTGCTGCCACTACCGCTGTTGCTGGAGCTGCGTGGAGCAGACGCAGGTCTGCGACATTTACAGGTCGTTTGCAGCTCGGAATCAGTGGAGTGAGTTAGGGGGCACAGTGGCTGTGCTCGTGCCCAGGGGAGATGTTTTACTCGACTAAAAAATCATTCACAGGTCATTTGAAGCTCCGAGACAGTGGAGTTCGCTTGGGCACATCTGCTGTGCTCATGTGCCCAGGGGGTCAAGGGCATGCATGGAGACTTGCATCCTTTGAAATGAAACGGGTCTCCACAGCAAGCCATAGAAATACATTCAGGATGTTTTTATCCAATGAGGATTGTGAAGCATATTGTGGCTGTATTCAGCCATCCTATCGCAAGTTCTGACAAAGCATTTAGGCACGGTAATTGTGCCTACACTATTCAGCCTGGTCCAAAAATACCCACCCCCACAAATAAAAAAAGGTACCTGAACGCCATATGAAAGCACCTCGTCCCTCTGGCGTTACCCCTGTAACCTCTCCAGCCTAACCATACATCCTATTATTGAAGTATGCGCGTGCACTGGTGTTGCCAACGCGTGATTAACTCACCACCATTCCCTTCATCACCCCCACCTGGTATAGTCTACCAGTCCACTGCACGTGCTCCATAAAAAAGGTCCGCATCCGCTGCATGTGCTTGCACTGCCGCCAACGCATGATCAAGTCACCAGCGCTCCCCTCATCAGCTCTGCCCGGTACAGTCAACCCGTGAGGAGTCTTTTTTTTTTTTACCAGCGCCTAAAAAATAGACTCCAATGCATGATCAAGTCACCAGCGCTCCCCTCATCAGCTCTGCCCGGTACAGTCTACCCGTGCACTGTATGTGCTCCGTCAAAAGGGTCTGCATTCACCGCATGCGCTTGCACAGCAGGCGTATTACGAGTCGGCTCGAGATACTCCGAGCCTCCCCGTATCTGCGCTCATCTCATCATCCCTCTACCCGTGCACTGTATGCGCCCCATCAAAAAGGTCCGCATTAGCTGCATGCGCTTGCACTGCTGCCAACACATGGTTAATTCCCAAGCCTGAACCTCCATTGGCCAGCCCCGAGCCTGGTGCTCCGGTCCCCAAACCTGCCGATGCCGAAGCTCCCGCAGCTGACAGTGCATTTACCCCATCTGGGCCCGCTCCTCTCACCCCGCCATACCCCAAATTACTCCCACCAGCCCCAATGTTGCTCTCCCCTTCGCCCTCATTCCCTGCACCCTCCTCCCCTCCCGCATCCTCCCCCTCCCCTCCCAGCCCTTCCCCCGCCCCTCGCTCCCCCTCTTTGATCAACCGAGTCAGAAGCTCCTCTATCTGCACTGCCGTTGCGTCCCTGTTGGCCTTGGTGAGTGTGAGCACGGCTGGAAAAAGGAGGGCAAGGAGGGAGGTGGGGAAGGGGTGGTGAGTTTGACGCATGGCCATCTCCCCCGCCTTGATGAGCCGTGTGAGCAGCCCTTCGACCTGCACTGCCGTTGCGCCCCTGTTGGCCTTGGTGAGTGTGAGCACGGCTGGAAGGAGGGGGGAGGGGGGGAGGAGGGAGGTTGGGAAGGGGGTGGTAAGGTTGAGAGTTCCCTTTCGTCCTGGAGTCAGCAGCTCCTCTATCGGCACTGGTGCTGCGTCCCTGCTGGCCTTCGTGAGAGTGGGTGGGAGCAAGATGACTTTTGAGTCGACTCAAAATTCATCTTGGTGAGAGTGAGCACGGCTGAAAGGCAGGGAGGGGGAGCAATGGCGGGAACCGGGTGATGGGTTGATACATCCCTCTCTCCCCCTCCTTCACCAGCCGAGCTCCTCTATCAGCACTGCGGTTGCGTCCCTGTTGGCCTTGGTGAGGGTCAGCACGGCTGCAAAAAGGGGGGGGGCGGAGGAGGGAGGTGGGGAAGAGGTGGTGAGTTTGAGGCATCCCTCTCTCCCCTCCTTGACCAGCCGAGTTAGCAGCTCTATCTGCACTGCTGTTGCGTCCCTGCTGGCCTTGGTGAGTGTGAGCATGGCTGGGCGGGAGGGAGGGAGGGGGGCAAATCAGAGAGGAGGGTGCACTGCTATTGCGTCCCTGTTGGCCTTGGCAGGAGTGAGCACGGCTGGAGCAGGCAGTTGTGGGGGAAGGGGGGAATGCCACAATCTAATAAAGAGAGGTAGAACCAAGCATCTGAAGGGGAACCTGAGAAGCAGCAGACGTGACAATAAAGAGCTGTGCGTGGGAAGACGCCCCAGAAGTGGAGGACGAATATTGGGCATTCATGTATAAGCACCTGTGTCTGCACGCTGCTTGATCTCCTCTACTAGCTCAAGAGTGTGACCATAACGAGGAGCAGGCAGCGCGCCAAACACCTGGGGATGCACATAACGAGGGGAACAGCGGAGTGGGTGAAAATAACGATGAGAAAACATGGAGGAGAAACGTCGTATGCAGTGTAAGGAATGGTGAAACACAGCGAATGTGGCAGTGAATAGAGGTAAGCGACAGGTAGTGGAAGCTAGGAGGGCGAAAAGGATGAGGCCGCTTACAGCAACAGGCGAGGCTAGCAGGTTCAGCACAGCGTCTCTGAACTTGTCACTGCACAGCTCCATGCGACCGATCTGGTGGGGGGGGAGGGGGGGGAGGGCAAGAGGAGCGTGAGAGGAAGAGGTCGAACAAGCCATCTGGAACGGCAAGCAGGTTCAGCACGGCGTCTCTGAACTTGTCACTGCACAGCCATGCGATGCGACCGATCTGGTGAAAGGGAGAGAGGGGGGAGGAGGGAGGAGAAGAGAGGAGAAGGGAGGAGAAGGGAGGAGAAGGGAGGAGGGAGAGGGGAGAGTGAAAGGAAGAGGGGCGCAGAAGAGGGACGAGCCAAGAGGCAAGCAGGTTCAATACAGCATCCCTGAACTTGTCACTGCACAGCTCCATGCGACCGATCGGGGAAGAGGGAGGCAGGGGGGGGCAGAAAAGGGAGGGAAGAGGGAGGGTGTGAGAGGAAGGAGGGAGGCGGAAGAGGGGGGCACCAATAGGCGAGGCTAGCTGGTTCAGCACAGCGTCTCTGAACTTTCACTGCACAGCCCCATGCGATTGGTCTGGTGGGGGGGGAAGGGGGGTGAAGGGAAGAGGGAGAGCGGGAGGGAAGAGGGAGAACGAGAGGGAGGAGGGAGGAACGGCGTCCCTGAGTCAGTCAGTGCCACCAGTAGAATCGGTCACATTTTTTAGGCGCCTCAAAAATAGACTCCTCACGCAGCAGTAGAATCGGTCACATTTTTTAGGCGCCTCAAAAATAGACTCCTCATGCACCAGTAGAATCGGTCACTCACCCTCCCTCCTCCCCCCTCTCTCCCTGCGACTGATCTGGTGGGGGGAGAGAGGGGGGAGGAGGGAGGGAAGGGAAGCGGGAGAGTGTGAGAGAATAGGAGAAGAGGGAGGGTAACAAGCAGGAGAGGCAAGCAGGCACAACACAGCGTCTCTGAACTAGCCTCGTCCACGATATGTAGTCGCGTGCTGCCAGACGGCATGGGGTGCAGCAGCTCTTGCTCAAACTTTGTCAAAGGTAATTTTTGAGTTGACTAAAAAATCAGGTGCGGCAACACCACTCGCTCAAACTTTGTCAACCACTGCATGTGAGCTACATGGCAACAGCCCGACATACCTCGCCCACTATATGCAGTCGCGTGTTGTCTTTTGAGGCGCCTCAAATGTGAGCTACATGGCAACAGCCCGACATACCTCGTCCACTATATGCAGTCGCGTGTTGTCTTTTGAGGCGCCTCAAATGTGAGCTACATGGCAACAGCCCGACATACCTCGTCCACTATATGCAGTCGCGTGTTGTCGGACGGCATGAGGTGCGGCAATACGACTCGCTCAAACTCGTCTATAGCCACGTAGTACTTGCCGATCTGCGGGTGGGGGAACGCAAGAGACCAGCAGGGAGACAGGACACATGGCACGTGTTTTGAAGGGGCCGTACGGCACCATTCGCTCAAACTCGTCTATAGCCACAAAGTACTTGCCGATCTGCCGGGGGGGGGGGGGGAGGGGGGGAGGATTATGAGGTGCTTCGTCATGCTCCGAGGTTCATCCTGAGGAGAAATAGGAGAAGGAGGAGCACAAGAAACAATAAGGGGTCATTCTCATTGGCTTCTCCCCTATGTAATGAGTCGATTTTTGAGTCGACTCAAAAATCATTCTCACTGGCTTCTCCCCTAACCAGGCATTCTAGCCTTCCGCCCTTCGTACTCCCTCTCGTTTCCTCATCCCCACCCCTCCCCCATGCCAACTTTCCCCCATCTTCGCCCCTTACCCCCCCACGAGTTCCCCATCCCGTTCCCCCCACTAAGTTCCCCGACCTCCCTCCTTCCGCCCATCTTGGGCCCGCCGCCTCTCCATACTCTGCACAAACATGCCCCCCAACACTCATCTTGGCCCGCCGCCCTCTTCCCCCCGCCCTCCCCTCTCCCCCTTTCCCCCCCTTCCCCCTCCCCCCTCCGCCTCCCATTCGAACCCTCCCCACTCCACGCCCCAAAGCTCCTTTCCCCCCACCTTGGGTCCGCAGCCTCGCCGTAGTCTGCACAGAGGCGCGCGCTCGCCCGCGAAGGTGACTGTAACGAAGGGGGACGAGCAAGTGAAAATGATGCAATATGAGTGGAAGGGAATTGATGTGTTGGGGAAAGGTAGGTGGAGAGAGGAAAGGGGGGAAGGAGAGCGGGGGGGGGGGAGGGGGGGGGAAGAGCGGGGGGAGGGATGCGGGGAAAGAATAGGGGCGGGGGGGAAAGGAAGCGCAGAGTTTACCACGCCTCTCGCTTGCTCAATCTCGCATTCGACCGAAAGCTCTCCTCTCTCTTCCCCTCACTCACCCTCCTCTCACTCTCCTCCCACTCACCCTCCTCCCTCTCTCCCCTCCCACTCACCCCCCTCCTCTCACTCCCCTCCCACTCACCTCCCTCCTCCCGCACTTACTGACATCCAGCCCGAGGCGCTCCCCCGTGCCTTCCGCCTTCGCCTCAACCGTGTAGAACCCCGCTACAAGGTGCTGCGGTAAGCGCTTCGCAACCTTTAAGACCAGCCTGCAGCGCGCACACGCAACACGACCCACGGAGGATGCAAAACGTGGGGATGAGGCTCAAGCTGGCAGCTGAGGGTGAAGTCTCCCTCAGCTGGCTTGAGACTTAACCCTCTGACGTCATACGTGTGATAAGCGTAGGGATGTGGCTTCAGGCTGATGGTATTGGAAGAAACAGCTTCAAAGCGGGTAACCATACACGAGACATGGTATGCACGACAAGGAGGGAGGAGCGAGCCTGCACGACTTACGATGTTTTTCCGATGCCTGGATTTTGAGACCAGCGCGAAACCACACATGCCATGCACACGCACATGCACAGCAGAAGGAGAGGAAGGGGGGTGGGGGGAGAGGGGGGGGCACGGATCAGAGGTTCAGGTTCATGCAAGGGGCGGGGTGAGAGGTGACTTTTGAGTCGACTCAAAAGTCACCACGTGCACAGCAGAAGGAGAGGAAGGGGGGTGGGGAGAGAGGGGGGGACACGCAGCAGAGGTTGAGGTTCATGCAAGGGGCGGGGTGAGAGGTGACTTTTGAGTCGACTCAAAAGTCACCACGTGCACAGCAGAAGGAGAGGAAGGGGGGTGGGGGGAGAGGGGGGGCCACGCAGCAGAGGTTGAGGTTCATGCAAGGGGCGGGGTGAGAGGTGACTTTTGAGTCGACTCAAAAGTCACCACGTGCACAGCAGAAGGAGAGGAAGGGGGGTGGGGGGAGAGGGGGGGACACGCAGCAGAGGTTGAGGCTCATGCAAGGGGCGGGGTGAGAGTAGAGAAAAACGCCAAGGGAGAACACACGGGAGACCGGTGGGCCGCAAAACACGACGCGTTTTGGGGCGCCTCAGAACACCGAAGACAGCACGAGAAGGCGCCTCAAAAAGAGTAGAGAAAAAACACCAAGGCAGAACACACGGGCGACCCGTGGGACGCAAACACGACGCGTTTTGGGGCGCCTCAGAGCACCGAAGACAGCACGAGCTCCTCTCAACTGCCTCGATGAGGCGAGCTTGAGACTTCACCCTCGGCTGCCAGCTTTCTGAAAGCGAGAAACAACCGACAGGCTGGTTGGCAGTAGCGGAGAGGGCGGCAAGACGAGCAACATGTGCTGACCGCTTGAAAACGAGAGACGAACGACAGGCTGCCTACTAGTCTGGATTTTTTACGCGAAAGACCTGACCGGCTTATAACGCAATATCTGGCTTGCTTATAAGGAGTACCTGGCTGGCCAGTAACGAATACGTTAACGGTGGAGCTGTTGGCTCCGCTGCTGCCGCTGGTGCCTTCGTGCGAGCACATCTGGACCATTCACGGAGGACGCAGGACCGATTTGACGGTTCAGATTCGCCTCCGCCAAGCTAGCTGATGCTACGGATGACAATGCTGCTGTTTCGACCACTAAGCAGACTTGCAACGGCGTTACAACTGTCCTCCGTTCCGCGCTAAGTCGTCTGTCTTCCGTCTGCTATTTCGATTGACCTCCGTCTGCTGTCTCGACTGACCTCCGTCTGCTATCTCGACTGACCTCCGTCTGCTGTGTCTGACGCGTTCAGACACGCTTAGCCTACTTCCGTCACCTCTCGATGGCAGAGAGCGGACATCTGGAACCACCCGCTGAACGATGCTTGCACACCAACGGGAGGTCTCTCGGCTCTACTCAGCACTACAGCGCTTAGAGAGAAGCGATTCGTCTAAGCTGTCGACAGGATGCGTGCCTCGAGAAAAAATCAAGTGGAATATCTTGCAAGAGCAACTGTAGTACGGAAGCTGGGAAATGGCGGTGGAAGAAATGGCTGGAGGAGTTTTCTGAACATTCCCGTCCCCCTGCAGGTTGTGCTGAGCAGGAGAGCAAAAGCAATGTTGCACATCGCACAGCACAACTACATGAGAGGAAGAGGAATAGTTGCACATTCGGTTCGAATGGTAAAATCCTGTGCGAATGGCGGGCTGGAACAGAAGGCTTTGGGAAGGTAAAATCTGGGGAATGGCTTGCTTGCGAACCACGCGGCACGCAAATTCCTGGGCTCGGTCTGGGGATTTGTTGGCGGACCAATCATAGAGGGCAAGCGAGGAAAATCTAGGAGCAATTCCCCTGGACTCTGCAAATTGCTCTGTTGGGGCAGCTTTGCAAACTTGCGTGGCAGTTGCTGGGCTGGGCAGTCCAGCGCATCGCCGGAAAAGCGGGTGTCACTGAGCTGGACACGAGTGAGCCCAAGGAAAGCCCAGGGGAAAGTCCTTCGACAAGCCCGAAGCGGGCTGAGCTGGCACGGCGTGGCACACGCCATGACGTGACTTCGTGGCAACACCCAATCAAATTGCAGAAGCTCCCAAGAAGCTGTGCTGTACTCCTTGCTGGAGGAACAGCTTGGGTAAAGGAAGGAATGCTTCATTGCGACGTGTTATAAACTGTAGCGATATATTCTGGGGCAACAATTCCTTCCATCCTCGAGTACTGACGGGTTCTTGGGAGGCAGTGCATGCGCACAATACATAAACAGGATGACTCAATTGACCCAAGCACCAGCAACATATGGCCCGGTAAACTAAGGTGACCACAAACATCACCCGGCACGTACCTGACCTGGCATAGCATTCGCAGGGACTTTCTTGACGGGAAAAGTTGAATATGTTACATGATAAGATGTGGAGTGGAATTAGGTACATAGTAAGAGTAACTTCTATTATTTGCCAATGCTGTAATATGCACAAGCCACTTCTGCTATGCATACATGCTCAAAAACCAAACTCAGCACCTATGCAATGATGCAGGGAAAAAAGCAGCTCCTGAACCAGCTCCTAAACTTTCATCGCAGACACTGCTGCAAATACCTTGTCTGCGTGTTCTTGATGTTAAATACTAGTACCAGTACATATGACCCCACTCAATGGATTAACAGGTAAAAGGCAGTTCCTGCCTGGAGCAAAAGTAAAACCTCTACCAATCATTCGGATACACCTGACGGAGCTTCTTTCCCGGAACGTACGTGCCATCCTGGAACCCCACGAAGAACTGCAACATCGGCACACACAAATACACAAATAGAACAATAAGGCTCCCCCCGTCTTGGCTGCATAACGACGAAAGATGGCAATTAAAACCGCACCTACCTTTGGAATCCAGGGGTGAACAACTGGTGACGCATCACTCTGTGCAACGAGATTTTCCTGTGCGACGTAAGTCGAGACACCTCCCGCTCTATCGCGAGTATCTACCAGAACGTGGTAAAAGGGCTGGCTTCTCCCGTGCGTCAACAGGTCCACTTTCATCGCATCTTGCCAGCTTGAAGGGGCTGAACACTCAGGGTCGTGACCGTAGACAACACCGCGATACCCTGGACACGTGGGGGTTTGATAAAAATGGCCTGTAAGACATGGCCTCGATTGAATCGGGAAGCAATACGCGACTATGGACAATACCGCTCACCATATCTCCGGTGCACGATGACGTCTCCCACGCGGTACATAATTCGCGGTTTGGCCTGGATTTCTAGCAAACGCTTCCGGAACTCCATCATAGCTAGGCTATCGCGGACCTGCAAGAGAAAGACAAGCGTCAATTGCTAGCTTGCGAACTCAAGGGCTCAAATGCATAAACACGAATGTAGCCTACCAAGCATGCTTCCTCGTAATGTTCCGACGCCACCAGAGCTGCCATCCGGTCTTGCAACTCCTTCACCTCAGAAGTCACGACCACGTATGTCTCACTCATTTCTAATTCCTGCAAAAAAAGTGGGACGACGGTGAGTTATGCTCCACCATACGAGTGTAAATATCAGCAACGTAGCCGGCAACGAGAAATACGCACCTTTCTAGCTCTCCTCTCCACAACACAGTCATTCCCGAAGGAATCGCGAAAATTCTCCAGCGGATCGGCGACTTCCATTCGCCAGGCCTTTGGTCGTCGGACTTCACGTTTGCAACCAACTTTAGTTGCAAGCTTTAAGCACTGACTATTTCCAAACATTGCAGACATTGACGAGCGCACGGTTCTTCCCCTCTGAACTACCTGCTCCTCACTGCCAAGTGGTCCGTAACACGTGCAATCCTTCAAGACTAGGGAGCTCGCTGAGAAGGCCGCCATAGCGATTAAATCCTGGTGGCTTCAAAGCCGTTCGCAGAGACTACGCATCAATCAACAAGAAGGGAACTGGATCGCTGCAGGTTATTAGCAAGGTCTGCACTGCAGTGCGTAGTGTGGAGCAGCAGAAGTCCAGGACAACACAGCAAAGTCAGTCCAGCACTGAAAAGCAGACGAGTCACGAGGATCAACTTCGTGCCTCAAGAGTTTCGAGAGGGGGGTGCAGGGGACTGAGCAAGCGGGAGATCCCTGGGGGGGTTTGCGATGGTCGAGGGACGGAGGAAGGACAAGATGAAAGATCGGGCAGATGGCAGGTCAGCTGACATGGCACGAAAAAGAGATTGTGACCCGCTGAGGAGGAAGGTTTGCGCGAGGAACGGGTAGCATCCCTCTCAATGTGGAGCCACGTGAGTGGCTGCTGCTGATCGTGGCGAAATCGATGACGCCGATTGGGAACCTGTCAAACAGGAGGTGGGCTTGGCGCGCAGTTTGGGGCAGGAGGGGTGAATGGATGATGTTGCAGTTTCGTTTCCGTGCGGACCGGCGCGGATGAACACCAGACGTTTCTGTCCACACGTGGAGACTGTGGATGGGGTAATTTCGATGCATAGCGTCAAAATTGACCTCAAAGATGTAGAAATTCTTCGGAGGATATTCATTGAAAGGATATTCTCCATTCAACTAGGGGATAAATCACACTAGTGAATGGTTTAGGAAACATTCCCAGTATTTATATTTGGACAAGCACAGTGCCCTGGTCCACCGTCTCTGAAGTTTGAGACACCGTACTGTACCGCACAATGGGAGCATAAGGCAAGTGCAGCTCACATGGCATAAGGTGCTCAACGGAGGTTGGCTTCCAAATGCCGAAGCTAACGCAGCACTCTCTTTGCGCGTACAAATTCTTGTGCTGTTTTGTCGAGGTTCTGCTGTCACAAAACCAGGCTCCTGTCATTCCGTCGCTGATCATGAGCTTCCATGATTCATCGTGGACCCATTCTTTCAGAGAGGATAGTCGTCGTTAGGGAAAAGTAACTAGGCGGCAGTAGACCAAGGATGGAGATGCCTTGTGTATACAGACAGTGTCCTGGCTCTTGGAACTGTCGGCTGCATAGATCGGGGAAAGTAATGCCATCGGCTCTGTACGTCACGTGTCATGGCACCAAACCTGTGATAAAAAACGTTGCTGGACACTGCATGTCGGGAGAAGTTCGTCCATCAGCGAAGCATATTGCGATAACCAGGAGCGAATGGCGAACGAGCGAAGGCCATCGCGAACCTGAGCCGGCGAAACCTATGGAGCCGAGCATTATTAGAAGGCCGTGTGGCAACGAGCACGAAGAGCCTATTGCAGTCCCTACTGAGGTATATGGCTCATCAGACGCCTCTTTACGGCCTTCCACAGATGGGCTAGTCGAACGAAACATCAGGGTGAGAGACGGCAGAGACAGCAGAGACGGCAGGGACTGGCGGGGGAAGGTAGTAGGAGGCGATAGGGTTAACGATCTCGTGCGAATCCAACACAGGAGAAAGGAATGCTTAGTGAGGAAGCCCACCAAGCAGGGAAGGAATGCGGTGTGGAAAGCGCGCGAGCGATTGAAGAAGAATTCAGCTGATTCGGATCGGCTTGTAACGGAGCGTAACGCCTGGAGAGCTAGTGAGAATGCTTTAACGTTGTCAGATCGGCGATGGACGGCAGATTCGGCGAGTACCCGACAAGAGAAATCTGTTGCACAAGCGCCAGTGCGGGCTGTGAGAGGAGCGGAGGAACGGCACTTGGCAGAATCAACAGAATCTGTTCATGTTACTGACAGTGATAGTAACGCAGCTGCTCCTACCGGGGAGCGAGACTCTGCCGGGCAGCTGTTGCTGCCGAGTTCTGTTGGTGAAGCAAGATTTCCCAATGCAGAGAGACCTGGGGAGGAGGTCGGGAAGCCTAGATGGATAGAAAGGCGTATTACTGTAGATAGATTTCCGAAACGATCTATGGCAGGTGCTGCAGGCCAGATCAGCAGCAGCAGGCGCTGGGGGAGTGACACCGCGGCTGGCATTGGAAGCAACATGGTTGGGGGGAAGGGGCGAGGGAGAGGGGGAGCGAGAGAAAGGGCGGCGGCAGCAGCAGCAGAGATCAGGGCACGGGGGTTGGCGAGAACAGCAGAGGTGGTTGAGTGTGTCGCACACCATGACCTGGCGATTGATAATCGGACTCTCAATCTCCTGCTCGGGGTGATGGTGGGAGGCAGAGCGGTATCGGATAGCGGAGATGTTATAAAGAAGCAGGGACATGGCGGGGGAGCTGCAGATCGGAAACCTCCAGCAGTACATGGAGCGGAGAAGTCAGGGTTTATGGGGGGTTTGGGGGAGAAGGACTGGGAGGGCGCAAAGGTGGTGGTGGCAGCTTTCCAGGCGGTAGGGGTGGAGATGAACGAGCGGATCTACACCACACTCCTGTCGTGCTACGGGTTAGTACTCTGCAGCACTGCAATGCAACCCCCTCCACTCATTCTCTTTCTCCTCTGCGCTGGACAGGGGCTTCTCATACACAGCTGTCTCACGCAATCTGTTTCTCAACCACCATTTGACAGCCAAACTCCCCCCGCACCCCGCACCCCCCGCACCCCCGGCCCCCGCCCCCCGCACCCTCCTCCCCCCTTCCCCACCCCCCCCCCCCTCCCCCCTTCCCGCCCCTTCCCCCTGCATGTCCCCCATCTTCCCCAAACGCATTCCGTCTCCTTCCCCATTCCTCTCCCCCGTCCGCTGCTCATGGCAGCAAGGGCGGGCACATGGGGGACTGCTGGCGCTGGCTCCGCGCTATGGAGAGGCAGTGGGGGGTGGCGCACGTGCAATGGGGGGCGCAAGTGCAGGGCGCGTCTGGGGAAGAGCCGGGGGAGGGGGAAGCTCAGGTGGGGATGGAGAAGGGGAGGAGGGAGCAGAGAGGCGCGGGGGGGAAGGAGGAAAGGGAGGGTGAGAAGGTGGAGGGAGAGGAGGGTGGGAATGGGAGGCATGTGCTCCTGCCAGAGGATATCTACGATGTCATGCTGGGGGCGTGCGTGCAGGTGCGAGAGAGGGTGGGGTGGGGACGCAAGGGGATTTTATAGGCTGTTTTGAGACGAGTCCCTCCTGCCAGAGGATATCTACGATGTCATGCTGGGGGCATGTGTGCAGGTGAGAGCGAGGATGGGGTGGGGAACAGTGTTCTGAGGCGTGGCTAGGAATGGCACTTTGATCCCCTGTCTGGAGATTCCTGGATCTGGTGTCATTCAATTTCACTTCTATATGCAAAGTCTTTGTGGTTCAATTTCTGCTACGTTCTTGTAATGCTAGATTAATACGTCCCCCTCTCCTGCTTTGGTCTCCTCATGTAGTTTCCGCATCCCCTTTCCTCTTCGTCCTCCATCCTCTCTCTGCCAGTGTGTGGACTGGAAGGGCGCTCTTGCCATCTACCACCACCTCTCAGCACATGGTGCTGCTGCAGCATCAGCAGGAGCGTCAACAACAGCAGCATCAGGAGCAGCAGCAACAGCTCCCTCACATGTGACAGCAGCAGCCCACCAGCAGCGCCAGCATCAGCAGCGCCAGCATCAGGAGCATCAACAGCGCATGCCGACCTCCCATCAGTTTGGCCTGGTGCTGAGAGCATGTGCCAGAGCGGGCAGGTGGCAACTCGCCCGGGATTTACTGATGGCTGCTGATGTTGTCTTCGTTGCTGCCCTTGTTGCTGCTGATGGTGGTGGTGGTGGTGCTCCTGGTGCTGCTACTTCTGCTTATTCCTCTGGTGCTGTTGCTGATGGTGCTAGTGCTGCTGCCAGTGCCGTTATTGGTGCTGGTCCTGGTGCTGTTGATGATGGTGCTAGTGCTGCTGCCAGTGCCGTTATTGGTGCTGGTCCTGGTGCTGTTGATGATGGTGCTAGTGCTGCTGCCAGTGCCGTTATTGGTGCTGGTTCTGGTGCTGTTGCTGAAGGTGATGGTGGTGGCGCTGTCGCTTCTCCTCTTCCCCCCCTCTCCCCACACCACCCGCCCCTTGCCACCTCACCGGCAATGTTCACTGACGTCATCACAGCCTGTGCCAGGTCAGCACAACCAATCCCAGCGCTCCGTCTGCTCGACCGCCTCGACTCCCACCCTTCCCCTGCCCTGCATGCTGACGTGGCAGCCTACACAGCTGCCATCTCAGCGTGTGCGAGCGTCGGCCAATGGGAGAACGCTATCCGGCTGATGAGTAGGATGCAGCAGGAGCCAATCGGGAAAGAGATAGGGGCAGGTATGGGGAGGGCAGCGGCAGCCTCTGCCGTGCCTCGGGCTTATGAGGCTCGGCCAAGGCTGGAGGCTCGGGGAAAACTGGAGGTTAGTCGGAAGCCTGCAGTTCGGCCGAACGTGGTGACGTGGACGGCGGTGTTGTCAGCATGCGCCATGGCAGGGCGTGCTGACGTGGCAATGGAGGTGCTGCAGAGGATGATGAGAGAAGGGAGGGGGGAGGAGGATGAGGGGAAAGGGGAGGTTGAGAGGATATTACGTGGAGGAGGGAAAGAGAGTGGAGAGGAGGAAGGAATGGAGATGACAGGTGCCACCTCAGCAACTTGCTTGGATGCCACGTCAGATGCCACCTCAGATTGCCGTCCCAATGTGGTGACGTGGACGGCAGTTCTGACTGCATGTGCGAGGGCAGGGGAGTGGCAGCAGGCGGAGGCACTGTTCACTCAGATGCAGACAAACGGTGTGATGCCGAACGAGGTCTCCTGGGCAGCACTGATCAGCGCATATGCTAAGGGTGGGCAGTGGGAGAAGGCAGTAGGTGCTTTGAGACTCATTGAAGGGGGAAGAAGTGGGAGGAAAGAGGAGAGAGGCAGTGGCGGTGGAAACCAAAAGGGATTTGAAGGAGGGGAGAGTGATGTATCACCATTAGCAGTAGCAGAGGCAGCAACAAAAGCATCAGCGTCATCATCATCATCAGCAGCAGCAGCAGCAGCAACAGCATCTAGCCCATCAAACCCCCCTCAATCATTCCCCCTCCCATCGGCCTGGAACGCTGCTCTGCACGCGTGTGCCAAGGCCGGCAAGTGGAAGCTGCTGGGAAGTCTCGTCCAGGAGATGCAGGAGGCCAGGTGCCCCCCCTCTGTGGTGACCTATGGCGTGCTGGTGGGGGGGTATGGCAGAGCGGGGCAAGCCACACTAGCAAGAGGAGCTTTTGAGGCGATGCTGAGTGCAGGGATAAGGTGAGAGACTTGGTTGACTTTTGTTGACTTGCAGGAGGTCGGGTGCCCCCCCTCTGTGGTGACCTATGGCGTGTGGGGGGGGTGTATGGCAGAGCAGGCAAGCGGGGATGGCGAGGGAAGCGTTCAATGCGATGCTGGGTGCTGGGATAAGGCGAGACTCAAGAGTTCCCCCCTCTGTGGTGACCTACGGCGTGCTGGTGGGGGGGGATGGACGGGTCACGGGCGGGGCAGGCCGCACTAGCAAGAGAGGCTTTTGATTCAAGAGGGGCTGAGTGCTGGGATCAGGCGAGACCTCCTCCCCGCCGCCCCCCTTCTCCCCTCTGTGGTGACTCTCCCTCGTTCCTTCTAGTATGCCGTTCCTGTTCCATCCTCTATTTCCCACTCCTCTGTCGCCCAATTTCCTCTGTCTCTTGCCTGTCTGCTTTTCTCATCTCAAGGCCGAATGCAGTCGTCTGTGCGTCAATGGTGCGAGCATATGCCCGAGCCCGCCAGTTTGGGCAGGCCATGAAATTCTTCGAGGCGATGCCCGGGATGGGGGTGATTCCCGACAAATACACCTACACAGCGCTTCTCTGGGCTTGTGGCACGTGCGGGCAGTGGCGCCGGGCAGAAGAAATTTTCGAGAGGATGAAGCGGCAGGGCTGCGTACCCGATGGGGTAACGTACAGAACGCTTATAGAGAGTTATGAGATGAATGGGGAGTGGGATAAGTCTATGGAGGTGCTCGAAGATATGAACTCGTTGTCCTCGAGATTGTTACAGCGGGCACGGCAAGGGCAGCGGCAGTGAGTGGGCATTGGTTTCGTTTTTTTAGGCATGTGTAATGTGCACGAATGTCACTGGAACTGCAAGCCTTCCCTATACGGGCACCCAAGGTAATTAGCCCTTGATAAATTAGCACATTTTCTCTGGAAATTTTGAAGCAAATACCAGAGATTTAGAGGTCGGCTTTCATGTATTGAGTACTGTCAACTTATACCTGTCTTGTATGTAGAAGTTATAGGCTAGCCTAGGTGTGTGCTTCTAGTGAGTACAACTCCAACAGGTATATGTTCTAAGTTTCTCACACTAGTCAATTATTCTTGCATTCTAACATGGTATCACGCGTAGGTTAGGTCCACCCACCCGCTTCTGCCCGCGCCCTAGCCTACCCCCCCCCCCCCCCCCCCCTACCTAGACCTCGCGCCCGTCCGGCCCATAGCGCCCGCCCGACCCGTAGCGCCCGCCTGGCCCCGTTGCGCCCACCTGGCCCCTAGCGCCCACCCGTCCCTTACGCGCCCGCCTGGCCCCGTCGCACCCGCCTGGCCCCTTTGCGCCACCCTGGCCCCTAGTGCCCGCCCGGCCAGGGCTCAAATTTGAAGGGTATTTCACCCTGATTGCCCTTGCCAGCGGCCGCTTTTTCAGGATCACCCTGATTTTCAAAGGGTATTTTTTTTGTGACACTTTCTCTAAACGTGTAAGTTTATTTTTACCCTGCTGTAGCCAGAGTAAACCATGATATACCCTGACCAGGCAGGGTGTTGCCGAAAACACCCTGAAACAGAAGCCTACAAGGTCTGCAGATTCGATTGTTGTCGAATCTGCCACGCGTGAAACCCCGCCAGCCATGCCCGCCCACTGGCAGTCAAGCCCCCCAGAATCGGCGCGCGTGGCAGTGAATTCGTCGCGCTGTGGCAGCACTACTGCCAGCGGCGTGCCAGATGCAGTATGCGCTATGCATCGAGGCCACTTTCCCGCGTGGTCTCAAGGACAGCTGGGCATCGCATGCACCAGCGCAGCAACACCCGCGGCGCAAGGACAGTCTGCCATAGCAGGTTGACTTTGCCGCGCTGTGTGGTTTTCGTTCCCTATCACGAGACCATTCTTGGCCCATCGTCCTCATCCTCTTCTTCCCCCACCTTCTCTTCATACTTCCACCCAACCCAGCCGAGCTGGGTCAACCATTCCCCTCGTTAGTTGTTACTCTATCGCTTCTACTACTCAGACATGGCCGTTCCCGAGAACGACGAGCCTGACGATGGCCATGTTGGTCATCGTGATGGCCTTAGCGTCCTCGGCGTTTTCCCCCTCGCTCAACCAGCAGTCGCGCCCTCGTTCAGCCAGCGTAAATCTCCCCCGCGCTCTCTGCAAATTCCTCAGCCCGCCCCACCACAGATTCCTAGATCCCTTTCTCCATCTCAACGGGGCATCGAGCCCATCGACGTTTCAGAGTCTGCCGATGCAGATGAGTCCGACCATCCCTCCGTGACAACCCCACCCTCCCCTACCTCCGAGACCGCCAAAAGGCCACGACGGTCCGCATGGACGCAGTCGACCCTCTGGGGTGCGCCTCCGCCTCGCCGCCCAGCAAGCCCGCCTCCCGCGCGCGCTTCTCGCCTTGCCGGGCTTGCTGCCGACGCTCTGCCGACGACCGCTGCTGAGGCCGAATATGCAGTAATAAAGAACCGTTTCGACAATGACTGGTCGAAGCGGTTCCCCTGGCTGCGGCTACATCGAATGAAGAACGGACGACCTGCTCTCAAGTGCGCCACGTGCCTCAAACACGCCGACCCATGTGCGAACACGTCGTATGGCATCAAGGGTGAGGGTGGGCGTGATTTGCAGCTCGGCAGCATCCGCTCTCACATCTGCACCCGTGCGCACAAATCGGCGATCAAGGCGGAGGAGGATGCTGAGAAAGAGCGCGCGCGACAAGTGACGCTGACCCGCTGGCAGCGGACGGATCACCAGACGCGGCATCTTATTCGCATGCTGCACATCGCGTTGTTCATTTGCAGGCATGATGCGCCCATCGCGATGTTCATCCCCCTGTGCTGGTTCCTTGCGAAGGAAGGCCACCCCGATCTGCCGCCAGGTGGTGGGTACGGCGCCTACTACACAGAGTATGTTAAAACCTCGACAGTAGTTCTTGTGCTGTGCGATTTGCCGTTTGATGCTCACTGCTCGTCCTCCCTCCCCACGTGCACAAATTGTGGCCTTCTTGTATGGTACAAATGCCCTGCCGTCCGTCTCTCCTTGTTTCCGTGTCATGCAGTTACGGTTTCAAGGAGAGCATACGGTCCATGTCGGAGTATCTGCAGGAGGAACAACTGAAACACCTTCACGCCTCTCCCTACGTCGGCATCAGCATCGACGAGAGCACGGATCGCATCCACGGGAAACATCTCGTGCTCTACGCGACGTTTTTCAAGGGCAACACCGTGGCGACCGAGTTTGTCACACTTCTGAGTGTCGAGCGGACTGACGCGGCATCTCTGACTTCCTCCCTCTTGCACTACATCCAGGGAATTGGACTGGACCTGCAAAAGATCGTGGGCATCGCGACTGATGGAGCTTCCGTAATGACCGGCGAGCGGAGCGGAGTAGTGACCCGTCTGCGCGCACAAATCGAGCACCTCGTCTCGATTCACTGCATTGCCCATCGGTTTGTTGCGGTTCGACGGACGTATAAACTTTCGGATGAAATGCATGGTCGTGCCTTATATTCCTGGAAGTAACATCAGCCTTTCTACTACTCTTCCCCTATCCTCCCACCCCGCCTTCAGGGAGGCGCTGGCGGCTAAGGACGCGGCTGCAGCCGTGCCCGAGCTAAGCATCATTGACCTTATCATACGGACACTGGCCGACATCCTTGGACGCAGTCACGTGCGCTACACCCGCTTCATGGCGCTGCAGCTGATCTTCTGTCAGACGACCCTGGAACACCAGGGAATCCATGTCATCCGCTGGCTCTCCAGGGGCGAGGCGGTGAACCGCCTCGTGGACGTGCTCCCAGCCGCCATCTTGCTGCTACGCGAGCATGGGAGTGACTTGTATGAAGTCGTTACTTCGTTTAAGTTTCATTTTCTCTTGCGCTTCCTCGCCGACATTCTGACGGAGCTGAACATCCTCAACCAACGGTTTCAGCAGCGCCAGGTATGCATCACCGTGTCTGATCTGTTTAATATATCGCTACGCGTGTCTGACTCTCACCCCCCATGTTTGCCGACCGGTCCATGTGGTTTCCGGCGCAAAGCATAGCACTGATGCGTGGTGCGTGTGTTGTGCCCGCCCGTACAGGTTGACGTGACACTCGTGGCACATGTGGTTGAGCAAACCAAGATGCGGATCTCGGCGCGCTATCTTAGCTCTGGGCCTGGGCACGGCTTCGGCCATGGGGAGAAGCTCCATCTGCCGGAGTTCATCGCGGCGCATGCAGCTAAGGACAAGCGGGTGATGATGGCAGAGGGCGTCGACGGTGACGGAAACCCGCAGTCGTTCTCCTTCGAACTCCACGAGCGACCGCTGCCGGACCAAGATTCTGACGGCGACGTGACAGCCTGCTTCGAGCTCTGCGTCAAGTATGCTCGCTCCGTCAACATGTTCCTCGACCGCCGCCTGAACGATCTGCGTAACCTGGAGGGGACTAAGTTGTTCCTGGACAAGACCTACCTGGATGACGACATCCTACGCGTGGCGGCCTTCAAGAAGTGGCTGAAGCAGCTGGACAGCCTGTTTCGGCACAAGCTACCAGGTAATCTAGAGCGCCTACTTCTCAACCATGGAGTCATGGTATGCTATGCAATGCGAACAGAATCGCTGCCTCTCTAGTCTCAACATTGAACCATTCCTCCCTCACCGCCCCGAACCCCCCTTGCAGGATTCAAGTACAACAATGCAGTCACGGAGCTATGGATGTTCACATCCACCATGCACTCCCAGCATCATCATGAGGACTTCTTCCAGGCGCTGAGCAACACGCTGCGTGACAGCAACTGGCAGCTCAGCTACCCCAACATCATGCTCATGTGGCAAGCTGTCGCCGTTCTCCCGCTGAGCACTGTCGACTGCGAGCGCGGTTTCTCCAAGCAGAACCTGATAAAGACATGGGCGCGGGGTAGCATGGGCGACATCACCCTCGGCCATCTCATGCGGTGCTCCCTGCTGGACTATGACGTGGACTGGTTCGACGTGGTGGCCATCTTTCGTGGAGAAAAGCCCCGCCGCACTATCCGAGACTTCACCGGCGCCATCCCCAGTTCGGCGCTGTTTGCTGAGCCAGAGAACGCAACACCCTCTGCTGCTCCCAGCTCAGTCGGCGGGGGGAATAGTGGGTCTGCAGAGTGAGCTATTAGTAGCGGGAGTATTAGTGACTGCCGTGAGACTCAGAGCGCATTCCTATGAATTAGGATCAGAATCAATAACATGCAGTAGTAGTAGTAGTAGTAGTAGTAGTAGTAGTAGTAGTAGTAGTAGTAGTAGTAGTAGTAGTAGTAGTAGTAGTAGTAGTAGTAGTAGTAGTAGTAGTAGTAGTAGTAGTAGTAGTAGTAGTAGTAGTAGTAGTAGTAGTAGTAGTAGTAGTAGTAGTAGTAGTAGGTTATCTAGCTATGCATTGATAATGTTAGAGACAACGTGCTTGTATGCATTCTAGATCTGAAAGCACTCGAAAGTATGATCGACTGTTGTACGGTAAGCACATGAAAGGGTGTTCAATTTTTTTCCCTGGCCAAACAGTGTACTCGGTTTTTTTTTTCAAATTTACCCTGATTTTCAAAGGGTGCCGAAATTTCCACCCTAGGAGGCAGGGCAATTTTTTTGAGGTACCCTGATTACCAAGGGTCCCCCTAAACCAATTTTGAGCCCTGCACCCGGCCCGTAGCGCCCGCCTGGCCCCGTCGCACCCGCCTGGCCCCGTCGCGCCCGCCTGGCCCCTCTGCGCCACCCTGGCCCCTAGTGCCCGCCCGGCCCTTAGCACCCGCCTGGCCCCGTCGCACCCGCCTGGCCCCGTCGCGCTCGCCCGGCCCCTCTGCGCCACCCTGGCCCCTAGCGCCCGCCCGGCCCCTCCTAGCGCCCGCTCGGCCCCGCCTAGCGCCCGCCCGGCCGCTCCTAGCGCCCGCTCGGCCCCTCCTAGCGCCCGCTCGGCCCCGCCTAGCGCCCGACCGGCCCCTCCTAGCGCCCGCCCGGCCCCTCCTAGCGCCCGCCCGGCCCCTCCTAACGCCCGCTCGGCCCCTCCTAGCGCTCGCTCGGCCCCGCCTAGCGCCCGCCCGGCCCCTCCTAGCGCCCGCCCGGCCCCTTCTCACGCCCGCCCGGCCTCTCCTAGCGCCTCCTCGGCCCCTTCTAACGCCCGCCCGGCCCGTCCTAGCACTGCCCGGCCCCTCCTAGCGCCCGCCTGGCCCTGCAGCGCCCGCCTGGCCCCGTCGCGCCCGCCTGGCCCGTCGCGCCCACCTGACCCCGTCGCGCCCGCCTGGCCTCTCCGCGCCCGCCCGGCCCGTCGCGCCCGCCCGGCTCACAGCGCCTGCCCGGCCCCTCCCAGCGCCCGCTCGGCCCCTCCTAGCGCCCACTCGGCCCCTCCTAGCACCAGCCCGGCCCCGTTACGCCCGCCCGGCAACTCCGGCCCCTGTGTCCTCTGCTCGCCCGCGCTGGAGCGTCCTGCAGCCATCCTCCTGGAGCTGTCCTGCTATGTCCCTGTGCCGCTGTGTCCCTGTGGAGCTGTGCCGCCGTGTCCCTGTGTCGCTGAGGAGCTGTGTCGCTGACCCTGCACGATGGCTGACTTCGTACTCCGCCTGGACGCTGAGGGCCATGCGGTTGACTTCGCCGCCTGGCTGTCCGATCTCCGCCGTCAACTCACAGGTCAACGCCAGGATGGGCACTCTTTGGTTGTCCATGCTGATGGCTTGCTCCCCCGCCCCCCTGCGCCTGCTCCCCTCCTTACTGACCCCACCTTTGCTGAGAGTGAGGCTTTCTCTGCTGCAGCACTTGCCTGTGCTGTCTGGGACTCTCGCGATGCAGTTGCTCAGGTCGCGATCAGTCACGCCCTCCCTGTGTCTGAGCGTTCGCATTTCGCTACAGTTGACACAACCAGGGCTTACTTAGATGCTGTTGTTGCTCGCTATTCCACGCTTGCCTCTGCTACTGCAGGCCGCCTGCTCTTCCCTATGCTTTTCCCAGACCTTGCTTCCTTCCCTACTGTTGCTGACCTTGCCACTCACCTGCGAGCCCTAGAGTCTCGCTACCGCACTGCTAGCACTGCTGCCCAGCTCATTGTGCTCCCCCCCTCTTCTGCATGACCCTCTACTTTATCGCTATGCGCCTGCCTGACCGCCTCGCTAGTGCACGCGACCACATCCTTAGCCAGCACCCGGGTGACCTCACCCTGTCCGCCTTTGTCACCGCCCTGACAGAGATCGAGACTCGCCAGCGCACTATCGCTCAGTCGAGCGGTGCACCGGCAGTCTCTATCTTTCACGGCTGTGCCCCCTCCCAGTGCACGTTTACTGACGTTTCGACTGCGGTCGCCACTGCGACCCCACTGACCGAGACTGCAGCTGCGGTCCACCCGCAGCAGCGCTCGCGCCGCACCGGTCGTGGCCGCCAGGGAGGGCGTGGTGGTGGAGCTTGTGGTAGCGGTGGTGGTGCCGCGGACAGCGGCTCTACTGAGGGGACTGCCGCAGCTAGTCACGAGCAGCAGCCGTCGCCCCAGCAGCAGGAGCAGCCGCAACAGCCGTCGCAGCAGTTGCAGTCGTCGCAGCAGCTGTCCCAGCCCCCGCCGTGGGCTCGTCTTCCGCCGGGTTGGCCCGGCACCTTCGTCGGTAGTGGCCGTGGTGGCGGCCCGCACAGCTTGGCGTCTACCGGCAGCTCCGTTGGTGTGACCTGCCAGTACCAGCTTCAGACCGGGCCTCTCCGCGGCACTCTGTGCCGTCGCCCGCACCCGACCGCCCACTGTTTCCGCCGCCTCGACGATCTCTTTCGTCGTCGCTTTGGCCCGGCCCCGGACCTCCCCGACTGGCACAGCCTGCTTCGCCAGGGCGTGCCGATCTTTGAGTTAGATATGGATCAAATAGGTGTTGCTTTGCATGCCTTGTATGCTGACGCTTCTGGTGTTGCTGGATCTTTTTACCCTGTGTACTCTAGTTTAGGTGTAGCACCCATGTGTAGCTTAGCCTCCCCTGCTGCGTCAGGCGTAGGATTGCCTGGTTTGACTAGCCTCGTTCCTGCAGCGGCCCCCTTCCCGACCTCTGCTACTGCCTCGCTGTCCTTCACTCTCGACTCCGGTGCTTCTACCTGTTTCTTCCGCGACCGCTCCACGCTCACGCCGCTTGCCGCGCCTGCTGTTGTCGCTCTCGCTGACCCCTCTGCGGGTCCTGTCGTCGCTCGCAACTCCACTTCCCTTCCCTGTCCAGCTGTTCCCTCGGGCTCCCTTACCGGCCTCCACATTCCCTCGTTCTCCAGGAACCTAGTTGGTGTCGGCTGTCTTCAGGACCTTGCCGTCACCACTACGTTCCCTGGGCACGAGCGGTTCGCTGTCTGTACCGAGGCCGTCTCAGGTACCCCTCTTGCGACGTTCCCCCGTGACACGGTGTCCGGTCTGTTTACCCTCGACACCGCTTTCCCCCCGGTTGGTGCGTCCTCCCAGGTTGCTGCAGCTTGCTCATGTCGGTCCCTCACTCACCCGTCCCTTTTGTGGCACCACCGCTTAGGTCACCCTGCTCTCCCGCGTTTGCGTCACATGTCCCAGCACGGTCTTGTCTTGGCCTATGGGGGTGCTGGCGTTGAGGAGGGTGTTCGTCCTACGGCTCCTGGCGTGGTCTGTCCCGGCGGGCCTGGGGGTGCCGCTGGTGCAGGAGGTGGTTCTCGCTTTGGGGGTGTTGGTTCTGGGGGTGCTGCCGTTGAGTGTTCTCCCGGCGGTCGTCGTGCCCCTGCCGGTCCGAGGGTCGAGCACCAGCCGCCGCAGCAGCTGCCGCGGCCGCCGGTCTCCGCTCTTCACCTGCTCGGCCTTCCCTCCCCTGACCGCTCGCCTGTGTCTCCCACACCACCTTCTCACCTCCCTGTCTACGGCCCTGTGTTCCCGCCCCCGGACTCTTCTCCGGCCCGTCTTCCTCCTCGTTCCCCTTTTGTGTCCCCTCTGCTGTCTCCTGACCCTACACCTCCGTCCCACGTTTGGTCTCGGCGTCCCTCACGTGCTCGTCCCATCTCCCGTGTCCTGCGCTCCCACCCTATGTTGCTCCGTTCTCACTCGTCTCGTCCTCCTCTCCTCCCCTTGCCTCCTCCCTCGTCGCTTGTCGTTGCCCCTCCCCCGTTGTCTGACTACCTCCGTGCCGCTCGTCCCCTTGTCCCTCGGGTCCTTGCCTCTCTTGTTACAGACCCGTATGTTCCTGTCTCGCGCCTTGACGCGCTTGTCGCTGCTGTCGCTGACTTCGCCTCTACACGCCGCCTTGACTACGCTACCGCCCTGGTCTCCGACCCTGCCCGTCCTCCGTTCGTCGGGGGTGCATCTGCCCTTGGCAGTGACGTTCTAGAGGACAGGCAGTACGAGCTTGCTTTCCTTTCCGAGGCCGCTCCCCATCTCTGCTCCATGCTCCTAGTCCCAGAGGGTGACCCAGATGCCTTCGACATCCCGACCCCTCGCACCTACGCTGAGGCCACCTCGGGACCCTGGGCCTCTCAGTGGATAGCTGCCATGGAGCAGGAGATGGCATCTTGGAGGTCCACCGGCACTTACGTCGACGCAGTTCCCCCTCCTGGGGTGAACGCAGTCGATGGTCGGTGGCTCTTCAAGGTGAAGCGCCCCCCTGGAGAGCCGCCTGTCTTCAAGGCGCGCTACGTGGCTAGAGGCTTCAGCCAACGCGAGGGGGTGGACTTCTTCCAGACCTTCGCTCCGACCCCGAAGATGACTACTCTTCGGGCGCTGCTACACGTAGCAGCGCAGCATGACTACGAGCTTCACTCCCTCGACTTCTCCACTGCGTTTCTTCAGGGCAGTCTACACGAGCAGGTCTACCTGCGCCGACCACAGGGCTTCACTGGTACCTTCCCCCCCTGGGACTCAGTTGCATCTCAGGCGCCCAGTCCACGGCCTGCGCCAGGCTCCCCGCGAGTGGCACGACACGCTGCGTGCCACGCTAGCAGACCTGCAGTTCTTTCCGTCCTCTGCTGACCCCTCACTTTTTGTGCGTTCCGGCCAGACTCCGTTCTACATCCTTGTCTACGTAGACGATCTGGTCTTCGCTACTGCTGACAGGGACGCACTGGCCTGCGTGAAGGCAGAGCTGCTGAAGAGACACACCTGCACTGACCTTGGAGAGTTGCGTCGCTATCTTGGCCTGCAGATCTTCAGGGACAGAGCAGCACGCACCATCACTCTGACACAGTCACACTTAGTGGGTCAGGTCCTTCAGAGGGTTTTGCGATATCTAGCAAGTACATCGAGCATGGGGTTAGTGCTTGGAGGACGCAGGCTAGTGGTCCTCACTGGGCACACAGATGCTTCTTGGGCAGACGACTCTGAGATACTCAGGTCGTCGCAGGGCTACTGTTTTAGCCTTGGTTTGGGTGCTATCTCTTGGAGATCCACTCGCTCGTCCTCTGTTGCTCAGTCCAGCTGTGAGGCTGAGATCTACGCCGGTGCCATGGCGGCACAGGAGCTCCGCTGGCTGACCTTCTTGCTCACAGACTTAGGTGAGCAGCCTAGCTCTGCCCCGGTCTGGTACGCTGACAACAGGGCAATGATTATCCTGTGTCAGGAGCCTCGACTTGAGGGCAGAGCAAAGCATATCCAGCTGCGGTACTTCCTCCTGCGCGAGCTAAAGCAGCGTCGCCAGGCCCGCGTAGTTCACTTGGCCTCCGGTGCCAACACAGCTGATATCTTTACTAAGGCGCTTGCGCCTAAAGATTATCAGCGGCACTGTGTACAGCTTGGTCTTGTTCCTGTAGCTTCTCACTTGTTAGGACCCTGATTGTGTACTCTCTACTATATATACTTGTCAGAGTGGCCTTGTGGCCTTACCTCCAGTGGCTGGACTAGTAGTGCCGCCCTGGCTTGCTTTAGTCTTGTTTGTACTCTTGCTGACTGGTCTCCGGACCCCTGCCTCAGTGGTTGGACTAGTAGTGCCACCCTGAGCTGTATGCTTCTTGCTTAGCACCACCCCTTCTCTAGCCTAAGGGGTGTGTCAACTTATACATATCTTGTATGTAGAAGTTATAGGCTAGCCTAGGTGTGTGCTTCTAGTGAATGCAACTTCAACAGATATATGTTATAGGTTTCTCACACTAGTCAATTATTCTTGCATTCTAACAAGTACAAGCAGTATTCCCTTTCCCACCACAATTAGAAAAATCCAGTGTCGATCATATGCAACTTTTCTGCCCTTCTCACTGACTGCCCTGTGTGTCCGTCCGTCCGGCCATTTCACCGCAGCACAATAAACTTCTCTCCGTTCACCGCCTGAATCTTGCCCACCCTCTTTATAATCTCCTGAAATCGCTTCTTATCCTGCCATGAGAAGGAACGAGCAAAGTGTGAGACCAACCAACTCAACCCACAAGAAAGGAGGAAGGTCATAGGGCCACATGCCGGATCCAACACCCATGAAACAGCATCATTTATAGCAAAATCGCAGTGAGTTTGATGCACTAGGGCAGCAGCCAATGCAGCAAGAAACCATGCTTGCTGTCTGCAGCATGGAACTGTGCTGAATTTCGCATCCATCGGTCCAGACACCTTTGTCAATTTCCGACAACACAGTATGGTATCATCCATAATTTGAGGCGCCTCAAAACCAATTTCCGACAACACAGCATGGTATCATCCATAATTTTGAGGCGCCTCAAAACCAATTTCCGACAACACAGCATGGTATCATCCATAATTTTGAGGCGCCTCAAAACCAAATTCCGACAACACAGCATGGTATCATCCATAACCCACGTCTCACCTCGGCAGTTTTGAGGCACGATCGGAAGCGGTTGACCAGATCCGCGCTCTTAATGGGCGCCAGCCTCAAGATGCCCTTCACTGCATCCTCTGTCACTGCAGTCGGCTTCGGCCCTGCTGCCCCTCCCCCAGATGCACCTGCTCCAGATGTACCTCCCCCTGGCCTGCCTGCTGCAGCACCCCCTGCCCCAGCCGCCCCTGCTTCCCGCTTGGTTGGGAGCGGTGGAGTGCGTTTCCCTGGCTCGAGCTTCCCCTTCTTTCCACCTGCTCCTGCTGTTGCTCCAGATGTACCTCCCCCAGTAGCACCCTTCTCCGATTCCTTTCTCTTGAGCCCCCTCCCTGCTGCTGCCGCCGCTGCTGAAGCGGCAGCACTCAGCGCAGCAGCAGCACCAGCAGCAACTGACGCTGCTGCTCCCCCGTCCCCCTTCCCCCCGCCCCCCTTGCCCCCCGCCCCTCCCCCCGCTCCCCCGCCCTTCCCCTTCTGGAAAATAGGCGAGAAGGCAATATCTAGGTCCTCCTCGTCATCCTCCTCCTCTTCCCCTGTCCCTCCCACTCCTGCCACTGCTGCCCCATCCTCCCCCTCTATTCCAGCCTTATGCAAGAGCTTCTTAAGAGCCTTCCCTGAGTGGCTTAGTGACCCGCCCTCCCCTTCCTCCTGCCCCTGCCCCTCCTCCTCCTCCTCCTCTTCCTCCACCTCCTCCTGAAAAGGAGCAGTATGGGATGGGAGAGAGAAGAGAGTCACAATAACGAGAACGGAATCCTATAAGTGCGAGGCGCCTCAAGTGAAGAGGGGAGGGGAGCAGCTGGGGAACTGGAAGCTTCGAGGGCGTCGTTTCTGAAGGAGCGTAAAAATTGGGGGTTGAATCGGACTTTAATCCACTTCTCTCCTTACGAGCACGAGCGCGGTGAACATAGCACCCCACCCCAACCACCCACCCACCCACTCACCCACCCCTTCACACATTAACACCCCCGTGGCCAAGCATCAACTAAGCCGCGCCTCTTTAGCCGGGCTCCTCTCCTGCTCCTACTCGTCCTCCTTGTCCTCAGGCTGCATCGCATTCATCCCTTGAGCCACACTTTCAGATGGCCCAAAACGCACACGTAGGCACACACTTGCACCAAGCAACCCTCACCTCTTTAGCAGGGCTCCTCTCCTGCTCCTTCTCGTCCTCCTTATCCTCAGGCTGCATCGCCGTCGCCTCGTCATCGTCCGAAAACAGCTCATCGTGCTCCCAGTCCTCTCCCTTATCCCCTTCATCCAACTCCAAATCAATCTCCTCCTTCGGCACATCGTCATCATCATCCTCCCCTCCCTTCTTCCCCTGTCCCCTCCTCCGCTTCCCCTCATCCTCCTCCCTATCCCCCCCCATTCCCTCGTCATCCGACCCTAACCCATCATCCAGACCCCCTTTCTTCCGCCCTCCCCCCCTCCCCCCACCGCCCCCGCCTTCTTTCCCTCCCCCCCCGGCTGCAAGCTTCTCCGTTTCTTCCTTGGTTAGCCACTTTCTGAACCCGTCCGCCTTGCGCCGCTTCGACTGCATGCAGATCTCAGCCTCCTCTAGGGTTAGCGTCTTGTACTGGGCTTGCTTGCTAAAGGCGTACCTGAAGGAAGGGAAGGGCACAGCATAAGTAAGTTGCGTCGACTGCATGCAGATTTCGGCCTTCTCTAGGGTTAGAGTCTTGTACTGGACTTGGGTACCTGAAGGAAGGACAGGACAGAGCATAAGAAGTTGCGTCGACTGCATGCAGATCTCAGCCCCCTCTAGGGTAATCGTCTTGTACTGGGCTTGCTTGCTGAATGCATACCTGGGAGGCGGAAAGGGATAGATAGAGCAAAGAGTGTAAGGCGGGCCCAGTACAAGACGCTGACGCTAGAGGCGGGCATGCGACATACCCATCTGCAAGACAACGCACCGGGCATGCTCATGCATACTCATTGCTTTTTTGAGGCGCCTCAAAAACCCATCTCCAAGACAACGCACCGGGCATGCTCGCTCATGCATACTCATAACCTTACCATTGGCTGGCGGGGATGGCAGCAAACTCCTAGCCGTGTGTTCCAGCAGGTGATGCACCAGAGACATGCCTCGCACAGGCCACTGGCGCACCCACGCACAACCTTCTTACCTCACGGACTTACCATGGGCTTGCAGGGATGGCAGCGAACTACTTGCCAATCGTCACCAGCAGGTGATGCGCCAGAGACATGCCTCGCACAGGCCGCACAATCTTCTCACAGGCCTCGCACAGGCCGCACACCCATGCGCAATCTTCTCACCAACCAACTCCACCTCGGACATACCATTGGCTTGGGGGAATGGCAGCAAACTCCTGGCCGCGCATGGCCAGCAGGTAGTACGCCGGACACACGCCATGGGTTGGAGCACCCATGCATACTTATCGCATCCTCACCACTGGCTTGCGGGGATGGCGACGAACTCCTTCCCATGCTTCACCAGCAGGTAGTACGCCGAGTGCTGCCATGGGTTGGCGCACCCATGCACAACCTTCTCACCTCGCGGACCTACCACTGACTTGCAGGGATGGCAACAAACTCCTTCCCGTGTATGACCAGTGCAGGTAACACGCGAAAGACAACCCTTGTGTGTAGCTTACCACGTGCATCACAGCATACCATTGGCTGGCGGGGATGGCGACGAACTCCTTCCCATGCATGACCAGCAGGTAGTACGCCGAGTGCTGCCACCCGCCCTCCATGTGCCCCACGTACGCCGCCTGCCCCGTGTCGTCCTCTAATACTAGCGGCCGCGTCTTGAGCTTGGCCTGTGGTGGGCATGGCAGCATGTGTGGGAAGGGAAGCAGCGCGCATGGGGTGAGAGGCATGGGAGAGTGCCGCCCTCCCTGTGCCCCACGTGCGCCGCCTGCCCCGAGTCGTCGTCTAGAACTAGAGGTCGCGTCTTCGGCTTGGCCTGTATGGGAGAACCAACGGGCATGCAGTATGGGAGATGCATGGGGTGTTGGGCATGCATGAGCATACGGTAGCAGCAGGACGTGTGGGGTGATGGGCATGGGAGCATGCATGGGGTGATGGACATGGCAGAATGTGTGGGACAGCAGTGCTGAGTGGCCGTGTGGTTCTCTCGTCATTAGCTTCGCCTGTATGGCAGCGGATGACACCCATGCATGCAACACCCCCCTCCCCCCTCCCCCCTCCCCCCTCCCCCCTCCCCCCACCCCCCACCCCCCTTCACCCATGGGACAGCAGTGCTGAGTGGCCGTGTGGTCCTCTCGTCATTAGCTTCGCCTGTATGGTAGCGGATGACGCCCATGCATGCAACTTCCCGGCCCCCCCTCACCCCCTGCCCCCCACCCCCCTCACCCTCTTCCCTCGTGCAACACCTCACTCCCTCCTCCCCCACGCCCTTACCCCTTGCCCCCTCTCCCCCTTCTCTCGCTTTGATTCCTAACTCGCGCCAATACAGCTAACTCAGGGTTGGGTGGGCGTGGGGGAGTTGTGAGGAGGAAGAGGGGCGGAGGGGGGAAGGAGAAGGGGAGAGAAGGGGGGGGGGGGGGGGTGGGGGGTGGGAGGGGGGGAGGGGGGGATTGGGGGAACCCTGAAGCGGAGCAGAAAGCAACGAAGGCAGAATTCTTCTGCTCACCCGTGCCGTTTCAGAGAGCACTTTCCCGGAAGGTACGCCCTCTCTCTTCATGGACCACCCCCGCTCGTCCCCTTTTTTCAGCCCGGGCAGCCCCTGCGGAAATTTTCCGATAAAGTAGTCCCTGCTGACCGGTTTAACGCGCACTAGGAACTCCTTAACTAGCTTTTCCACAACCGCGCCGCACTCCTGACACGTGGCTTGCTTCTCAGCCATGCTCCGCCCGCACGAATTGCAGAGCGCCAGGTGTCCGCACTCGCTCTGCGATAGGTCCCCCCCCGCCGCCCCGCACCCGCTGCACGCTGCTGGCGGGACCGATTTCTTCCCGTCAGGAGCTGCGCCGGCTGCTCCGCCTGCGCCAGCTGCTCCGCCTGCGGCGCCTGGTGGGTGTGACGCCATCGGGCGTTGGCGGAACTAAGCGGTTGTGGAATGAAGAAAAGTCGGCGAAACTAAGACATGAGAAATCGAACGAGAGCGGAACTAAGAAACGCCTGTACTATTTTGTTGGAGACAGGAAGACCCAAAAAAATAGCACCTCGGAAAGCCGATTCGCGTAACTACGTAATGCACAGGCGCGGTACAATAGGGCGTGTCCGAAGCGTACGTTTTCCCTCAATACCCCACCCAACCGTATTCAAAAGCTATTTGATCCCTCTGCCCCAAAAAAGACCCTACCCAACCGCAATACGACGTACACTTCAGACACGCCACTTCGGCATTGATGCTGAACCCGTCCAAAATGGACACTCGAGGGTTAGAGCGGGTCCAAATAGTTCATTTCGGGGTTTGGGACACGATTTTACGAACCCGGGTACAGATCCATGAAACGACTCCGAATTCGTAAACACCAGAAATTGTGTCCCCGTTCGCACGTAGCTCACAAGCGGGACGCCGATTGTCGAGGTGTGAGAAAACCGAATGGCGCGCAGCGGCCCAAAACGCAGTTACCAAATGTATACCTGCGCGAAACATCTGTTTCGCAGCGCGTAAAATACAACAGGCGGAGAAAATCACCATAGCCACACGTGAGAGAGACACTCAACTCGTGGCGGGTTCGGTCCCGGATGCGGTCTGGCGTCTCACGCGCGAATGTATTCGCGACGTCGCCTGGTTCTCGCCACTGTCAGCGGGGCGAAATCCAGGCGCGACACACTTGGAACCCCGTCCCCGAAACTTGCACCTCACGGCTTTTTAACGTTACCAGGCGATGCTCGTCGAAACAGTGTCGGATGGATGCTTAAAGCCCCCGTCTCATAATTACTAGAGTTTCACACTTGGTTGGAGCAGGCAAACTCTGATTGGTAGGCGAGGTATTAAAAAAATGACGAAAACGAAACGCAAGTGGCGAGACCATTTTGTTTCGGTAAAACACCCGAACCAAAAACAGGTTTGGGGAAGGGTGGCTCGCGATAGGTTTTGCACATCAGTCTGGAGGTTCGTTTTACATCGGACGGTGCAGAAACCAATTTTCCTGCACAGCCAAATTCCACTTCGTTTACAGCGGTAGATTTTGTTATACACTCGCTGAACCGTCGGATCCGAACTTCTAGACGATCGAACGGTCCAACGTCCCCATTCTTCCGTGAACTTGCTCATTCTCATACTTCACTGCTGGTTTTACAATTGGTCTCGCCCCCCAGCAAGAAACACACTGTCCGAGGCACTTCCTTGCCTGTCTCTTCATATTCGCCAGCGTAACTGGGTACCAAGCATTTTACACTTGGTCGGATCCTAGAATTATGAGACGGGGGCTTTAACCATGGGTTTCCTTGTCGATCCCTTGGAATACACGCTAATGTGCCGCGATGTACAGCACCCACAAGCGGAGCCGACACCACCTCCCCGAGATCACCATACCCCTTACAAGGCACATCGTGCCTCTCTGAGCTCCACAAAATCTTACTTCCTAACATTTCATGTTACGAGTGTTAGGAGTCTAATGGTTACAAACTACAATGCAACAATTCTTAGTGCCCATCCGCCATACTAGTATTTAGAAGTTGAAGATATCTAGTATTTAGAGAGCATGCGGATGGCCGATCCAACGGTGGGGAACGCTTCATGCACATCTAACAGATCGTGGAAGTCGGAGGCATCTGTGGCTCCCACAAAGAGCCACTTGGACACCCTCGATATAAACTCCTCCAGTGTTGGCGACAAGATGGCCTCCCAATCCAACTGCAAATGGGCGTAAGACAGGGGGTAATACGCAAACAGGAAACAGCCTGTAGGTGACAGAGACACGAGAACAGGGTGTCTGGGAAACTACAGCATGGATACCGCTTGGTATCTGAGCATCTGGGGGTGATTGTTTACGAGTACCTGAACATCTGGGGATGGGCTACTGGTACCTGAACATCGGGCGGTGGCTTGGCAGTGATCTCCTTCCCGGCAGCGAGGAAGAGGCCGAGCAGACTGGAATAGCCCCCCATGGCAGAGCCACGCGCCAGTGGGGAGAAGTTGTACCTAAGATAAGTTGGGGGTGACAGTATGACTGAGAGGCTGAGCAGTACGGCAGTAGGTACTACTGGGTAGGATGGCAATGGGTGAGAGGCTACGAGCTGATTGATTGTAGAGCAGGCAAGCCCCACGCCGTGAATCGCAATCTTGCAAATGCTGCCTGCCACTATGGGTGCTGCGAGGCACCAGATTGGCTCACAATGGCACATCCTGGTGGAATTCCGAGGGACCTGGGAGCAGAGCCACGCACCCATATGAGTGGCGGTGGCAAGGAGCGTGCGCAGCACGTGGGAGGGAACAGCAAGAAGGTATTCTTTACTAGCTTCTCTAGTCGACTCAAACACCGCCTGTTTTGGGAACTACCTGGCTTAGGGAACACCTGAGTAAGAGAACACTCTCAAAGCAGAACGCCTAGTTGCCCACCAGTAATAGACGACCCACAGAACGGCATTTTTCACTAGCTTGTTCAGTCAACTGAAACACCACTGGATCCGAAAACTACGTCACCTGGAAAATAAAAGATTGCTTCTCACCCGAACAAAAGAGCGCTGCTCACCAGTAGTAGACGACTCGCAGGATGGCATTCTTCACCAGCTTGTCGTCCTTGCCCTTCTTGCCATCTGCCATCACCTCACACAGGTTCTGATGGTATGGAGAAGGCCGGTGGGGGGGGGGGTCAGGGAGGAAGAGGAGAGGGTTGTAGGGCATTGCATTCTTCACCAGCGTGTCCTCCTTGCTCGAATTTCCGCCAGCGTGGCTCAAGAGGGAATAGAGAGTTGATGCAGAAAATCAGTGATGGTGTGAACGGAAGCGGTTTGGAAACAGACTGTGAAAGAGGGTCACCAATTCGACGGCTTAAAGCCGCTGGTCCAAATTGTTCATCGTTATTAATCTTGCACCGTGCAAAAAACAGGGGGAAATGGGGTCGCTGAAAGTGAATGGGCTTGAGTCACGCAAAAGAGTGGCGAGGGGTTGGGTTTCGACCCCTCGAAGTTAGATCGTGTTTAGACAGCCTCTCACCTGAATCTCGGCAAATTCCGAGCCCATATCGCATCAGATTACGTGTCAGATTTCGCTCGCGTCAAAGTACACTGTACTGTAGCACGCGAGTCAGGGAAGAGGTTGGCCTGGGAAGAGGCCGTAGGAACCCGCCCTAAGGCGCAACTAATCGCAGGCTGCTAGAAATCTACGGCTGAAATTTCGCACAGCAATTTTGGCAAACAAATTGGATTGTCAGTCGCATGATCAATTTCCTCACAACAGTTGTGCCACAAAAGTCCCAAAAACTTCATCTTTCAACTTTCCGCTGGTGCTGCACTTCTTGGTTTGTGAGTGGTGTTTTCAAGATTAATGAAGTTTGTCCCAAAAATTCTGCAATTTGGGCCAATGGCTTTAACCGACCCATGTATCAGAAACTTGGCACTTTGATTCAGTACAAAACCAATTACCTGCAAGTGGTGGTCACCATGTTACATAACAGACCGTTCATGCTACAGCGAGCTCAGCATTGTAGTCCTTCCATCGGGGGGGTGCGGGCGACACCTTGATGGCAAAGCAGCGATCGGTGATGCATACGATACATGCGACATCATGATGTGGATCGCATGCATCCCATGCTGCTGTCTCCATGTTACGCCCACCCTTACCTTCCATGCCGCAGTGAGCTCAGAATCGTACTCGTTCCATCGGAGGGGCGTAAGGGACATCTCAATAGCAAAGTCCAACACCCCGTCCACATTTCAGTGCCATGGTTGCCACATTCGATTACATGTTATGTTACCATGTTACCACCATACCTTCCATGCTGCAGACAGCTCGGCATCATAGTCCTTCCACCTTGGGGGCGTGAGCGGCATCTTGATGGCAAAGTCAAACGCCCCATCCCTCTGCCCTTCAGTGCTATAGCTGCCACATTCCACTACATGTTACCATGTTACATCCTCACCTTCCATGCTGCAGACAGCTCGGCATCATAGTCCTTCCACCTCGGGGGCGTGAGCGGCATCTTGATGGCAAAGTCAAACGCCCCATCCGGCCTGTTGAGAAAGACACGTGCCAGATGGGAGCACAGAGGAGGGAGTGGTAGATGGAAGGATGTGAAGGGGGCTCAGATAGACTGATTAAGGAGGCGGGAAGAATTTCAGGCACAGAAGGGGGGGGGAGAGGGGGCACATGCTGCAGACATGTAGGCTCTCCAGAGGACGGGAGTAGTCTTGGTTCATGCAAGGTGGATTAGGGAGTGAGTACCCTTGGGCCTTACATCTTTCGGATGGCGAGGGTTGTCCCGTTGAGCATGTAGCTGCAGATAGCGGGAGCTCGGGGGAAGGAGGGTGTGGGGCACGGGGAGAGAGGGAGTTAGGGAGAGGCCGGTTATGTCACTGGACATGGGGTGTGGAAAAGGAGCCATGGACAAGTGATTGCATGGAAGGAGATTAGGGGAGAGGGGGTGAAGCGGAGATAGCAAGGGGAGGAGGAAGGGGGGGAGTGGGGTAGATGGAGGGTTGGGTGCAAGCCGGCCAGCGTCACTCATGGTCTTGGGAAGAGCAGCAGTGCAAAGTTAGTCGCTTGAGCAGAAAGAACAAGAGTACAAAATCCTAGGCAAGAGATTTGCTCGAAAAGGGGGGGAGTGGGGTAGATGGAAGAATGGGTGCAAGCCGGCCAGCGAGGACATAGATGAGTTGCGAGGAGTGGGGAGGAGTGGGGGACGGTGGGGAAAAGGAGAGGAAAGGGAGGGGGCGGTGGAATGGTGAAAGACGAGAGTGAATGCTTTGGATAGGAAGGAGTCGGGTTGGAGGCTGCAACACGCACTCGGGCTGCGCGGTGGAGAAGCAGGGCACGGTGATGAGGAAGTTCTGCCCGACCACGTTCCACAGCTCCTCCAGTGTCTCCGCTGCCTCCACCTGCTCATATGGTATGGAGAGAGGGAAGTCGATAGGGAAGAGGGGTCAAATGAGCACGCATACCATTCAGACAAGCAGAGGAGGGACAGGGGCACGGCGATGAGGAAGTTCTGCCCCACCACATTCTGCAGCTCCTCAAGTGTCTCCGCTGCCTCCACCTGCCGAGTGACGACAGGGAAAAGAGGGTCACACACGCACAAGCAGAGCAGAGGAGGGACAGGGGCACAGCGATCAAGAAGTTCTGCCCCACCACATTCTGCAGCTCCTCAAGTGTCTCCGCTGCCTCCACCTGCAGAGTGACGACAGGGAAAAGAGGGCCCTCACATGCACAAGCAGAGCAGAAGAGGGACAGGGGCACGGCGATGAGGAAGTTGTGCCCCACCACATTCCGCAGCTCATCCAATGTTTCAGCTGCCTCCACCTGCACAGTGAAGGCAGGGACGAGGGTGGAAAGAGGGAAGAAAGGCACCGTAGAAGCATAAGCCGAGGAGGGAAAGCTTTTGAGTCGCCTCGAAAGCAGCTCCTCCACCTCCAGTGGCTTCGCTCCCTCCACCTGCACAGCGATGCGAGGGGCGGGAAGAGAGGGATCGCACACGCATTGGAGCGAGACGGGCAGGGTGATGACGGCGTTAAGCATGATTACCACGTTCAACCTGAGCATGGGAGATGGGAAAGAGACGGGGGAGGAAGGGGGGGGGGTGGGGGGGGGTTGGAGGGGGGAGGATCATTCCAGCAGAAAAAGCTTGGGCAAACGTGTGCAAGGAAACAGAACTGCCCGTCCAAACTGTCAAGGAAACGACATGCACAAATCACCCCATCACCCCCTCACCTCTGCATCCACCTCAACTGGTATCTCGTATTTGTTTGTGAGGTCGCCTATCTCCACTGGCAACTACTCATAGGGTCCGCACACAGATAACCTCACCACCCCTTTTTACTTGTGATATGGCCAAAGGTTTACCTCAGCGTCCATTTCAACGGGTATCTCGTATTTCTTTGTGAGGTCTCCTATCTCCACCGCCCCCTGCTCCAACATCTCGTCCTTGATCAGGGCGAAGGCCCTGATGGGACACAGCACAGCAGGCAGGGCAGGAAGGCAAAAGAGCAGGGACGGGAGTGATGGGAGGATCAAAGGGTGGCCCCCCTCTGCCACCTGCTCCAGCATCTCAACCTTGATGGTCAAAGCAAAGGCCCTGGGGGGCACAGGCGTGAGGGAGAGTAGAGATGGTTGAAATGAAGGGGACATGAGAGGTGGGTGACATTTGAGCTCTCAAAACCCAGCGGCAACTTCCTCGAACCACACGGTGCAGGGTATGCTGCGAAGAAGCAAAATGAAGCGTCGGGTGCTGTGGAGGACTGACACCCACCTGCAGTACTGAGTTGTTGCGAACCCCTCGCACCACTGCTGTTACCAGCAGTGCAGGGGCACACCACTGCTGTTACCAGCAGCAACTCACACGACTGCTGTTACCAGCAGTGCAGGGGCACACCACCGCTGTTACCAGCAGTGCAGGGGCACACCACTGCTGTTACCAGCAGTGCAGGGACACACCACTGCTGTTACCAGCAGTGCAGGGGCACACCACTGCTGTTACCAGCAGTGCAGGGGCACACCACTGCTGTTTCCAGCAGTGCAGGGGCACACCACTGCTGTTACCAGCAGTGCAGGGGCACACCACTGCTGTTTCCAGCAGTGCAGGGGCACACCACTGCTGTTACCAGCAGTGCAGGGGCACACCACTGCTGTTACCAGCAGTGCAGGGGCACACCACTGCTGTTTCCAGCAGTGCAGGGGCACACCACTGCTATTACCAGCAGTGCAGGGGCACACCACTGCTGTTTCCAGCAGTGCAGGGGCACACCACTGCTGTTTCCAGCAGTGCAGGGGCACACCACTGCTGTTTCCAGCAGTGCAGGGGCACACCACTGCTGTTACCAGCAGTGCAGGGGCACACCACTGCTGTTACCAGCAGTGCAGGGGCACACCACTGCTGTTTCCACGGCCCATCTCTCGCAGCTTCTTGGTGTGCCCCTGCACCATCGCTGCTATTAGTGCTGCCACACTAGCTGTCACTGCATTTGACGCGTCTCAACCAGCGCCCCTCGCCAACCCACCTGTCATAGCTGGCGTAGTATCGCAGGTTCTTGGTGTGCCCCTGCACCATCGCCGTCACGGCACCAAAGCCCTTGGTGAACTCCTCCTTTCTGTGGCACATGAGACGCACAGAGACACACAGAGACACGCATTAACACCAATCGTAACAACAATAACGCCCCAAACTCCACTTGCGTGAGCTGGTCGATCCACACTAGGGGATCACACGGCTCCGATATCATACCGCCACCACACAGCCATAAAAAACAACCAGTACAGTGCCACAGCATCCCCTGCCAGTGTCTCCTTGTTACCTATCATCCCCGCAGCATCACCCCTACAAAACAACAAGTGTTTTACAGCCCGCTGCCACGTATGGCTGAAACCACCACCAAGTGGTGTTCTCCCACATGTCTCCTTGTTACCTGTCATCCCCGCAGCATCACCCCTATCGCCCCCACAGCCGCACTCACGTCAGCTGGTCGATCCACACAATAGGGTCACACCGCTCTGATAACAGCCGCCACTGCACAGCGATCGAGTACAGGTCCCTTCATCCCCTCGCTCGCATGCAATATTACCCTGACTATCGCGCCCTATAGCAGCACCCAGAACACCATCCCCATAGCAGCACCCAGGACACCATCCCCATAGCAGCACCCAGAACACCATCCCCATAGCAGCACTCAGAACACCATCCCCATAGCAGCACCCAGAACACCATCCCCATAGCAGCACCCAGAACACCATCCCCATAGCAGCACCCAGAACACCATCCCCATAGCAGCACTCAGAACACCATCCCCATAGCAGCACCCAGAACACCATCCCCATAGCAGCACCCAGAACACCATCCCCATAGCAGCACCCAGAACACCATCCCCATAGCAGCACTCAGAACACCATCCCCATAGCAGCACCCAGAACACCATCCCCATAGCAGCACTCAGAACACCATCCCCATAGCAGCACCCAGAACACCATCCCCATAGCAGCACTCAGAACACCATCCCCATAGCAGCACCCAGAACACCATCCCCATAGCAGCACCCAGAACACCATCCCCATAGCAGCACCCAGAACACCATCCACATAGCAGCACCCAGAACACCATCCCCATAGCAGCACTCACGTGAGCTGGTCGATCCACACTATAGGGTCACACGGCTCCGATAACAGCCGCCACCGCACAGCAATGGAGTACAGGTCCCTCCACCCGCCCACCGTGATCCCCCCCTCCTCCTCCTCATCCTCCTCCTCCTCATCATCGTCATAGTCGTCGTAGTGGTCGCTCCGCTTGGCGCCCTTCTTCCCACCGCCTTTCCCTTGCTTGCCTGCCCCTTGCTCCTTCCATGTGGCCCGTGCAGCCTGCATCATCTCTATTGCTGCCATGCCGGCTGCCCGGTGCTGGGAGGGAGTGATGCGGGAAGGAGGGGGCGGGCGATGTGGGGTGGGGGGGGTGGGGGGGTTGCAAGACGTGAGGGTGAAGAGTAGTAGAAGGCCGTAGAGGCACGAGGATTGCTGCTCTTTCCACGTGGTCCATGCAGCCTGCATCATCTCCAGACCAGTGTGGAAGGCGAGGGAAAGGGTTTGGGTGAAGCGCAAGGAGAGAAATAAGAGAATGATAGACGATCATTCTCAGGCAAGTCTTTGGATGCTGTAGCCTGTCGCTGTCGCAGAGAAATTATCAGCACTGAGTACTTTGCTTAGCCTACTTCCACTCAGTGTGAGTCCCTAGCTCGGTGAGGTTTGGACCACCAAGCCTGACTGTCTGCCTCGGCATGGCTCAAGACGCCAGGCCTACCTGTCGCTGGTTGGGCAGGAAGCCTGGGGAGGTGTACTGATTTTGAGGCGCCTAAAAACTCGGGCGTACCTGCCTCTGGTTGGGCAGGAAGCCCGGGGAGGTGTACTGCGTGCGGGAGCCCACTGTGTCTGCTGCTCTGATGAGGTCCTTGCGGCCCCGCTTCACCTGCTCACTCATCTGCCTGATATGTGGCACGTGCCGATGCACACATGTACACAGAGACACCCATGCACACACTCACACACGCACGCACGCACACACGCACGCATGCATGCACGCACGCACGCACGCACGCATGCACGCACGCATGCACACGCGCGCGCACACACACACACGCACACAGATGCACACACACCACCACCACCAGCAACAGGAGCACCATGTGTATTTGCAAAAACCAAAACAACAATGGCCTAATGCCCCTCACCACCCCTTTCCAGTCTAGCCCCACCTTTCCTTGCTCCTCTTCCTCTTCCTCCCCTCCCTCACTTCTCTGCTTTCATCCGGCTGTCAAATGCTGCTCGGTACGGCTGCGAGGAAGCAGCGTCTGGGCAGTAGGCGGGGAAGAAGAGGTGCTTTCCTGTGCCTATCTCTCTCATACCCTTTCAGCATGTGCACATGCCTATCTACCATACGCACATGCCTATCTATCTCCCGAACCTGCTCAGTTTGCAGATGCCCAGCCCACCTCGCTCACTTACTTCTCTGGCTTCATCTGGTTGTCAAATGCTGCTCGGTACGGCTGCGGGCGGTAGGCGGGGAAGAGGTCAGTTGGTATGGATCGCTGCGCCCATGCTTGCTGCGAGGGGGAATGGAGGTAAGGGGTGAACGGGGGCAAGGGGAAGTAAGGGGTGAACGGGGGCAAGGGGAGATGGGGAGAAGGGGATGTGGCGAGGGGAGATGGGGGTTAGAGGCGGAAGTGGGGGCGGGGCAGAGATGGGCGTGAACCCTTAAAGCCCCTGGCTAAAATAGCAACCCCCATTCAAGTTGGACCCAGCTTGAAGAAGAAAATGGGCTTGGTTTGAAGAGGAGTTGGGGTTTTTTTGGGGGGGGCAGCGGGCTATGTTTGAAATAGATTCGGAAGCAGTTTGTGCATTGAAACAGTCGAATTCGGGCGGAACTACTGTTCACTTGCTCATGTGACGACGATCTTGTCTGTCGTACAGCTGGTGAGGATTGATTCTGATTCTGATTCTGATTCTGTTTCTGATTCCCCCATGACACCCGAGAAGCAAACCTGGTCCCAACATGAAAAACGAGTTGGGTTCCGTTCCAGGGGAAGAAATCGCACAAGCGATTTCTTCTGACACGCGAGTCGCTCAAGTCACGAGCGCGTCAGAAGGGTCGCACAATACATTTCGTCAGGCTGTTTGTTGCTTCAGCCAGTCATAATCCAGCTATTCATTTCAGAGTCCTTTCCATCCGAAATTCACAACAGTAATTAGTCAGTCATCCTATACTTAGACGGAACTCCAAAGGCAAATGTTCAAGTTGGGCCCACCTTTGCTATTATAGCCTGGGGCTTTAAGCTCACCACGAGTTCAAAACCTCACCTTGAACTGGGGTCCAAACGTGTCTTCGAAGTCGAACTCGAGGAGAGGGCTGTTGAGGCGAAGGGCCGTGAACTGAGCCACCTCCCTCTGCGGTTGATGCATGGGGAGGGAGGGGGAAAGAATAATTGAGTGTGCGTGAGTGAGTGAGTGTTTTGAGTGTGCGTGAGTGAGTGAGTGTTTGGCTAAGTGAGGAACCACGAGCAGGCAAGAGCGGGACGAGAGAAAGTGCAGAGCACATGGGGGAGGAAGAAACGAAACGTGAGGAGTCTATTTTTGAGGAGTCTACCGCCCCTTTTTTGAGGCGCCTCAAGAAAGTGCAGAGCACATGGGGGAGGAAGAAACGAAACGCCATAGAGCCCTGTGAGGGATCAAGAGCCCTCCCTCTTTCGTGCGTGGTAAAAAGAAAGCTAGTGGGGCGCGCACCTGGTAGAACGCCCTGAAGAGAAGGGGCTGCTCCTCGGGCCGCGTGGCTTGTTTTGAGGCGCCTCGAAACGTGGCTTGTTTTGAGGCGCCTCAAACTAGACTTCTATCAAGCCAGTGAGGCGCGCACCTGGTAGAACGCCATGAAGAGAAGGGGCTGCTCCTCGGGCCGCGTGGCCTTGGAGAGCAGGGCATCGTACGTCACCACCTTATGGTGCGCGTGGGGGGAGGGGGTTTTGGGGGGCCGGGACAGGTTAGCTGGCTGCTTCTAGGGGTTAGGGGGGTAGAATAAGCCTTGGACAGCAGGGCGTCGTAGCACGTCACCACCTGATGATGTGCGCGTGGGGGGGAGGGGGAGGGGGGCAGGGACGGGTTAGGGGGGTGGAATAAGGGCCTCGTGGCCTCGGACAGCAGGGCGTCGTATGTCACCACCTGATGGTGGGTGTGGGAAAGGGGAGGGGGAGGGAGAGAGAGGGGGGGTGTTGTGCGTTTGAAGGGTGCAGGGACGGGTTTGGGGGGGTTGGAATAAGGGCCGCGCCTTGGCCTGCAGGGTATGTCACCACCTGATGGTGGGGGTATGGGGGGACGGGGGTGTTTTTTTTCTCTCTTTTTTGGTGGCCCTAAAATCGACTCTTCCACCTGCGCAGCAGCAACACATTGTACTTCACCACCTGATGTTGTAGTTTGGAGGGTAGGGGGCATGCAGAGTTAGGGGAAGGGTGATTGATGCGGGATGCAATTCCAACTCTCCTCAAAGACTTCCAGTGGAAGCAATAAAATCAGGAGCTAGCTGTGAATGTGTGAATGTGCACTTCACAACCAGATCCTGATGCTTCACTGCTGCACTTCCACAGCTCCTGGGATCTCTCGTGCCGTGGTGCAGCATTGCCTCGCTGCTACTCACCGCATCCTGCAGCTGCCCCAGCGCGTGGTAGCACGACCCGTTGATGTCCCCCTTGATGAAATGCCACTCCGTGCTCCATAAGCGCATCACATACCGCATGCATGCATCATCACATGCATGCATCATCTCCCCACTCACCGCGTCCTGCAGCTGCCCCAGCGCGTGGTGGCACGACCCCTTGATGTAGTGCCCCTCCACGTTCAATGCGTGCAGCACAGCACACACAGCACACGTGTCAACGAGTCAATACGAGGGGCACTCACCGCGTCCTGCAGCTGCCCCAGCGTGTGGTGGCACAACCCCTTGATGTAGTGCCCCTCCACGTTCAATGCGTGCAGCACAGCACACACAGCACACGTGTCAACGAGTCAATACGAGGGGCACTCACCGCGTCCTGCAGCTGCCCCAGCGTGTGGTGGCACAACCCCTTGATGTAGTGCCCCTCCACGTTCAATGCGTGCAGCACAGCAAACACAACACGCGTGTCAACGAGTCAATACGAGGGGCACTCACCGCGTCCTGCAGCTGCCCCAGCGTGTGGTGGCACAACCCCTTGATGTAGTGCCCCTCCACGTTCAATGCGTGCAGCACAGCACACACAGCACACGTGTCAACGAGTCAATACGAGGGGCACTCACCGCGTCCTGCAGCTGCCCCAGCGTGTGGTGGCACAACCCCTTGATGTAGTGCCCCTCCACGTTCAATGCGTGCAGCACAGCAAACACAACACGCGTGTCAACGAGTCAATACGAGGGGCACTCACCGCGTCCTGCAGCTGCCCCAGCGTGTGGTGGCACAACCCCTTGATGTAGTGCCCCTCCACGTTCAATGCGTGCAGCACAGCAAACACAACACGCGTGTCAACGAGTCAATACGAGGGGCACTCACCGCGTCCTGCAGCTGCCCCAGCGCGTGGTGGCACGACCCCTTGATGTAGTGCCCCTCCACGTTCTCCGGCTCAAACTGCATTGCCGCCCGCACCAGCTCCAGAGCCTGCCTGCACGTGGTGTGTGGGGTAGGAGGGGTTTCAGGGATAGGGGCCTCATAACTCGTTCGCCGGCTCAAACCGTGCCGCCCCCCGCTCCAACTCCAGCGCCTGCCTGCAATCCAGAGGGGTCAAAGACGGGGAGAAGGAAGAGGGGGAGGGGGGTCAGTGCTAGAGCGCTGCCTCAAAGGGACGGGGATCGTGGGAGAGAAAGAGGGGTCGAAGACGGGGAGAAGGAAGAGGAGGAGGGGATGTGGAGGATGGAGAGGAGGCAGTGTATGAGCGCCACCTCAAAGGAGGAGGCAATGGAGGTCAGATCAGCCCTCTCCTTGTACTCCTAGAATGGCTTGCTTTATCTGCCCAACAGTTTTGCAGCGAGGCGAGGTTGACGGGAGGAAGGACAAATTGCAGGCAAGGGAATGGGCGGCTGCGAGCCAAGTGCGTTCGATGGCTCTGTAACGAGCTAGCTTGTAACGAGGTAGCTTGGAACGAGCTACGCCATAGATTTTATCTTTGAACTCACGCCCCAGAGCTATCTTGTGCTGGTGGTGGAGGCAATTTCTGGCGGTCAGAGGCAATTTCTGGCGGTCAGAGGCAATTTCTGGAGGTCAGAGGCAGCTTCTGGCGGTCAGAGGCAATTTCTGGCGGTCAGAGGCAATTTTTGGCGGCCAGAGGCAATTTCTGGCGGTCAGAGACAATTTCTGGCGGTCAGAGGCAATTTCTGGCGGTCAGAGGCAATTTTTGGCGGCCAGAGGCAATTTCTGGCGGTCAGAGACAATTTCTGGCGGTCAGAGGCAATTTCTGGCGGTCAGAGGCAATTTCTGGCGGTCAGAGGCAATTTCTGGCGGTCAGAGGCAGTTTCTGGCGGCCAGAGGCAATTTCTGGCGGTCAGAGGCGGTTTCTGGCGGTCAGAGGCAATTTCTGGCGGTCAGAGGCAATTTCTGGCGGTCAGAGGCAGTTTCTGGCGGCCAGAGGCAATTTCTGGCGGTCAGAGGCGGTTTCTGGCGGTCAGAGGCGGTTTCTGGTGGTCAGAGGCAATTTCTGGCGGTCAGAGACAATTTCTGGCGGTCAGAGGCGGTTTCTGGCGGTCAGAGGCAGATTCTGACGGTCAGAGGGGATTCGAGGTTTGCAACTCACTTGTGGTCTCCCATGGCGTGTTTGAGCAGCGCCCAGAGGCGATAAGCGTGGGCGAACCTGCAACAAGATGAGTTGGCGTTGGGGTGTGGGTGGGACGGGACGGGATGGGTGGGAGGAACCATGGGGCATGGATTTGGGCAACGAAAGAAGCGCAAAAACGCGATGATTTGTGGTGCTACCACTGTGAGGTGATGACGATGCATGATGCAATCACAATCCATGCCGTGTTATGGGAATGGTGAGGTAAAGAAAAGCGGGCCCTCACCTGGGCTCCAGTTGGGTGGCCTTTCTGTACGCCTGCTCGGCCTTGTCCGGCATAGCCAGTTCACGAGCAGCCTGTCCCATGTACACCCATGCCATCCTGTTCCCGGGGTTGCCTGCCACTATCTTCTCATATATCTCCATCGCCTCCTCTGCTTCCCCTAGCCCCACTAGGGCCTCGGCCTGCACAAGCACCAATGGGGGGGGAGGGGGGGCCAGAGGTACGTGGGGGGACTGCTTTTGAGTCGACTCAAAAGCTCCTCTTCTTCCCCGCCTCGGCCTGCACATGTACAGAAAGGGGGGGGGGGGGGGGGGGAGGTAGGTACACTCTTCTCGTAATCTTGCAGAGGGGGGGAGCACAGTTCCCAGGGTTGCCTGCCACTATCTTCTCGTACATCTCCATCGCCTCTGCTTCTTCCAAGCCTACCAGGGCCTTGGCCAGCACACGAGAGGATAAGGGTGGGGAGGGCGTGAGCAGAGGGTATGTGGAGGAGAGGGTGTTCCTGGGGGTTGCCTGCCTGCCACTATCCTCTCGTATATATCCATCGCCCCCTCTGCCTCGTGGAGGCAGAGCAGCACACACCGAGTAAAAAACACCACGAACTGCATGCCATGCCATCCAACAATCACCCACCAGCGACATTCACCCAACAACATGCGCCATCTATTCCTTGGGCGTCCCAGCGACCACTGCCCTCAGGTCCTTGGCTGCCTAGTACAAGGCACAGCACCACATAACCATGCGACAAACACCAGGCAATGCGACACAAATCGTGCGACACACACATACATACACCACACCGTGCAGCAACCACCCACCAGAGCCACATGCGCCATCTCCTCCTTGGGCATCACCGCCACCACTGCCCGCAGGTCCTTTGCCGCCTCATAGAACCGCCGCGCCCTCGAGTAAACCATGCCTGGCGGCGGGGAGGTAGGGGCAGGGAGAAGCAGGACCAGAGAAGCGGGGCAGAGAAGAGGGGCCAGGGAAGCAGGGCCAGGGAAGCGGGGCCAAGGAAGCGGGGCCAGGGAAGCGGGGCCAGGGAAGGCCTTGATTATGAAAGAGGTGTTTGGAGGAAAGCAGAGGGGCGGAAAGAAGGCGTACCACCAGGGAATGGTTGAGTTGAGAGGCGGGCAACAAGTTCCACAGGGCACGAAATGGCACGAATGAGGATGTTTTGCCTCGTGGCATGACCTGCACCTGAGGGTGGCTGGCAGGGCCACGCCACAGGCCTAGCACTAGCATGAAGATTTGATATGTTAGTTTTCGCCCACACCTCACCTCACCTCACCTCACCTCACCTCGCCTCGCCTCGCCTCGCCTCGCCTCGCCTCACCTCACCTCACCTCACCTCACCTCACCTCGCAGGTCCATCTGCCCCATCTTCTCACCTCTCTCCATCGGAACCCCCTTTCCCCCTTCTCCCCTTCCCCCGGTTTCTTCTCACCTTCCTCCAAGAGCAGGTCGGTCCATCTGCCCCTTCTCACCTCTCTCCGCCATCGGAACCCCCTTTCAGAAAACCATCCCCCCCCCCCCTCCCCCTCTGCTTCCTTCGCACCTCGTTCCAAGAGCAGGTCTATCTGCCCCTTCTCACCTCTCTCCGCCATCGGAACCCCCTTTCAGAAAACCATCCTCCCCCCCCCCCCCCCTCCTCTGCTTCCTTCTCACCTCGCTCCATAAGCAGGTCCATCTGCCCCTTCTCCAGGCTGAGAGCCATGGTGAAGTCCTCTATGGCCTGATGAGTGATACAAGGGGGGGGGCAACAGGTTATGGGAGTCGTCTGACGAGGAATATCAAAGACCAATAATAGGAAGAATGTGAGGCTGAAGAGTGTGAACTGTGGTGAACCACATAGCAGAGTTGTGGCAGGAAGGATAAGGGTATGGATACAGACCCCCCATGGGGTCCGGCTAAACCCCAAACCCCTCAAACCCTAATCCCGAGATCCAAAACGCACTGCTTCGCCTGTTCCACCACCTCCCCTATAGGCTATAGCGCCATGCACTCACCCAAAACCCGACGTTCGAACCCTAATCCTGAAGCTCAAACAGCATCAACTCACCCCAACCACGTCCCCCAAGCCTCTATGCATGCACAAAGCCCTGACTGACTCAACCCCATCCACCTCCCCTGTGGCGGCTCCAGCTCGCATGCCTCACCCATTCACATCCCCGATGCTATGCCACCATGCATGCACCACAGCACCAACTCACCCGACCCATCCCCCTCCCCTATGCCATCATGCACCCACTCAAACAGCACCGACTCACCCCATCCACCTCCCCCATACCTCCATGCACCCACCCTACACCCGAAACACAGGCTCACGCAAACTTGAAGCCCAACGAGCATCAACTCACCCCATCGATCTCCCCTATGCCTCCATGCACCCAACCAAACAGCATCAACTCACCCCATCGATCTCCCCTATGGCGGCTCTGGCCTGCGCTCTCCTGCGCCACGCGTCCAGCATCTTGGGCTCCAGCTCGCACGCCTGGGGGGGGGGATGAAGGGAGAGGGTAGGAGGCGGAAGTTCAGTGCAGTTTGGTTCTGCAGCGCCTCAAAGCTCTCCTGCACTGCGCGTCCACTGTCTTGAGCTCCTTCTCGCACGCATGGGATGGCAGCGAGGGATGAAAAAAAGAGGGGTGGAGGCGAGGGGTGGAGGAGAGGGTGGAGGTGGGAGACGGGGGGAGAGGCGGGAGAGGAAGGGAGGCGGTTTAGGGTTTCGGAGGGACGAAGGGGGTAAAGATGCTATAGGAGTGATGGCACGAAATGAAATGAGCGTTGCGTGAGTGCAAGTAGGGGGAAGAGGGGCACATAGCGCGAGCAAGAGAGGGATAGAGGCAGAGCAAGAGAAGGATAGAGGCAGAGCAAGAGAAGGATAGAGGCAGAGCAAGAGAAGGATAGAGGCAGAGCAAGAGAAGGATAGAGGCAGAGCAAGAGAAGGGGAGGGGAATGGATGGAAAGACGGCGCATTTGCGTGGGAGGGGCGACCAACCAGGGAGTAATCTTCGATGGCTTCTTTGATCTTGCCCGAGAGCGCATAGGCTGTGCCTCGGCCAATGAGAGCAGGCGCGCTGTTGCCCAGCTCGTCCAGCAGCTGCGGAACGGCGGAAAGAGGGAGAACAGGGGGGGAGGGGAGGGGGGAGGAGTGGGGGGGAGGAGTGGGGGGGGAGGAGTGGGGGGGGAGGAGTGGGGGGGGAAGAAGGGGGGGAAGAGGGGGGAGGGGGGAGTGGGGGGGGGAGGAGGGGGGAAGGGAGGGAATGGAATACAGGGAGGAGGGGAGGGATATGAAACACGATTGGTATCAAACACCACCATCTAATATTGCTGGGCATCGAACATGCTGTTGAGATGGTTGCGCATGGCCGTTCTAGGCTGACGGTACAAGCTTTGCACACCAACCACAGACTAGCGAACCACACATAGCTTGCCAGGGCGAGGCGAGAGCCTTAACCGCATACCAGAGTGAAAACGCTGACGTCAAAGTAGAGTGCAAGTGCGCAGTGCGAACCACATACCAGGGGGATAGTGCCTCTCACATACCAGAGTGAATTGATAGACTCATCGAACTTCTGCTGGTTGACCTGCTGAACGCCCAGGTTAATCATAACCTCGTTGAACTGCCACGTCATCAAGTTCCTCCCGGGTCGTGCTTCTCACTTAGCAGGGGGTACCGTCTCCCACATACCAGGGGGTAGCGTCTCGCACATACCAGAGTAAAGGAGTTGATGGCCTCGTCGAACTTCTGCTGGTTGACCTGCTGCACGCCCAGGTTAATCACGACCTCGTTGAATTGCCGCGTCACCACACTCCCTGACAGTGCGTCTCACTTACCACGGGGGTGGTGCAGTGCCTCTTACATACCAGGGTGAACGTGTTGATGGCCTCGTCGAACTTCTGCTGGTTGACCTGCTGCACGCCCAGGTTAATCACGACCTCGTTGAACTGCCGCGTCACCACACTCCCTGACAGTGCGTCTCACTTACCACGGGGGTAGTGCAGTGCCTCTTACATACCAGGGTGAACGTGTTGATGGCCTCGTCGAACTTCTGCTGGTTGACCTGCTGCACGCCCAGGTTGATCATCACCTCGTTGAACTGCCGCGTCATCACGTTTCCGCCCCCCTGCGGTGGCATCATCGTTCCCCGCGCCTTGCTCTTGGGCGAAACGTCCAGCGCCGTTGGCGGAGCCACCAGGGGCACGAAGAAGGGCAGCGGGGGGAGCAGCGCGCGGCGCAGGCAGAGCGAGAGGCGGGATTCGTCCGCCAGGGGCAAGGGGGGAACTGGATCGCGCAGCATTATGGACACGGGCTGCGACATTGGAGCGCCCATGGGGAACAGGCGCGCGCCTGAGCACGGGGGGGGAAGGTGTTGGGGAATCAAAGCGGCAAGGGAAGTCGGAAGGTGCGCGAATTTCTGGGGTTTGCGACAGGCCTTGTTCAGAATAGAGGACGTTCATAAGAAGGCAACGCGAGTTGCATGCACGCGACGTCTCGGAAGAAAATAGAAGCGACCTCAGAGGAGGGGCTCAGTGCAGGGGGAAGCATACCGCGTTTCAAGTGCACCTCCCCGCACAATGCGTCGCGAAGGAACGCCTGACCAGCCGGATTGCCGTCAGGGTCGCTCGCGAAAGATCGACGAAATCTGTTCTTGATTCGCGGAAAGTTGTAACAGAAGTCGTCGTTACTGCAAGCAACAAAATACGGACATTCATAGACATTGTAGTAGATATCGACTTTTAACGCCAAACCGAAGTGGAGCGGAGCAGGCACTACTTGTGTGTTACCCGGAAAGAAAACATTACGCGTGCAGTGCTGAGAGGTCTTCCTTGTCAATAAAATGCATCCATGACGACGACAGCACGCTAATCAACGGCCAGTTTTGAGGCGCCTCAAAAGTCGGCCAGTTTTGAGGCGCCTCAAAAGTCAATAAAATGCATCCATGACGACGACAGCTCGCTAATCAACGGCCAGGGAGATGCGGCGGCAAGAAGCCACCGCATGATGCGCGACAATGTGTCAGCTAAAAGACACGCACCAGAAAATGCGGGTTTTTTTAGTCGACTCAAAAGGCAAGAAGCCACCGCATGATGCGCGACAATGCGTCAGCTAAAAGACACGCACCAGAAAATGCGGGTCGTGCTGTAATGCTCCTGAACCGCGCTCGCGACCACGGCGACGGCGCGCGACAGCTCCGAGGAGTCGCATCCTCTACGGGACGGTGTGAATCCAGCGCGCGTGCTTATAGCGGGCATGAGGAGTGTAGTGGGGGAAAACGGCAGCACGGAGCAGAGGGTGAAATTAAAAGCGAGACACACGAAGGCCTCCGTTACCCCCATTTTGGCGGATCCTTTAGATCCTCCTCCTCAGCGATACTTTTAGTATTTATAAGACCGTTCAGTCTGACATTACTACGGCCCGCCACACTAGGTGTAGTCTCCTCTACTCAGGGTGCACTGCTGCAGGTCTAATGCAGACCCTATCCACACTGTCCTCTTGAATGGTCTCTTCTGGTCTCGTCTTGTTTTCTCTGACTGGGCTACTTGAGTTTTGCTGTTTCAGTCATACGTTGGCGTGAACCTTGGGAATTCCTCTGCTTTCCTCACTGCTCCTCTCCTCCCCTCCACAACCGCGGTCCAGTTTCGAGGCCCCTGACTGGGCTCGCAGTTGCAGGTACTAAGTCAGGGTAATATACCCTGATAAACGAGGAAAACGGACAGATATAAAAATACACAAGCACTACTTATGAAAAGAGGCTCAGCTCTCACACATTGTCCAGTTTCCACTTATGAATCCATGATCAGCCCCGATTCGCGAGCAATTGCCACCCACCTGGAAACCTGTGCGTCTCAATTTCCCTTGGTAAAAACTTAAAAATAACTGGATTGCCTCTCAAATTTCCGGGTCCCATAGCCTTTCGCCCCTGAAAGCTGCCCCCTGCACCATAGCACGTGACACACTGGACCAATGTTGACTGTTGGCCTTCTGGCTTGTAACTTCCTAAACATGTTCAATTATGTAGCTTCAAATATAAGTGGACCCCAATTTCTTATGCTTTCAACTCGCAAGCTGAGCTTGCACATGCAGGTCGAATGTACGCCTAGCCATTATTTTTTATAATAAATTATCTTAAGCCTTTCATCGTCATCATTTATCCCTTTTTGTACGATTGACCAAACTCGTGTATTTCATCCAGACCTAATAATTTTATTTTGATTAAATTTAATGACGTTGTATTATGAGTGGGTTATCATGTGATGTACGATGAGTATGAATTCGCATGTGGAGCATATATGGAAGAGGATATATGTTCGGAAAGATTGCATTTAATCCTCCATGTGAGATGTATAGATACTGTAACGAGCAAGTGTACTTTTCGATACCGAAACGAAGATGCTCAGCCAGCGTGGCTGCCACGCTTCGTATTCGGCCCCAGAATCTGGGGCTACTTTGGGAGCGCTGGATTTGCCGGTGGGTGCCAGGTCACGTCTGCCCAGTCGCAGAGCCACGGCAGTAGCCGCGGGAGAAGGGAGTTCCAGAGCAGAGCAGCAGCCTTGGCATCAGGCAGGATTCAGGCTTCAGGAGCTTCAGGCCTTCAGGGCGTGCCAGTGTTCGTTTTTAGCCAATACCCTACCGAACCTGTTTTGGGAGCTACTCAATATTTTTGAAATGCAATCCACCGAACTCAACCGCATTCGGGCGTACGCCTAGGACATGCACTCAGAATTCAGCAGGCATTGAAGGGGAGAGATGTCTGGGAGATAAAAAGACCAATTCTTCAATCTGAAGCAATTCCAGTTCCTCGTTCACCATCATCTCTGCTCGGTTTACGTTAGCGCAGTTTACGCCAGTAGAGCCTCTCTGACTCCTGTGCCTTCCAGACCTTTCTCAAAATGTCTCTGTTCCCGAGCATTTCTTCTGGTCGCAAGTTTATCGTCGGAGGCAACTGGAAGTGCGTAAGTATCTGTCGATGGTTGCTCCTACTGAACCAGTTTCCTAGTCAGATCCAGATTTTGATTTTACTCTCTATACCTCGTCGCGTTGATCAGAATGGCACCGTGGAGTCTATCAAGAAGCTCGTTGGCGTCCTGAACGCTGCTACCGTTCCCAGCGGCGATGTCGTCGGTATGTCTCGTTGGGGCTACTCGGATCTCCAATTTCGTCCCAGTTCCTTGGTTCTTATTCGGGGTTTTTTTTCTCGGGAACGTCGTTCTACCTTTCTTGCTGACGTGTTACGTTCACTGGCGTGCGATATGGTGCTCGTTCCTTTCCAGAGACCGTTATCGCTCCCCCCTCCGTCTACATTCCTCTGGTGAAGGCCGAGCTCCGCAAGGACTTCGCCGTCGCTGCTCAGAACGCCTGGGTGAACAAGGGCGGCGCCTTCACCGGTGAAGTGAGGTACAATCCTACCTACCATTTCCCTTATTGGTCAAAGGTGTCCTCCCAATTTCGCATCCGAAACGGTGTCGACGCTCCAGGCATCCTAACTCCGCATCCATGTTGTCTTGCAGCCCTGACATGCTTGTGGATCTCGACATTCCCTGGGTCATCCTCGGCCACTCCGAGCGGAGAACCATCATCAAGGAGTCCAACGAGGTTAGCCTTCCTCCACCACACATTCTGTCGCATTATACTGCCTGCGTGCCGTCTTCTCGTTTTGTCATTGCCTGTGCAATGCCTGGAAGTTCGTGCAACTGATTCATCCTGAGAAGGTCCTACTTGATGTTACCTCTTTCTTCCCTCGTCTGCGATGTTCATGCAGTTCGTCGCGGACAAGGTTGCCTATGCCCTGAGCAAGGGCCTCAAGGTCATTGCGTGCATCGGCGAGTCCCTGGAGCAGAGGGAGGGCGGCGAGACGGTCGCTGTCGTCTCTGCTCAAGTCAAGGCCATTGCAGGTTCGTACGCACTCGCGTTCGCTCCGTGTGCATCCGTGCTGACTCCTGCATTTTTCATTTGTTCGTGTTCCTCAATTATTGTGAAGTCGAGTCTGTTCGTCAACTCACTTAGAAGACTGGAATCGTTTTGTTATATGCAGACAAGATCAGCAAGTGGGACGATGTTGTTCTCGCCTACGAGCCCATCTGGGCCATTGGCACTGGCAAGGTCGCCACGCCTGCTCAAGCCCAGGAGGTAAGTACGGCTTTCGTTTGTTACGTAGCGACAGAATCTGGAAGGCTGGGAAGAAGCTGGGTATGATTAAGAGGAAATCGAACTTTGAGCGAAAAGAAGAGTTGTTGCACACGTGACTACCACACTGTTCTCACAACGCAAACTTCCATCGTGGCACTGTGCCTGCAGACTCATGCGGACATCCGCAAGTGGATCGCCGAGAACGTCAGTGCTGATGTGGCAGCTGCGATCCGGATTCAGTACGGAGGTAAGGGGGGATGACTGGCAGTCAAGATGCTTCGTTGTGTGGGGTAGTATGAAATCACGCCTTAACGCATGATGACATATCCTTTTTGCAAGTTCGTAGGCTGGTTGCTTGGGTATCAGGAAGGCATCCACTAAGCGATCCCCGCTCCGCATCCCATATCTTTGAATCCACAGGCTCTGTCAACGCCGCCAACTGCAAAGAGCTTGCCGCTCTTCCCGATGTAGATGGTTTCCTTGTTGGTGGAGCTGCTCTCAAGGTAATTATCTTGTCTAGTGTGATTTGCAGCACACGTTGTTCCCTTCTCTCCCACATTTCCTTCACAAGACTGCCAGCTCACCTGTGTCTTGAGGGCTCATCTGTGTCTTGAGTGCTCACGTGTGTCTTGTCTCTGTTTCCACGCAGCCCGAGTTTGTTGATATCATCAACTCTGCTACTGCTTCAAAGTAGGAAAGCCTGCTTGCAGATGTTTGCTATGATATGGTTGGTATCAAATTTAGTCGGTTATACTTGATCCATTGGTCCGGCTTCTTCATTCCATCTATTAATTCTTTTGTGTATCAACACATGCAAAACAAGGCGTATCAACACATGCAAAACTAAACGAACACTGCTCGAAACGTTTACACTGGAAATTTGGACATATACCATACCAATTCAGCCCACATGTCTACTACTGATCTCTCTTGGGCTGATGCCTGAATCTGAAGGGTCATGCATCTGGAGCTGGGATTAACCCCACCACCCTGTATCCTGTACTCCAAAGCCCTACATCACACACCCCAACCACCCACTTCGTACAAGCCCATTACTTTGTGGAATTTACTTATGTTTTTCTCACCATTGGGCAAAGTAAATTCCACAAAGCAATGCCAGCTGCTCAGACTGGATGTGAAATTCCTGTCTACTCCATCTCACCTAGCTCACAGCTATGTCCCCCAATTGCTGGCTGGCTGTATTGGGTATACACCGGACCGGAGACCCCAAACTGGCTGGGTGGATGGGTTCTTTCTTTCTGTTTGTAGCTGATAGCATACAACTACTGAAGTTGGAACGAACTGAGAACAGGAATCTTAGGGCGAATTCCTACAAACCAGGATCAGAATCAACCTGGATCAGAATCATGCAGTACTATCTTAGAACTGAAGAATTGTTGAATAGAGAGAGAGTACAAGGGTATATACCTAAGAGTGTTGTACTCTCTAAGAGGCAACCCTATACAGTCTATACAAACATGAGTTATACCTATGTTTGACACACCCCCTGGACTGCATAGGGGAATGACCTGAACAAGCAGCTCAGGGCGGCACTACTAGTCCAACCTCTGAGACAAGGTCTAAAAGACCAGTCAGACGGAGTTGAGACAAGGCAAGAACAAGACCAGGGCGGCACTACTAGTCCAGCCACTGGGAGAGGACACAAGTCCAGTCTGAGTATGCATATAAAGGACAGTACAAAGTCAAGGCCCTAGCAAGTGAGAGGCTACAGGAACTAGACCAAGCTGTACCCAGTGCCGCTGATGATCTTTAGGCGCAAGCGCCTTCGTAAAGATATCAGCTGTGTTGGCACCTGAGGCCAAGTGTACTACGCGAGCCTGGCGTCGCTGCTGTAGCTCGCGCAGGAGGAAGTATCGCAGCTGAATATGCTTCGCTCTGCCCTCGAGTCGAGGCTCCTGACACAGGAGGATCATGGCCCTGTTGTCAGCGAACAGGACCGGGGCAGAGCTAGGCCGCTCACCTAAGTCAGTGAGCAAGAAGGTCAGCCAGCGGAGCTCCTGTGCCGCCATGGCACCAGCGTAGATCTCAGCCTCACAGCTGGACTGGGCAACAGATGAGGAGCGGGTAGCTCTCCACGAGACGGCACATGAGCCAAGGCTGAAGCAGTAGCCCTGGGTAGACTTGAGTGTCTCGGCATCGTCTGCCCACGAAGCGTCTGTGTGTCCAGTAAGGACCACTGGCCTGCGTCCTCCTAGCACTAACCCCATGCCCGATGTACTAGCAAGATAACGCAAAACCCTCTTAGCGGCAGACCAGTGCTGCGGTCGATGTCTGCCTGTGGCCACAAAGCGAGCCAGGATGCTGAGAGGGTACGCGAGATCTGGGCGAGTGCAAGTCATCAGGTACATGAGGCAACCCACCAGCTCTGCATAGGGGCCACTAGGCTCTACCGACTCCTCAGACACTGGAGCGGAGAGTCTGTGGTCTACAGGCAGAGGGGTGGGCTGTGCAGAGGAGAACTGAAGGCTGAACCTCTGAAGGACCTGGCGCACCAAGTGTGACTGAGTCAGGGTGATGGTGCGCGCAGCTCTGTCCCTGGAGATCTGCAAGCCAAGGTAACGGCGCAGTTCTCCAAGGTCAGTGCAGGTGTGTCTCTTCAGCAGCTCTGCCTTCACGAAGGCTAGTGCGTCCCTGTCTGCTGTGGCAAAGACCAGGTCGTCGACGTAAACAAGGATGTAGAACGGAGTCTGGCCAACACGAACGAAGAGTGAGGGGTCTGCGGAAGCCGGAAAGAACAGCAGGTCAGCAAGCGTAGCACGGAGAGTGTCGTGCCACTCACGGGGAGCCTGGCGCAGGCCGTAGACAGGGCGCCGCAGGAGCCACTGGGTCCCAGGAGGGAAGGTGCCAGTAAAGCCCGGAGGGCGACGCAGGTAGACCTGCTCGTGTAGGCTGCCCTGAAGGAAGGCAGTGGAGAAGTCGAGGGAGTGAAGCTCGTAGTCACGCTGAGCAGCTAGGTGTAACAGAACCCGAAGAGTAGTCATCTTCGGGGTCGGAGCGAAGGTCTGGAAGAAGTCCACCCCCTCACGCTGACTGAAGCCTCTAGCCACGTAGCGCGCCTTGAACACAGGCGGCTCTCCAGGAGGGCGCTTCACCTTGAAGAGCCAGCGGCCATCGACTACGTTCACCCCAAGCGGGGGAACTGCGTCGACGAAGGTGCCGGTGGATCTCCAAGATGCCATCTCCTGCTCCATGGCAGCTATCCACTGAGAGGCCCAAGGTCCCGAGGTCGCCTCAGCGTAAGTGCGAGGGGTCGGGATGTCGAAAGCGTCTGGGTCACCCTCAGGGACTAGCAGCATGGAACAGAGATGGGGAGCAGCCTCGGACAGGAAAGCAAGCTCGAACTGGCGGTCCTCCAGGACGTCACTGCCAAGGGCAGGAGCACCCCCGACAGACGGAGGACAGGCAGGGTCAGAGACAAGAGCAGTGGCGTAGTCAAGGCGGCGGGTAGAGGCGAAGTCAGCGACCGCAGCAACAAGAGCGTCAAGGCACGAGACCGGAACAGACGGGTCGGTAACGAGAGAGGCAAGGACCCGAGGAACAAGAGGACAAGCGGCACGGAGGTAGTCAGACAGCGGGGGGGGTGCAACAACAAGGGAGGACGGAGGAGGCGACGGGAGAAGGGGAGGACGAGACGCGTGGGAACGAAGCAACATAGGGTGGGAGCGCAAGACAGGCGAGGCAGGACGAACACGGGAGGGACGGTGAGACCAGACGTGCGACGGAGGAGTCGGGTCAGGAGACAGGGGAGGGGACACAGGAGGGGAACGGGGAGGAAGACGGGCCGGGGACGAGTCCGGCGGAGGGAACACAGGGCCGTAGACGGGAAGAGGAGGAGACGGTCGGAGAGGAACAGCCGCAGGGTCAGGGGACAGAAGGCCGAGCAGGCGAAGGGCTGACACCGGCGGGGACTGCTGCTGCGGCGGCACAACGGCGACACCAGGACTGCAAGCGGCTCCGCGGTTACCACCAGCACACTCCACACCAGCACCCCCAGAGGATCCACCCCCAGGGCTACCGGGACTAGCACCCCCAGAGTCAACGAACGGGTGCTGCGACGGCGGCGGCGGCAGCGACAACGACGGCTGCAGCGGCGGCAGAGGCGGTGGAGGAGGGGACTGGGGAGGGGACGCCGGGGGAGGGGCGGCCGGCGAGGACTGCGCAGCAGGGCCACCAGAGTCAGAAGACTCCTCAACCGGGTCCACCGACGGAAGGGGGGTGACGTGGGACACACCAGAGGGGGCAGGACGGGGAGGAGGAGGGGGAGGGGCAGGGACTACCGGGGAAGGAGTGACCAGGAACAGGGGGGGGATAACCGGGGGACCACGGTGGGGGAAGCGACGGTAGTAGGAGACGGACTCGTCAAAGGTGACGTCGCGAGAGTGAAAGAAGCGGTGAGACGGCGGGTGGTAGAAGTGCCAGTCAGACGCGTCAAGGGGAAAGCCGAGGAAGACGCAGGGAAGGGTGCCGGCAGTGAGCTTGTCCGTGCCGGAGGCACGGACGTGAGCAAGGCAGCCCCAGACGTGGAACGCAGACGCGTCACCAGGAGACCCAGTCCAAAGACGGGTCGGCGAAACCTGCGGCAGCTGAGGGTGCGGCCACAAGTTAAGCTGGTGAGAAGCGTAGCGCACAGCGAACGGCCACAGAAAATGGGGTGCACCGGCATGGATCATGGAAGTGCGAGCCACCTCCATGACCAAACCGATGCGTCGCTCAGCGACCCCATTCTGCTGTGGGGAGTCCGGTAGGGTGAACGTCTGGGAGATGCCCTCCGCACGACAAAAGCAACCAAGGACACCTGAGGCAAACTCGTCACCACGGTCGGAGGGAGACCGCGGTGGACACGCGCAGAGACAAGCCAGGCACGTCAGCCTTGCGCTCCAGGGGAAAGACTGTGGTGTAACGAGTAAAGTCGTCGACCAGCACAAGGAAGTAGCGCTCGCGACGCGGCCCAGGGACGGGGGCGGGGCCCCAGATGTCCAGGTGCAGGGTCTGCAGCGGCGCGGCGGTAGGGGGAAACGAGGAGGAGTGAGGGGCACGGCGAAGCCGACCCTCGACACAAGGCGTGCAAGGTGGGGCTGGGGAGGAGGGAAACGCGGGGAGAGAACCTGGGAGACCAAGGACAAGACCGTGCTGGGACATGTGACGCAGACGCGGGAGCGCAGGGTGACGTAGGCGGTGGTGCCAAAGGAGAGTCGGGTGAGTGAGGGACCGACAGGAGCAGGCAGGAGCAACCTGGGTAGACGCAGCCATCTGAGGGAGCGCTCCAGCCGGGGGGGTCACGGTGTCCAGAGTGAACAGGCCGGACACCGGGTCCCGGGGGAACGTGGACAGGGGGGCACCCGTGGCGGCCTCGGTACAGACACCATACCGCTCGTGACCAGGGAACGTAGTGGTGACGCCAAGGTCCTGGAGGCAGCCGACACCAACTAGGTTCCTGGAGAACGAGGGGATATGCAGACCTGTGAGAGTGCCCGAAGGAACCGCCGGACAGGGAACGGTGGTGGAACCGCGGGCGACTACCGGACCGCCGGAGGGGTCAGCAAGAGAAACGGCAGCAGGAACAGGAAGCGGCGTCAGTGTGGTGAAGTCGCGGAAGAAACACCGGGAAGCGCCAGAGTCCAAGGTGAAGGAAAGCGAAGCAGAGGCGTCTGGCGACGGAACGACGGCGGAAGCACCAAGGCTACACAAAGCAGGGGATCCTACGCCTGACGCAGCAGGGGAGGCTAAGCTAGGCACACCTACACTGGCCGACAGTGAGTAATAAGCGGGAAGCACACTAGAGTCATCAGCATACATCACATGCAGAACAGAAACAATGGCATCC